AGTTTGCAGTGACTTTTTCGCTTTTATTAATAATCATCGCACAGTTATGGTAATAAAGAAAGGAACACGCTATATTAATCACAACGGCAAAATTTCATTTTTAGTTTTAGGTAAGAAGAAGTTTGAACTTTGAACATAAAAACGTTCCAACGATTCCATATAGCATCCAATCTCAAGCATGCTGAGAAAATATGACATGATTTGGTGTGAAGTGGGAAATCACCATTGTACTTTGTATCTAGATCTTACAACAGCTTCCGGAGGTAGTGCTTGGAAATTCTGTTTTGCTCGCTCTAAACAGCTTCAAATTTTAGGATCGCTCAAATTCCCTTCCTTTTCTGACCGCTCAAAATCCCTTCCTTCAGTTTTCCCTCCCTCTTTTCGACCGCTCAAAATCCCTCCCTTTATTTTTCCCTCCCTCTTTTTGACCCTGGCCGTTTCTGGCCGTACCATTCTACCACTTCCGTCAGCAGACGGGAAGCTTCCGGTTCCGTTTGGTCCTAGCGTTTCAAAGCCCAAAGCGCTGAACAGGTAGTCCGGGGTGATGTTCTGCAGTGCTTGGTTACCATATCCTGTTCAGCCTTTGCCGCCGCTGCTCCAGCTCGCACGGATGTTGCCACGATATGCGATAATGCCACCGTACAGACGCAGGTGACATCCCACGTCAGCATTCTTCATCTTTCCTGCGTGGTGCTAACGTAACGCCATCCGGGCGTTGGCCATTCGTTCGACCTAAGCCCACTGGTTCAAGCTTTGTTTCAATTCCGGCTGATGCGAATGCCCGTTTACAGACAGCATTCAAGCTGATGTGTCTGGGCTTCCTTCATCGACTTTTCTTGCAGCTGAGGCCATTGTAGCCTCGGGCGTCCACCCAGTCCCCGCAGATGCAACGGTGCGGAGTGACGATAGCTGCTCCAATTAAGGCGTAGCCCAACAGCGATTCTCAGGGCAGAATTTGTCAGCAGGTTTCCTAAAGATGCTGCCGGTAACGCTTACCGAAGTTGTTACTTCTCGAAGTGACCCGGTACATGGCACCAAATTTCGGTACATACACGCTAAACTTCCGCTTTCGCACACTCCGGCACACCATTTTGCATTGTGTTCCGGCATCATGTAGTCAATGCTTTTTTACATTGCTTGAAATACATTTATTTTGCGCGCGCAATATCCGGTTGCGGAGTATCGACTGTAAGACAAATTCCCAAGCGTTTAAACGAATTTGGGTATACCAAAGGTCTCATTGATTATGGGTCGTTCTTCATGAAATTTTTAAAGGAAATGCACATAAGCGTGAAGGTCGTTCGTGCCGGTGATCCACTGCTTTAGCGCCCTGACCTGTTTGCAAACTTCAAAAATTTTCGAGGATCAAATTTGCAAAAAGTGCTGGACCAGTCAGCACTGGATCAATAATCTTCATGCTTATACATTATGTACGTATGTACTGCAAAATTTAAGTAAGGTCGGTTAACAATGAGCCTTTTGGTGCATTTAACGTTTTGGAATAGCCTCATGTATGGCCATAATTCCCAGTCGCCGGATGTTGCGCGCATAAACTGTTTTAAAATCCATGTATACAACTCATTTGCTTTTGCAGTGCCATAAAATAATGCAAATCCGGTTTTGGTGTGCGCGAGAGCGAAAGTTTTTGTGCATGTACTTTGTGCAATGTACACTTTGTGCAATGATTTTGGTTGTTTCTTCAATGTGTAAATTTGGAATCTTTAATTAGTATCTACCAGCGCAGGCTTGCTGTTCTGTTAATAGGCTATTGCCCGAATAAAAGAAAATGTACACGAATAATTTGGCATCATCTACGGCCAAATCGCTTGTGTGCGCAGTTTAGTCGTTTACGTCTGTTTTTTAACTGCCTTGCGAAGTGACCCGACACCGGAAAGCTAGGAAAACGTATATTGGTACAGAAATATGCTGTCTCCACAGATCAAGCCACTCCAAATTAACATGCAGGGGCATTCTTCTTAGAATGCTGGCATACAGTATATATAACCGCAATCGACGGCCGTTCTGCATATATACTTAAATCGTCGTCTGTTTGGGTAACTGTCAATACCTGCATTTAGTCTACGGTCAAATTTTTCCAGGCGTATCAGCCAGTCGTCCACTACTCGGTAGAGTAGGGGAAAAGTGACTGATAAGCCTGGAAAAGGCATGGTACCGGTGCAGCTAGCTTTCTTTGGTGTTAAACCTCCTCCCAAATGCCCGGCATAGGACGCCCCCGAGCGGAACCGGCGGATCTCCCGGCGACCCTAGTTGGATCGCACTAGGAAAGCCGGGATGTTCTCCGCTTCCCAACGCAATCAACAGTGTGTAACGCCTTCAACTGAAGGACATCGAGCAAGCGAGGTAAGCAATGTTTACCTCGCTTGCTCGGAGTCTGTGTCATGTCCGGAGTCCGTGTCATGTCCAGCTCCAGTCTGACTTTGCTTGGAGCTCCCGTTTTGGACGCCGCGATCGCCCCCTTGTATGCTGAGAAAGCGCAATCATTAACTGCGGTGTGTGAACGGATGCAGCTGGTCCCGCGCCACCACGCGCTTTTTCTTCTACGGCACTGCCTTGGGGCACCAAAGATCGTCTATATGCTGAGATGTAGCAACGCCTGGAAATACCCGGAGCAATTGTATAAAATCGACGAAGTCCTGCGTGCCTGTTTCCAACAGTTGTGCAATGTGCGAACCAATCACGATGACTATCCCAGCTGGCGGCAGGCAAGCCTTCCGGTTAGCAGAGGTTGTATTGGCTTACGTCGCTCGGAGGAATTAGCACTCACAGCCTTTCTGGCTTCGATTCACTCCGTTGCCGACCTGGTGTCATTACTGCTTCCGAACCGACCGGCCGTCGTCCGTCGATGTCTCTGCAGCGCTAAAAATTTGGAAGACCAATGCCCGGTTGACAGAACTGCCTTCACCAGATTTTTGAAAGTCACAGAAAGCGTGGGACCTCCCGTTGTGCAACGTGTCTCTTGCTACCTTGTTAGAAGTATTCCGCCACGATGAGGTTAACAAGGCGCGTCTACTCGCTCAGTCGAGACCGGAAGCCGGTATTTGGCTTAAGCTTTGCCGTCGGCCCATATCGGTAACCTGCTCGACGATGACGCGCTAAAAATCTCCGTCGGACTTAGACTTGGCGCCAAGATCTGCGAACCGCACAACTGCGCGAAGTGTTACAAGCCTGTCGACTGCTATGCCCATCACGGTCTCTCCTGTTCCTTTTCCGCAGGCCGGCATCCACGGCATGGGCATGGTGCACTTAACAGTCTCGTTTGCCGCGCATTCGTATCAGCCGGAATCCCAGCAAAACTAGAGCCTCGCGGCACTTCTAATACAAGTGGCAGACGCCCAGATGGATGCACAACATTTGCGTGGCAGAGGGGCATGTGTCTGGCATGGGATGTCACGTGTGTTGATACAGTCACATCAAGTTTACATCCGCAAACGCGGGATCCGCCGCCGTCCAGGCAGAGGAAAAGAAGACCAATCTATATGCTTATTTGGTTGCTCGTTACATTTTCGCGCCCATCGCTTTTGAAACAATGGGCCCGTGGGGACCGTCAGCCATCGCTATCATCAAAGAACTTGGAAAGCGTTTACGGACCCATTCAGGAGAAGTCCGCTCCCACGAATTTCTTCGGCAGCGACTGTCTCTTGAGATACAACGCGGCAACGCCGCCTCTGTTTTGGGCACCGCAGAGAGAGCGGAAATGTTTAATGAGCTCTTGTTTATTTAGCTGTTCTAAACCGTGTACGCGTTCGGTTTGAAATAAAAATTACCACATTTGAGTAATGTTAGTATTATTGTGTCGGTGGAATTGAATGGGCATAAAGTTGAACCGGAAAAATCAGTGCAGCACTTGGGGGTGATAATTGACGAGCATTTGAAATGGGCCGACCAAAATTAAAAAGGTTCAAAAAAGTGCTTATCATGGAATCACCCTCATGAACAGTGTGAAAGATAAGAAAAGCCGTTCGAGCTATTGCCAATTATGCCGACACATCCGCTACGCAATTGATGCAACAGTACGGGATTACGCCACTGTTTGAACGATGGAAACATCAGGAAGTAACTTGGCTTTACAAAATTCTGTCACCCGGAGGAGTTCCGAGTGCCCCGTTATCTCATCGAAATGATCGTCGTAAAGCACGATTCCAAACCGTACAGCCTTCGAAGCGGAAACAGGACCTTCATCGAAGGACAGGGAAGTCCACGTTGGCGTGGAGGCTGAACAAAGTTAGGAACCAGTTAACCCAGGCCGGAAACGACATTCTCAGTAGCAGTTTGCTTGCTGTTTTTCGTAGTGCACTGAAGCATGCTACCATTCCTTGATTGCCTTCATTTCTTAGTTCTTCGTGTCAATCGTGTGTATGTTAATGGGTTTTGCTCTAATTGCTCTGATTTCATTATGATGCCTGTTATTTAGCCAGGTAGCTTTTAATGGGTTTCCTGCCTGCTGTACAATAAACAATGACACCTGTCACTGTAACCAATACAATCGTAAATCGGCGGAATCGAATCCTGCCAAACGGGCTGAATGTACGTGCGGAATGCGCTGAACCCATGTATAAATCACAAAGCAGCCAACTCGCGCGCCGGTCATCATCATGTTTTCCCTTCCATTTAATCTGCTTTTGCTTTCTTATTTTTTTGTATTATTGTATTTGAACGTCATTTGTATTTTTATGTGGTTTCTTTTATTTGGTATTTATGGAGTTGATCCAGACCAACAACAAGAAAACATCGAAAAAACCCGGTGATCTTGATCTGTAGTTTTTATTTATGCAAGTGACCTCAAACTGTTCCATCACGAAACAACAAAGTAGAAAAATCATCCCACCGCCTTCTTGAGGCGTTCCCGTGGCGCGTTGATCCGATTAAACAGCAGCACCTTCTCCGCGCCCAATTGTGCCTCCCCCCGTCGCCCACCTCCAGCCGCGTCCCTCCGCACCCCAATCCAACATCACCCAACCCAGTCCGGGCGTCACCGAGCTCAGCAGCACCCCCGCCCCCCGCACTGCCTCCAGCGCCACAAACAGCATCGGCCCATATATATAACAATTAGTCAACGTCTGCGTACCCTGACGCTACTGCGTGCTATTCTTGGGCAACACCTGCAGCACCGTCGTCTGCACAATCCACTCATGTATCCCCTGGTGCGGCCGGAACAGGCACTGGACGTACCCCTCATCGTCCCGGGTGACGGCCCGCAAGCGTAATCGAGCGTAGACGAGCTGTCCGGGGCGGTTCGTGGCCCATTCGTAGTCGGCTCTGACGTCCCGCGACGATCTGATGGTGGACGGCATCAGTGCCCCGTAGGGCACCTGCGCGGGACAGCGGACGATCCACCCGTTGTGGACCCACATCACGTGGTTGCGCAGATTGAGGATGATGCCTTCCGGGAGCGGCAGCCGGATGTGGCACGGGACCGCCACGTAATCGCCCTCGCTGACGGTCAGGTAATAGGTGTCCAGCGGGGCCAGTACATCGCCGCGGCGCGTAATCAACGGCAGCAGCATATACCTGGTGATAATTAAACGCGTAATTATTGCATATACCGTACATATACATATACATATACATATACATATACATATACATATACATATACATATACATATACATATACATATACATATACATATACATATACATATACATATACATATACATATACATATACATATACATATACATATACATTAAAAACGGGAAAAAGAACCGTGATAAAGGCAAAGAAAAGTTACGGAGGTTGTCAGTTTTTATAAAACTGGTCGAATTTAACCGGAAAGCTTGAAAACTGTCCGCATTTCCACATGTTTAAAATATTTTCGTAGCTGGCCTCGCTGGGGTCTTTTATCTGAAATATTTCTCAAAATCTTTTTTATTGCTGTACGAAGTGTATTTTGTATTTCTTTCATTTTTCCATACCTCGAACAGAACTGGTCGCGCGCTAGCGCGACCGATACTTGTAAAGTATTATGCTTATTTGGTATACTACTGATATTCGGCATATTAATGCTTTCAGTGATATTGCGATAATACGTCTTGCCCCGGGTTGCGCTTTGACATTAATTTTGTACAATAGCATCGCGTGTACCGTGTAAGTATCAGTACAATACAGATACTGTGCCTGATATTCATTTTCCGTTATTCGATGATTGACAGGCTGCTAAAGGACAAATTTGCTGACGACAATCTGTTGACATAGATAAGAAAAACTAAGTATGAGAAACCATAGAATAACATACGAATTGAATCAAAGTAACGTAAGATAACCTAAGAAAAAAAATATAAGAAAGAACCTAACCAGTAAGACAGTACCTAAGAAGTCCAAGCGAACCAAATGACCTAACAAACACTAAGAAACTAAAGAAAAGTACTCGGAAAGCAGAAAAAACGCAGAAACCAGACCATTAAGCAAGCTCATGTCGGGCGGAAATTATTTGTGCAAAAGGTCACGCCGAGCAATGTTAGAAAAGCCAATGGTCGGTGCGTAATCTGTCGGTCAGCAGGTTGTTTTCAGCAGCAGTATACGAGTATACTGCTGGACTATGGAAATGCGACTAAAGTGTCTTCTTGATAAAATTCTTGCTGAGGACAACGAGAGTTGTGTCGGTCGTGTCGGCTTCCTATAGGGCAGGAATCACTCAGGCTGGGCCAGCTGAACTGCAGCCAAGTTAACCCGTATAGTTGAACAGGCACACGCTACTGACATGGTGAGTTGAAAGAGTTATGGCGTTAAATACGCTGCGGTATTCTTGTTTAAAGCATGACCTGAAATGCTGTGTATTCTGGAGAATTGTTGTTGTTGTTGTGACTCTTGCGAGTGTCTGCTGCCTCGAACTGGCCTCTGCCCTGAATGTGTGCGGACGTTAAAAGCATTAAACGGGAATACTCACAGTCAGGCCCCGCTGGTCGCTGCTGGGCGTTGACTGACGGCGGCCGCTGCGTACGAGGACATCCCGCAGTCAGGTGCAGCTGCGCAGGCAGGAGCGAGAAAAATGCTAGCCACTGACCGACACTCGGCTGGCTCCTCCATCTGCACGTCAGCATCGTCAGATATCTGCCGAATGATTAGTATGGCACATGGATCTCCAGCACGGCACGATGGAAACTGCACGGTCGCTGTTTGGGAAAGCCTGGAGATGTAGAGTTCGTCAGTGACGACAACTACAGTGGTTGCTGCACAAGTAGATTATAGATATACAGTACAGCGTGTACCGATACTTCTAACCAGGAGCACTACTGCAACGAGACTAACCAACAACTGCCATCGCCAAGGAAACGCACTAAGCATAACACACGCCTTTAACGTTTAAGTTTGGAGATTTATGCGTGGTAATGCTATGAGTGTTTTGTGCACATGTCCCTTCCCACGTTGATTGGGACAAATTCTTCATTTGATGATATTTGTTGAGCGAAGCTCGCCTTGTACATATTGAGAACTATTAATACCCAAGCCTCATAACTATATCTGTACTGCTACGATTGTTTTAACGCGGCATGAAACAACAGAAACTGGTCGTCTGTCTGACCTGCAATTTCATTTCCAGAAAACGTTTTACGCTTCGGCTAATGCCATTACACCGCACTACAGACTGTACAAAGTACAAAACCATGAAACACTGCAGAAACCACAGCGCTGATTAAAAGAGCGCGCTACATAATTTGGCTAATGGTGCTACACTGGAGCCATTTCGACTTCAATTTCATTTATACAATCCGGCTATTGGCGCTGTATGTATATGTACGACGTACAGACAGTCTGTAGGTAATCAAGTGACTTCCGGTCGAACACACAACAGTACGCTAAAGATACTACATAATGCGCCGGTAACATCCACGCGGCCGAAGGTTTACCGCGTGTCCAGGATAGCGTACTAGCGTGATTACATCCGGTCTTTTGACAGCTGTAACCGGCAGGCCTTTCGCTTGCATTCTGACTGGGAAGCCGGCTGTCTTTAATCCCCGACTAAACTCGCCACTAATGTCGTCGTGCCATGCCGACCCACTTCATCATAAGCCACTGGCCATTCTGTTCCTCAACCTGCATGATTTTAGTTTTGTTTCTTATATATTCCGTTCGTACGCGACGTTGTTCTAATAAACTAAGCCTGCGATCTGGCCGCATAGTGAACCGGTGTTTCTCGAAATTCTGGAGAAACATCGGTTCAGTATGCGGCCAGATCGTGGAAACGCTTACAGTTTCTCGTGACCTCGCATCCTCATCCAACCTGAAACAGTCGTTTGCTCCCTGGAAGCGCTGTACAGATCTGTATAAGCAATTGCAATTGAGATGCTTTAAGAGCCATCGTTTTAATATCGTTTACAAAGATGCCAGATATACAGTCACATTCCTTGTGCGATGTGGCATGATGTACAGTACAGTGGACTTCATAAATGTGGTTACACATAGCCACCCGTATGCATAGCGCTATCGGCTTTAAGTGTAACCACATTTATGAAGTCCACTGTAGAGTAGTAATGTCATATGCGGCCATGAATTTGCCTAATTCACGTTCGTAAATACATTTACGCGCGCAGCATCCGGTTTCGGAGTTATGGCTGTAGGACGATAATCCACGGTGTTGAAGCGAATTTGGGTGTAAACGGAAGGCGGCGGAATGTCCAGTTACGGCGGTGTATCTCGCAGAGGCCCTACCCAGCCGTAACATGCATACGGGCATCCTGCCGCGCGCGGCGTACCTGGGATTTGTGAGGAGCCGGGAGAGCGATCGATATCCATCCATACTCGTATCGTTTTCCGGCCGAGTTCCACAAATAAGTCCCAGAGGTGTGTATCCCAGGTACATATTATGTAACTGCATACTCTTGTACGAGTATATATTATGTAGTAATGTAGATGATTGGGTCTTTTATGAAAACGGTTATTATATAGTCTGCTTATTTATATGTCCTTGTGAACATCCATGCTCTGGTTCGCAAGGATACATAGGCCGACTTTATAACAAACAAAATAATTCATCTTTGAGCTCACCCGAGGACTAAAGACATCCGGTTTCCCAGCCAGAATGGAGCCGAAAGGTCTTTCAGTGAAGGATCGCAAAAGGCCGGATGTTATCACACTCGTACCATGGGAACGCAGAAAGCCGCTGGCTGTCGACGTGACTTGCGTGGACACACTTGCTGCCTCGTATATCGATCGCACCTCAGTGAATGCCGGGGCCGCAGCTGAACACGCCGAAAGAGCGAAACTGACGAAACACAGCTGACTGCAGCCACGGTACAATTTCATGGCGGCAGCACTCGAAATTTACGGACCGTGGGGAGATGGAACAAAAAGGCTTGTGGAGAAGGTTGGAAGCGGCATCGCCACCGCCACAGGCCAGAAACGTGCGAAAGACCTTTTTAGACAGCGACTCTCTATCCAGGTACAACGGGGAATGCGATTTGTGTAATGGGTACAATTCCCGATCAGGATAGCATTGAGGAAGTGTTTTTCAGTACTAAGTTTGTACTTGTGACTTGATACTTATTAAAGGTGCAGATAATTAATCCTTTGGAACGCATTCTGTTGATTTGTTCAACACAAAAGGAGAATTACCGAAACAGGGGGAAGATGGCTTAATGCGTGTGGAAAGCTTGGAAAATGACATCAACTAACCATGGATGTTGACAATTTCTTAAAACAAACTACGATTTATATACAGCAAGTATGCAAAAAGCAAAAAAAGCCTGTCGAGTGTCGGGTACGATATATTGCCAACATTCTCAGAAGAAGGCCTAACTTTGCATCTTTGGAGTGGCTTCGGCGCCGGTTCACTAAGCAAGACAATTGACAAACGCAACTGTCAACTACAAAACTGCGCAGACAAGCGACACAGCTAGCCAACGCTCGTTTTCAGGGAAGTAAGTAAGCGATCCCGCTGACTCGGTACATTGTATAGGTAATTGCACGTCGATGCCAACTTGGTGTACAAGTGTAAGTACATTCATGCACGAAAACATTCGTTTTTGCGCACACAATACACATAGACTATTTTTGCTTACAGTAAAACCTCTCGTTACATACACTTCTTTATTAAATACACTTCTCTATAGCATACAACCTGTAAGGAACCGAATTGGCTCGCATGTTATAAATAGGGGAGATTCTCTTTATAACATTCACCTCTTTATAAGCCTTACATACACTTTCCGCGGAACCGAATGCAGTTTAACTAGTGCAAAGAACCTATGAACAACATTCAGCTCCGGATAAATACAGCTGCATACAGGTAGCCGGATGCAATGCGATGTTATCTCAACATCCTGAACTAATATGGAGCAACATTAACGTTGTATGTGTAAATGGTAATTACTATTTGCAGAAGTACATCTCAACAGAATAGTTTTATTTTACCAGTCTTCAAGTACTAATGAGATTTTATGATAAAGTCAAAACGAAGTTTGTATTTTTAATATACTCGTATGTAATACAAATTCGTAATGTACTACAGATTCTTGCTACTGCCTTATGTTGCATTTATAAAATACGTGTATTTCGACGCCACCCACCCCAAATTATAGCAGCGCCCCTGGGGGCAGTTTTCCTTTATAAAATACACCCCGGTATAACATACGAAACTGATGGAACCGTACCTGTATTTTATAGAGAGGTTTTACTGTATATACATCGCCGTTTTTAGCTATAAGTTATAGCTAAAAACAATTGCAATTAAAAATTCCTCGGAATGAATGCAGATATTGGCCGTTATAGCCTATGACGGCCAATATCTGCGTTTATTCCGAGGAATTCTTAACGATTTCAGGTGTTGTAGTCCGTCTTCCCCTGGCGACAACAACCGTTCTTCTGCGCCTGTGTTGGTCATGAGCAGAATGTTTTCGACAAGTCGAAAAGGGTAGCTTGTTTCTGCGTACATCTCGGCCTACTTGTGGATATGTTCAAAAAGACCAGTACCCTTTCTTCGTCATGGTATCCGTGACGTGAACAGCCGTTATCGGAAGAAACCCGACTTTCGGGATAGTTTGGCTCGTTTTAAAAGTCCCGGCTCCTCACACGCTTCATAGATAGGCCAACGAGCGGAGTCGGAGACTAGGATAGTCTCCGACTCCGCTCGTTGGCCTATCTATCCCGCCCGGGACTCGACATGAAGCGGGCCGGAGGCTCCATATGGATTCATCCCGCCTGGTACTGAGTCCGTCTGTTATTCAGGTCAAATCCATCAATTAAATAACAAAGGTACCTTTAAATCCATTTTTAACATAAGTATACATTGGTGAAACCGAAAATCACGCAGTAAATCAGTTCAGTACGTAATACACTTCGTCCAACCTCTTACCGATACAGAACGTTTCCTGTACACAGGCAGCACTGCCTCGCATTAAAGCAACACTGATTCTCTCTGCTTAAACACAGTAAAAACATCAGATTCTGTGCTATTATAAATGACAATTTTATTTTTGTTTGGTGTATCTTATTGTGTAGTTCGCATTATCGGCTGGCGCTTTTATTTCTGTTTCTGAACTGATTTTAGTTATGGTTCTTCTGCCGTTCGTACGGGACGCCGTCTAATAAATTAGGCCTGCGATCTGGCCGCACAGTGAACTGGTGTTTCTCGCTTCTGGTAATCGTAATCTTAGCTGCTTCGTGACCTCGCATCCCTTTTCCAACCGGAACAGTCGATTTGCTCCCTGGAAGCGCTTAAAACCAGGCCGCTGTCCACTGGAAACCGAGATACGGCTGAAAAAGGCGCCGATGGGGGAACCGACCCCCGGCTACGTCGTTAGATCCGCGTAGGCAGTACCCCTGCACCACGGCGCAATACGTTGAAATCCTTTGAAAGACTTTAGCCGCTTCTCCGCTCACACGCTGTATAAGCAACTCCACTTGAGATCCTTTAAGAGCATCGTTTTTAATATAAATAAGACGTGAAAAATCGGTCATCCTGATCTCGGTTTTTATGTGTACGGTGACTCGACAACAAAACAAAGTAAAAAAATCATCACACCGCCTTCTTAAGGCGTTCGCGCGGCGCCTCAATCCGATTAAACAAGACCACCTTCTCCGCGCCCAATTTCACCTCCCCCTCCCGCCCACTAACCCGCACCCTCCCCCGTCCACCTCCAGTCGCGTCCCTCCACACCCCAACTTCCCCAACACGGTTTCCCCCAACCCCGGGGTCACGGGGCCCAGCAGCACCCCGGCCACCCGCAGCGCCTCCAACGCCACGAACAGCATCACCTCCAGCCGGTCCTGATCACCCTCCACACCGCTCTTGGCTAATGTCCAGGGCGCTGTGTCCTGGACGTAGGCGTTGACCTCCCGCAGTGTGTGCATGACGGCGTCGATGGCCTTGTAGATGTGGAAGGCCTCAAAGTGCTCGGCGACGGTCTGGGGCAGCGCGTGGATGTCGGTGAGGAGCGTCCGGTCGGCGTCGGTGAGGGCCGCGTCCGGCGGCGGCGCGGGGAAGGTCTGTTTCCGGTTGACGGAGGTGGAGGTGCAGCGGTTTAACAGGTTGCCCAGGGTGTTGGCCAGCTCAGTGTTCAGGTAGCTGATCACCTTCTCTTCCGAATAATCTATGGAAAACAAACATCCGTAACACTGCGATGCATTACTGAATTTATTTTTGAATTTATTCTGGACTGCCACGCCACGATTAATTTTTTAATTTAATTAATTATTTTTTGAATTTTTAAATTTTTTTTTATGGATTGATTTTTGCCTGCCGAGTTTTGGTTAATTTATGTATGAATTTATTTTTAACTGTCAGGTCTCGACGAATTTATCAATTAATTTCGACTGCCACGCTACGAATTTATTTAGGGATTTATTATTTGTTTTCGCCACCTTTCGGTGAATTTATTTTTCAATTTATTTTCGAATGCTGGGATGATTTCGCCGGGCTTACTGTTATCGGAATGGGGGACGCCTTCGCGGAGGAGAAAGTAGCGGAAGCCGTCGACGGTAAAGCGCCGCAGACAGTCGTTTGGGTCGACAACATTCCCGAGGCTCTTGGACATCTTCTGGTGGTCCACCAGCCAGTGCGAGTGGCACAGGATCCGCCGCGGCGGCTGCAGGCCCAGCGCCAGCAAGAATGCCGGCCAGTATATCGCGTGGAATCTGCAATTCATACGGAAAAAAAATTAAAAAAAAATTAAAAATTAAGGCAATAAAATTAATTAAAATAAAAAGCAGAAAAATGCCGTAATAAAACCTAAGAAATAAATAAAAATAGTACAGCATGAAAATAAATTATAATGATCCACAAAAAAAAACCGAAAAGGTTATAAATAAAATATAAATCAATAAAAAATAACAAATGCGGCAAATAATTACTAATATTCCAGAATTTAATCAGGGCGTGATTACTTGAGAATATCTTTGCCAATGACCTGTACGTCCGCCGGCCAGAACGCCCGCCACCGCTGTTGATCACCGGGATAACCTATTACGGTCAAATAATTGAGCAGCGCGTCCAGCCACACGTAGATCTTCTGCTGCGGATCATCCGGCACATCGATGCCCCATTTTAATCGCGCCGACGACCGCGACACGGACAATTCCGGCAACTGCCGCTCCTGCAGCCACTGCTCGACGATGCCGTTGAACAGCGGCGGCGTGATGGGTCCCGTCGCGATCCACTTCTTCAGATCATCCTGCAAAACAAATGGGAAAAATGTAAAAAAATACACAGAAAATAAGATCCAGTTAAATACGGAACTCGGAATTATTTTCGAATAAATTACCAGAAAAGCAATTATTTAAAAGCAAACCGGAAATTTACAGAAAATATTGTCCGGATGAATACTAAAAAATCTGGCCGAATAAATTAATGAAAGCCATTAAATCACGGGGGATATTTAAACAAGTGTCCAGAAAATTGAAAGATAAATTCTTAAAAAAGATAAGAGAAAATAATGAGAAAAAAAATAAGAGAAAATAAGAGAAAATAGTTATTATCCAGCTAAAATAATAAAAAAACCTGGTCGAAAATAAATTTAAAAAAGCAATTTAATAAGAAAATAATTAGAAGAATATAGAAAATAAACTGAACAACAAGGAAATAATGTCCAGGTAAATTCTCAGAAAATCAAGTTGAATAAATCACAGAAAACAAGCAAGCGGAGTACTGTATTAAAAACAAAGCAAAAGTCGTAAAAAAATGACAAAAAATCCAGAATAATTCTTCCTAAATAATTTATTCAGAAACAAATAGCGAAGACTGTTTTTACTTGGAACTGAGCGAGCGGGAAGAGGTAGTTGTCCTCCTCCATCCAGTGCACCCGGTGGCCGGACTCAATGGAAACAAATCCGCTGGATCCATCAGAAAACGTGTGCGGTCGCAACTGCGACTCGGTGAGGAAGGTCTCGTCACTGGTGCAGTACCATCCCGCGTAGACGCCCTTGCGAAGAAGCCCGCGCTCCTGCAAACAGCGCCAGGCATGCTGCACCCTCTCCCGGTGGGCGGTGGCGCTGGTGCTGACGAAATGCGTGTACTCGATGTTGGCGGCGCGGAAGGCCTGCTGGAATTTGTCACGGTTGGCCGCGCAGAAATCGCCGGGAGACTGGTTGGAGGCGGCAGCGGCCTGCTGGATTTTTAGACCGTGCTCATCCGTGCCTAAAATGGGAGGAAGAAAATTCGCCAGAGAAAATCTACAGAAGAAACCGAGTATTTTGCAATTGGTTGCCCTGTCTACATAGCAACCGCCCAGTTTCTGTAGTTAAACTGCCCTGTCAACATGGCAACCGCACCACGCTACGGTGCTCAAGCTGCTGCCACTGCATTTCCGATTTGCTGTGAAATTTAACGTCTTTGACTGTTTTGCCTCTTCTCCTCTCGTTCTATCGCCTTCTCGAAACAAATACAATATTCCAAAGGAAAAAATAGGATGCAAATTGCAAAATATTGCGGTCTCTGTGGTACGACAGTTCTTACCTGTGGAGAAGACCGTGGCGTCGGCGGGATGCTTCAGCTTGTGCCAGCGATGCAGCGCGTCGGCCAGCACGGCCGAATACACGTGCCCGATGTGCGGCGCTATTCAACGATAAACACATTCCCCGTCACTAGCTCGCTGCTGGAAAAACACGGGAAGGCTCCGCGCACGACATGGCTTACCAGCGTTAACATAGAAAATCGGCGTCGTCACGAAGTACCTCGACAGATTCATCATCCAGCGCCAACTACGCTCTGCGTCGCTCTCACACCTTCATAATGTACTAAAACCACAAGAAAACAGGACAAAAAAAGAAATTACCAAAAAGTAGAATAAAATTAAAAAATCCAGAGGATCACAGGTTTCCAGATTTTGCCAATCTGGAATATGAATTAACGAGAAAAATCAGAAAACCAATGAAAAATTAAAAAATAATGAAAAACTCGCGCCGGAACTGTTTCTGCTACCTCGCCACTCCACGCTCCAATGCAGGCAGCAGAGCACAGCGGGCGGTCGCCAGCTACACAGAACCGCTCCGGACGTCACGGATCAGAAAAAACCCAAACAAACACGAAATTCAAAGTGGGAAACGCGTTTCCTGTTTCCAGTGTCACGTTTTCATCTGGAAAATTAGTTGATCGAATTGTGCTGATGAACCGCATTTTTTCTTTAATTATTTCCCCACGGACCGCACAACTATTCACCTCAACCAGACCAGCAACAGCGTAAGTGTAGCCGTGTCAAAAAGCTTGCATGTGAATATCTGTAGCAAAAACGCTGTTTTGCAGGCTGCCTGTTTCTTCCCGATTATTTCCCATCTCGCGCACCATGTCCAGCCTTCCCCCCGTGCAGATCGACGACAGCGGGACGTACAAGTATATTTTAATCGAGGGGCCCAACGGGGAGCGGTTGGTGCGCGGCACGGCCAGCGCCGACTACCACAACAAGATTTTCGAAGCAGCGGAGAAAGACGCCAAGAAACAGGGCGTCGCGCTCAAGTGCCTGGGCGGCGGGAAGATCCAGCGTGACGGGAACAACATCAAGATCTTCGGCAAGTCGGAGGGCTTCGGCCCGGCGGATCACAGCGTCACGGCGGAGGTGCTGAAGAAGGCCTATCCCAACGCTAAAGTCACCATCGGCGAGGAATAAATCAGCAGCATACTGCTACAGGTTAAATTGGACACGCGCCCAGTTTTCCTTATGTGCACTGTGCGGCTACGTTGTTGCGGTAAATTAATGGTGATGGTCTTTTATCGGGGCTTTTCTTTTAAATTTTACGGACTGACGGTTAGCTTGTGGTTTTTATTGTGTACGGAATTTTTTTGCGGATTTTTTTCATGGCGTGGGCAATTAAATTTTGTGTTTTCGTCGGTTGGTTAAAGAATTAACAAGAATTACGATTCATTTTATTTACCCTAAGAAAATGCATTTTATTGATTTTACAAAAAATCCTTTTTGAAATTTGTTCACTTACTGAAATTTATTTTAACTTACTCCAGTTTAAATCTATTTTCGCAAACAATTCATTTTTTACTATTCAGTACTAGCTGTACTTTATTGAAATTTATTTTAATTCATTGTACTGGTACGAAACTGTAAAGTGTAAACACTCATTGTTAAAAAGAATTCGTTTTTTTTAAATTCATTTTCTTTGCGGAAATTCATCTAGATATTCTCGAAGTACAACAAATACTGCGAAAAGAAAGAATTCGCTAAAACAATCCATAAATCAACATCCCAAAATCTGCGGCACTAATACACTTCGCATCCGCACGACACTGTTGTGCATTTCAAGAAAAATACCAGAAAAATCAGAAAATAATACAAAAAATATCCCACATTTAATACAAAAATAATTCCGCGATTGATACATTTAAGACAAGTAACACACCGTCTACAGAGTAACTAGCGACTTGCGGTCACATCGCCACCATTCCGAATGCGCCGACTATGGACAAATCTTGATAACCGGTGGGTGCGTGTCAGTCATCGACGCTGATCTCCCCCTCCGCGGAATCCTCATCCCCCTCCGCCGCGCGCAGGCCCTCCTCCAAGCGCCGCAAGGCGTCCATGTTGCGCCGCTCCTCGCGCCGGCGCTGCTCCTGCAGCTGCGCTCAACATACAAACAGTTCTGCGTCGTTTTTCAATCAATTTTCAATTAATCTTACTTTCCGAAAATTAATATAAAAATAATTAGCAAAATTACTTTCAAATTATAAAAATTATTTTTAAAAAATTAAAGCATATTGTATATCCTTATTTCGAGAGTTTTCAAGGTATTTTATCAAATCGAAATTTATTTTGGTCAATTTCTACACCTGAAAATTAATGAAATAATTAGAAATCATAATAATTTTAAAAAACCGAATTGCTCCTTTTAAACCGTTTGAAAATTGTCGGAACCTGGTTTGGTTTAGAAATAAATGTGAAATATTTGAAAATTCAACTGTAATTATTGACGTACCTCCACGGGCGACGGTCCCTTGCGTTTGCGCCCGCGATTTATCCCGCTGCCGTTGGGTGTCGCTGGGACAAGGACCGGGACCACCGGCGTCGCCGGCACCCCGCCCTGCCCCCCGCCGCCGCCCCAGGCGGTCGTCGCCGTACCCACATACGCGGCGAAGTTGGCCTGCATCCCCAGCAACAAATGCTGCATATTGTGCACCGCGTCCATATACCCGCGGATATACGCCTGCTGCTGCTCGGTCGTCGGCGGACAATAGTTCCCAGCGCTGCCGACCGTGGCAACGGGGGTCTCCAGGAGGCGGCGCAGCTGCGGCATGGTCCCCGGCGTGGCGGCCGCCCGCGGGGCGGTGCCGGGGTAGTTGGGCGGGGGTTTGGGAATAAAGGGGCTGCTGTTGAGCGGGGCGTTGAGGGCGGGGCGGGGGTAGGCCGGGGGCGGGGGCGGGGAGATCTGGATGATGGTCGACGGGTTCGGGTCCATTTTCCGCATGTCAGCGAACGCGGTGCTCCACAAGGTGGTGCTGGTGTTCATTAAAAATCAGCGAAAATTATATACAGCTAGGTCGTAACGGTGCAGATTAACACGCGCGAATAAGACGAGCAGACGAATTTTCCTTTTCTGGGAACAACCGGCATGATACAATGCATTCCTGGCCCGGCGAGAACAATGCCACGCCACACTGGCACGCGTCCAGCCGTTGCGTGCGGCGCGGCGCGGTTCGATTTGGCGAATTACACAGTCGGATTATTCGTCCGTACTTGGTACTTTTAATTTACACATGTACATGTGTAGTTTAATGTATGTACGCATCTACGGTGTACCTCGTTAATTATTAATGTTGTACATATAGATATCACGTACCTTTTGGATAATTTTACACTTGTACATAATAATAATTATGCTGTTTTTCTTATCGCTAACTACTGTGACCTTTCGATGTATACGAAAATACGCTATTAAATTGTATACATTATTTGTACATTTATAATAATATTATCGACAAGCGCAACTGTATACTCGTACCGGAGCAAACTACATCGTTAATTATTGTACGGATCATTAATTTTTGTCATCTATAATATTTTTGTTATCTACAGTATTTTTGTTATCTATAATTTGTGTTATCTGTAATATTTTCTAATACGAGTTATCAGTTATGTATAATATTTTTGTTATCTTAAGTATTATTGTTATCTATAACATCTATCTATTATTTTTGTTATCTATAATTTTTGTTATCTATAATATCTCGTATGGTACGGAAATGTTCGTATGGTACGGAATTGTTCAGTGTAGAAATGAACTTTCTTGGGAAATTAATAATAATCGTAATACAGCAGCGATTGTAGAACGTGCCACAACAGCACCGATAATCAACATTATTCTGGTACTGATTAGTAACAAGATAATAACAAACTATTCATGTACATAATACGGAATTTAATAGTATTAATATTTGGAATAAATAATAAACAAGTCAATTTATTATTACTGCGTCCAGTGATGACGACAGGAAAATTACAGCTGACAAAAACACCACAATTGTGCGCATCGAAGAAAACGTCCGCGTTAGCCGAGCCAAAAACCACAGGAACAACAATCGAATAAATAAATTAGCGCAACAAGAAAATTATCCCAAAAAAACATTTCGAAGCTGAGCGCAACAGTGAGGATTCGCAGGGAGAACGGATTGCATTGATTAATAATAATATTAACAGGAAATTGGTACAAAAATATACTACAGTGATATTGATTTTCAATGATTTTAAGCATCGACGACGGCGGTGAGTTGGGCGCTCTCCAGCACGGCGTTGGTCGGGTCGCCGGATGTCTCTTGTTTAACGGACAACTTGCCGCTTTTCGGCAGCAGGAAGATGAGGCTGCCGATCAGCGCCGCGACGATCCACAACGCGCCGGAACTGTAGAAGGCCGGCGCGCCGCTGATGATCTCTGCAGTGCAACCACGCATTTTAGTTTGTATTTATTCGTAATTTATTTTCGGCATTTAATTGAGCAATTCCATTAATTAATCAATTTATTTTTGTAATTTAATCTTGCAGTTTTAGTTAGCGTTTCACTAGCAACTGAATTCGGTAATTTAGTTCAATAAATTAATCGGGTTATTTGTTGCAGTAGTATGTTTTAGTATTTAATTAACAAATTAAAATAGTAAGTAAAATAAACGTAGATGAATAATTAGAGAAACTGTGGAAAATGAAATGAGCAAAATCCTCGTCGTACCGGCAATGGGCGGTCCGAGCATGCTGGCGATGCCGGCCAGCAGCTGCGTCTGTCCGAAGGCCAGCGGCAGTTGTTCCGGACCGAGTCGACTCGATAAAATCACCGCCATCAGCGAAATATACGGCGCTGCAAACGAAAAACCCGGCAATTTAATTTCCGTCATTTTGTTGATCAGTAATCGAATTTAACCGATAATAAACTAATTAATAAAGGTCACCGTAATAGTATTAACTGAATTCGATTGACTTTCCGACATTTATTTAATTTAATTTAACCAACGGTGAGTAATTGAATTTAACCGATAATAATTTAATTAACAAAGGTCACCGTAATAACAGTATCGATTTAATTGAATTAGTTAAAAAATTTTGCCGTTAGTATTAGTTGAATAAAGGTCACCGCGTCAGTTAATGAGTACGGACCGATGAAGAAGCCGTAGACGGCGCCGTCGACGAGCATGCCGGCGAAGGTGCCGCAGACCGGGAGCAGGCCCAGCCAGACGCCGCCCAGCAGGATGCAGGCGTTGTGCAGTTTCAGCGGATCCCAGCCGCTGCGGTCGATCACGGCGCCCCAAGCGATCCTCCCGGCTAAATTGGCGCAGTTCACCGCCGTCATCGTGTACGCCGAGGTGTCTTTCGTGATGCCGTACAGGCTCTGCGCCAGGTCCGGCAGGAAGAAGATAGGTGTCAACAGCGCCAACGAACCTATATTTGGATTTTAAATTATTTTCATTCCAATAAATTATATGTAGAATTATTAATTCGGTATTTATTTTGTTTATTTTATTTTAATTTCCAGTTTTTTTTTATTTTGGGGAAATTATAACACTTGTAACAGTCATCATATTCGGAAAATATAATAATAATATTAATTAATATTTTCTAAAATTAAAATTTGAATCAATTTAAGATAAATTTATTTTGAATTATTTATTTCAATCAACAACATTTAGAACACTTGAAGATGCGCAGTTTAATCTTTTACTATTTTTATATAATTTTAGTTGGAGAAACTGCTGGAAATCGATGCCGATTGAATAAAATTTAATGGATGAACTGTAGAAAATGCGGGTATACACCAGTAGAATAACTGAATATTTCATTTAATTCTTTAGAATAAAATCTGAAACAAATTATGGGAAAATATAATTTTAAAAATTGATTTGGTAAATATCAGGCATACTGACCGATGAAGCTGGCGATGCTGTAGAGGAGGAAGGCCGGATGCCGGTAGATGCTCAATCGCGTCATGTCGTGGAGGGCCTCCTTGACCAGCGGCGGCAGGCAGCCGCCCCCGCGCGGGCGGACGCTGAGCGGCTGCGTGTGGGCCTTGTGTTGCGGGTCGAACATGGCGGCGGCGGCGACGCAGCAGAGGAGCGCCACGCCGGCCAGGAAGAGCATGGTGCCCTGCCAGTGCCAGATGTGCAGCAGCGCCGTCACGATCAGCGGGAAGACCATGCCGCCCACGCTCGACCCGCACACCGTCAGGCCCACGGCCAGCGCGTTGCCCTCCTTGAAGTAGGCGCACACGTACATGATCGAGGGCGAATAAATCAGCCCGAATCCCATGCCTGTACAGAGAATATTTTTCTAATTATTCTAAATCTTTTTGAATATCTCTAATATTTTTTAGAATTATTTTCACATGTTTTATACACTCCCACACAATTATATAGATTTTTCCTATTAATTTCGAATTACTTTCACATAGTTGTATACGTAAAGGTCCGAACAACTATTTTAGAGTATTTTTAAAAATTTATACAAGTGTGGAAAATATATGAGCATGTCGAAATAATGCGGAAAAACTATAGAAAAGACCCATTAAATTATTGTTAAAATGTTTTTCGATATTGTCAAACAATTATTTGTAGTTTTGTTGCTGTAAATGCCGAATAAAGCTGCACATAAATTTAAAAAAAATGTCTGCTTGCCTCCAATGACGCCGTAGGTGACGATGAGGACGTAGAGATTATTGACGAAGAAGCTGACGGCGAAGCCGGACGCGGCGATGAGGGAGCCGCTGAAGATGATCAACCGGTAGCCGAAGGTGTCGGCCAGCGAGCAGGCGATGGGGCCTGCCAGCACCGCAAAGGTCATTTTATTTATACATCCATTTTCGACGAATAATTTTAAATTGATAAATTATTAGTGATTATCTGTAATTAAATTGTTAAATAAATATACCCATGAGGAGGTAGACGCCGTAGAGGAAGCTGCCGACGAGGGAGGTCAGGGACGACGACAGGCACTGACCGGTGCTGGTGCCGTTGCCGGCTTCCTTCTGGCAGTCGGCGGTGACCTCGCGGAAGTTGTCGAGGAACATGCTGATGGAGCCGGCCACGCCGTCCACCACGAAGGAGCAGAAGAAGGCCGCCGCCACGATCACCCACCCGTAGACACGACGGCGCCCGCTCGCCACCACCCGCGACGTCAACGTCACCGCACCCGCCTCCGCATCTACGAAAACAGCCCATACCGGTAAGTATTTATTACTGACGCTTGCGTTCTACGTCGTACGAGATAAAAAGGCGCAATAGAAAGTAAACAAATCGTCACTGTACCGCGACGATCCAAATATCTACCGGCAATCTGCGCGACCGATTGCATCAGCTGTTTACAGAAAATTTACCGGTATACAGTCTGCATTCGCTCTGGTTTCTGGCGCATGATTACATAATTGTATTTGCAGCCACAGGCTGAGTTTGCGGATGTAGACATCAACAAATCAACGATTTAAATTAACACTTAGCTAATTATGTGAAATATGTGAAATAAAATTAATTTAAAAAAATTTTAATAAAAGAATCAGATAATAAAATACACAGAATAATGGTGTATCCAGAATCAGAATCGAACAGCATGGAAGAAGAAGGAATGCGCTGCATTCTTGCGGCGTGCACCCGGCACGCCTCCTGCTGCTGTTTCCTGGCCAACACGACCGTTGTTGACGTTGTGCGAATACCGGGACAATGATTTTGTGGTTACGGAATTCAACAGGAATTAATCTGGCAGTTACTCCGCAGTTTCGCAGCGCAGCACGCTATCTGGGAATCGATCGATAGTTCGATTCGCAGCCGGATTTTAAACAACACTTTGGTGATGCGGGAATATTCCGCACTGTACTTTACGTTACTAAAAATGCTGGTTACCTTCATTAATCCTCAGTATGATTAAATAAAAGTATAAAAGCAGCTAAAATGTATGTTTGTATAAAAGCTAAAAATTAATATCCCAAAAAAATTATTTTTATTACAATTAATAAAATCTGCAGCTGCAGGTTTTTTTTACGCAATTAATTACTCGTTGAAAGTAGAACAAAATGTTCAAATGTTGTAAAAAAATTTTAAAATACGAATGAAAAATAAAACAAAATATAAATAATACAAATAAATAAATGTTAATAAGATGAACAAGTATAAATGATATTTAAACTTAAATGACAAGTGGAACAGATATAAACCATAAAGAAACCTAGAAAATACCGAATCAAATAGACTTAAATTGCGCAGGTTCCCACGCATGACGGTACGTGGTGGGAAAACGAGACCGATTGTCTACGCAATAAAATCATCGAGGAGTTAATTAATTAATCTGCACCGACCTGGATCAACTCCGGACGTCATGATGGCGCGCAGTCCTTCGCACTCTGTCACAGGCAGTTCAGTAGGCGCTTATCGTACGCAAGTCGTTCACCTTGCTTCAACACGAACCACGCTCAACGCTGCACGGTTTATCCGCTTGCGCAATCTCCTTCAGTTCACTACGAGGACAAAACCGGTTATCAAAACTAACAATTTCTCCATAACAAACCCGACCATTCCATACCCGAGTTGCTCCGTTAAGACTCGACGTACCTTGGTGAAAAATCCAAGGAGCAGAAAATCGAATTGGTGTGGAAAAAATGCTGGCTGATTGATTGTTGACAACTGACTAGTCAATACTCGGCTGCACAATGCATACCTGCTCTTCACGTCATTGAACGGCTGCAAATTTTTAATCCGATTCGTACTTCAAATGAACGCGTACGACGCCAGTGCTGCCAGAGTGCAGACGCATCCGGGAGCGGTCGTACAAGTACGTACACGGTGCAGCTGTCAGGTGCGTACGACGACGCAGCGTTCTCTGTTCTCTCTGTCTGCGCTGCAGACGTAAACATCGCGGGCTGATGCAATACTTGAAGCAGATTGCAATCTGCACCTCTTGCGCAACTGGCTTAACGCCGGCTCGAAGTGACGCCACACAGGGCAATCAAGCGTCATCATCAGCAACAAATTTATAACAACAAACCTTATCATTCTGCAATATCAACCATAACACTGTACAAACATTGAAACACGAAACGGTTGTGTCGGTACAGTCAGTGTTGTTTTCCGCTGCGGTTAACACGCAGCTTTCGAGTATTAGTCAAATTTCCGGTGTAATTCAAATGTTATTTTTAAACTTGTTCTTTCAGATTTTTATAGAGGAATCTATCCAATTCAATGCGATTCAATTTGATTGATGGAGTTTACTGTAATTGTTTAAAACAACGATACATCGGTAATTATCAATATTTTTCTGTATATAACAGAAAACATTGTCGGAAAAATAAATTTTGTAAATTAGGAAAAGCTGGTTTTAATTACAAATCAATTTTTTTTAAATATCAGATTCCGTTTTCAACCAAGTATTATTTCCAAGCACTTAAAAAACGGCCCAAAATTCTTTGAATTTTAGCACTAACAAGAAACACAACCATGTATACGCGCATAAAATCACATAATTAAAACACATAATTTTAATGCAATACATATAAATTTAAAACGGTTTTCGTCAGCATACAGATCATATAAGTAGCTAATAATTAATGTTAATGCAGATCTAGAGCGATGCGCAGGAAGCCAGTTTACTACAGTGCCATCCATGTTGGCTGCCGTTATATATGGACGAAGTTCGAGCGTCCGTGTCATTCGGGCTGGCGCGAATCATCCTTGATCACGTAGCGACGGAACAGCGTGTTGACCGGCAGGATGATGGCGTTGGTGAGGAATCCGCGCAATAAAAGCGGACACAAACCCCGGGCGAAGACGCGCAGCTTCTCCTGGCGCGCACTCTCCAGCGCGCAGTGCGTGGCCGACCGGAAACGGGGCCGGGCGGGGTCGTCCATCTGGAAGCGCGTCTTGACGACGTCCTGCGGGAAGGAGGCCAGCCAGGAGATGCTGCCGGCCAGTCCGCCCGCCAGCATCAGCCACGGGACGCTCAAGTCATCGGGGTGGCCGCCGGCGGGGGTCAGCAGCCGGCGGAGGTATTCGTACGGCAGGAAGTATGCGCCGAAGCCGGGGATGTCGCGGAGTAGCGTCACGTTGAAGCCGCGGTAGACGGCGCGTAGGCCGTGGGCGCGGTACACTTGGCGGAGGTACTGCGTTGGGGAGCGGTGCAACGGCTGACCGGAAGTGTCTGCAAAAGGTCAACAAATTTATATATACATTAAGTTTGATGTATATATACATGTATATATAGGCATATATATAGTGCATAATGTGCATAGACAGAATATATATATGCCCATGCATATAAGTGTATATATGTTTACGTATACTTATGAATATATGCGGCTTACCGGAAGTGGCTGCAAAAGGTCAGTGCAAACATAGTAAATGAATATATGCATGCATGTAAAAATATAGATATGTACACATATTATACGTACATAAATTTATGTGCATATTTAGTGCACATATGTATATGTATACAGTACGTGAATAATAGTGAGTATATGTGTGTTAATAACGCGTTTATTTATGTGAATATAATACGTACTTAATTAATATCGTGTACATATTTATATACGTGTATGCTGCGATAAAATGTGACCATGCTTTCTTAGTTGATGGAGCAATTTGTCTGGTTAATTCCGATAACGAATGAGACTCTACATAACCGGCTGCTTACCCGTTATTCCCTGCACCTGCATGCGCGTCTTGGCCAGCTCCAGCGGACAGGCCAGCAGACTCTGCGCCGCGCCGGCCACCATCCCGGCCAGCGACTGGTTCGCCAGGCTGTCGCCGCCCCCGGGCAGCAGGCGCAGCACGTTGCCCTGCACGCCGAAGATGAGCGCGTTGACGGCTACGACGCCGTGCAGCGGACTGCTCATCCCCTTGTACAGCCCGGCCACGCCCTCGCTGCGCACCATCTTGACGAAGCAGTGCAGGGTGCCGGTGTATAGGGGCCGCGTGGCCGGCTGCGTCTGCAGGCGCACCTTCACCGTGTCCAGCGGCTGCATAAAAAACAAAACAAAACGGATAAAATTAATAGTACGTATAGAAATACTTCTATAGATATATACTGTATGTTATTTAAATGTTGATGTTTTTTAATTCAGATTTATGTCAGAAACGTGCAGGTCACAGCAATAATAAAAACAATCGCGATAATAAGTGAGCTTTTAAAATTAATTATGGCTGTTTGGAATAACGCGATACGCATTACGCAAGATTAATATGTACTCACGTGACCGGAAACGATCTGTGCCGCACCGCTGACACACCCACCAACGAATTCTCCCATCTGCGGATTCATTATTAATTAAAAACAGGTAATTAACAGCTGTGTAATAATCTGGCTGCGGCAAATGTAACGGATAGTATATCACGACAATTTGACGATCAGCTAAGGGAAATTCTGGGTAAATGTAATCCGGAAACAACCTGAACCTAGTGGATCTGGTATTCTGCAGCTCCGCCGTAACGTAACACTGCCAATCCGCCCTCGACAACGGAGCACGCAGCGTTCTTTGTCAGCCCGGTTATCAACTGCGTATCGGACGAATCTATATTCCTAATATATATGCCGAAGGCGGAAGAATGCGGCTTTACGTTCTTCGCCGCGTCAGCTATGCATACAACGCAGTGGGATGAGGGTATACCGGCCTTTGTTGACATCATTCCTGGCCTATCTGGGATCACACTGAGATCAGCATGCACGCGACCGGCTGTCATTTCGCGCTCCTAACTTGTCGGTGAGTCAGGGCCGCGCGGAGGTGTGTATTCGACGGCGGTGCAGCCGATTGGACGCCGGCCAGTGTCGCCGGTAGTTGGCTGTATGCCCGGCTAGAGTTGCATCATATCGTGACAACGTATAGTACGTGTCCTTGCCGGTAGTTTTCTTTTGCTGGGTTAATATTCGCTTTAACATAAGTTAAACGCAGAATTACGCAGTTCATCATGTCAACACATAGTACACTTTGTCCAGCCTCTTACCACATCCTTGCCGGTTGTCATCCGAGTCTGACGGCACATTTATTCGCAACGAACGATGCCATTTTTTGCCATATATAGTTATGTACGAGGCTCTTACTTTTAATAAGCATCACATACAAGTACATACTGAGTACTAAAACAGAATTCATAACAAAAACACTTCTTCAATGCTATCCTGCTCGGGGATCGTACCCATAACACATAACGCATTTCCCCGTTGCACTTGGATAGATAGCCGCTGTCTAAAAAACTCTTTCGCCCGCTTCTGGCATGTGGCGGAAGCTATGCCGTTGCCGACCTTCTCCACGAGCTTTTTCGTTCCGCCTCCCAAGGGTCCGTAAATTTCGAAGGCGGCAGCTACTAGATTGTTATATTCGCATTCAACCGGGCGTGTGGTTTAAGGGCGCAGTAGTGTCTCAGTAACGCAAGCAGCACCATGACACATCATAAAGGTCACGCACTTTATTGGCAAAATAAACACAGGAAATAAGAACAGCAAATGACATTTAAAATCGCAACAAAAATTGATTTTATTGGCGGTAATAATGTTGTATTATGCGTTCGACAGTTGCTGACGAATACATTAATTAATCAGACAAATAACCGCCCCGGCGATACATGCTCGCTATATTTGCCGGATCGTGCTGCGAATAACGGAAATATAAATCAACAGCAATTAATAGAGTAAAATTAATTACTCGTATACTACATAACCAGTTTACAATTTACATTAATTTTGTAAAAGAGACATCTTCGCGCGGTATTTTACGCTTTTCCGGAGAAGGCTACATGGACTAGACGACTGCCCACGGGAAATGCGTTCTGCTGCAATGTCCCGGTCGGAATGGCGTCATCGTCGCCTCGCACCGCCGGAACGATCAACGATGCACTGCAGTGCTGACTCACTCGCTGCACAGTACATGTACAATACATGTACCTGTAGTATATCTATATTATAGCCTATACGCGTTTAACCGGAAGTGAATAAACTGCGGTGCGGTACTGTCGCTTACCGATAAAACTGCTGATAAACATTTGTCGGACTGACAATAATCATTACTATAGTGAGCAGTCGACGTCGGCGTGGGCCGTAGTCGGTACGTGTACTCTCCACGATGTCACTTCCACACATGATGTTACAGTAATGTGCAGGCATATCTGTGCGTATTAATAATTACTGCTTTTCGCGCATAAGCCTGACCAACTCGGATACGTTTCCAGTTACCTTGCAGTGTTTGAAAAATTTCTCCTTTTCGCCATGGACAGCCTGGAAAACAGTGAGGAGGACCACGTGACCCTGTTAATCGGCCGCAACAGCCTGGCCGTGCCGCGCGAGCGCCTCGTCCGCGCCTCCGACTACTTCGCGGCGATGCTGGCGCCCGCCCGCGGGGGCTTCCGCGAGGAGACCGCCGCCAGCGTGCGCTTAACCCTGCCGCCCTGGGTGGACGGCGGCGCGGTCACCGCCCTCCTCCACCACGTCAGCGACGACGCCTTCCCGCTGGTCATTTCCGGGGAGAACGCCGAGCGCTACTTGATCGCCGCCAGCTATCTCCAGCTGGAGCGGATCACCCAGCAGAGCGCCACCGCCCTGGTGGGCAGTCTGAACGTCGACAACGCCTGCCGCTTGTGGCGCATAGGATCGGCGCACCACCAGGCCGGGTTAAAGGAGACCGCCCTGCGGGTGGTGGTTAAGCATCTGCCGGCGTTGATGATGACCGACGACTTCCGGGAGTGCACCGCCGAGGAGCTGATGGAGGTCCTGGCGCATGACGATGTGCAGATCGTGTCCGAGAAGGAACTCTACGATGTAACACCGGCAATTATTCATTATTAGTGCTTAAATTAAATTCAGCGGAAATAATGCATCTTAATAAATCAAATTTAAGTTCTTGTTTGTATTTATTTTAGTTTATTTTTATTTATTATTTATTTGTTATTTACGTTTGTTTTTCTTGTTTTTGTTGGCTGTTTATCTAAATGTTTTTATTATTTTTATTTATTTTGTTTATTTCATTTGTATTTTTTACTTACTTTTTATTGTTTATTTTTATTTTTTTATAAATTTGTATTTATTAATAAATGTTACTAGTAATTACTTATGTTTATTGCGATTTGCACGAGTATTTATTGTGTTTATTTGTTTATTTCTTTATTTATTATTAATTATGTTCATTTATCTGTATTCTTGGTTATTTTTAATTATGTTTTTACCGCGCTCATAGGTGGTGATTTCCTGGTGTCGCTTCGACAGCGCCACGCGGTGGAACGAAGCCACCCTGGACAGTCTCCTGAACGAACTGGATTGGAAACAACTGTCCGACGTATCCCACATCCTGTCCATCTCCGCCGAGGAGCCCCTCCGCAGCTGCATCCAGAGGGCATCCGGCCGCATCGGCGCTCCCTCCGACGCGCACCCCGGGGCGGGCGCCCCCTCCGTCCCGGTAAAAAAGAAGCGCAACGCCCGTCGCTTCGTTCTCTTCTTCAACGCCGTCAAGGACAGCCTCGGCCGGTACGCCCTGCACCTCCAGCTGTACGATCCGCGCTGGAACACCCTGCGCCAACTGCACCCGCCCGCGGCGCTGCAGGGCAAGGACATCATGGAGTGCGGCGTCGCCGCCGGGCCGGAAGTCCTTTACAAGGTCCGCTTCCAGGACACCTTCACCACCGTGGCGTTGGACGTGGTCCGGGGGGTGTGGCGCGGTCTCCCGGGGGCGGACGCCGTCATCTTCCAGCGCATCTTCAAACCGGTGGTCGTCGGCGACGGTCTCTACGGCTTCGACCGGGAGAACTCCAAGAAATTCCTACGGGTGGACCTCCGGACCCAGGAAGCCACACCCCTCCCCCCGCCGCCGACCCGCCGGAAGAGCTACGGGACCGCGGTGATAGGCGGGGTCATCTACTACATCGGCGGGTGGAGCGTGTACGCCCGGGCCGTCTCCAACACCGTCGAGGCCTTCCACACGGACCGCGGGGCGTGGGAGGCCTGTCCCGGGCTGGTGGAGCCCCGGCGGGACTGCGCGGCCGTCGTCCTGGAGGGCGGTGACCTTTTTGTGACGGGCGGGTGGCGCGTGCAGCCACTGCGTTCCTGCGAGCGATTAAAAGTGAACGAGGAGACGCCGGCGTGGGAGGTGGTGGGCGGCGGGATGAAGGAGGCCCGCGCCGAGCACGGGGTGTTTGTGAGGGAGGGGCGGGTGTGTGTCTTCGGGGGGAATAGTAGCGAGAATGTGGCGGTGCGCAGCATGGAGGAATACGACGCCGGAAGCGGTGTGTGGAGAGAAATGCAGGTAACTGCCGGCATGAACAACGGGGATAGTGAGACGTACGCGCGCAGCTGGCAGAACCGCACCTGTCTGCCGATTGAGTGGCCCTGAATGCGGACGTCCGGTCTAGAACGTAGTGTTTAAAACGCAGAACCTTCTGCTTTGTAACAGACGTTGAATGGATGCAGTGAAGGAGTGCAATTACTCGTATTACAAATTTAAAACAATACTATTGTATATTTATTCGGGCAACAGCCTATTAACAGAACAGCAAGCCTGCGCTGGTAGATACTAATTAAAGATTCCGAATTTACACATTGAAGAAACAACCAAAATCATTACAGTCATTTCCAACTTTCAATCGTGCATTTAATGTACCCAAGACAGCGGCCGCATTTCCTCTAACAACAGCGAGACTGAAACGTTGTCTAAGGAAGGCAGTGGATCGAGATTCGCCGGTTAAATCGCGGATTTTCCTACCGACGAAGCGTATCATCTCAGCAAAGGCAGGCCCAAAAGTTCCAAATGTTTCTATTGCGAGAGGATAGAACATGTATCCCATATCCTCTACAAAGCCGTACTTCCGCCGCTTAAAGTCTTCTGCTAGCTGGGCCACGCTGCCTGACTTCTTCGAACTGGCTTTCACGTGCGACATAGCCACGGTGTCCCAACAGGTATCATCCCAGACTACCGCTTTTCCATCACGCACGGGTATCAGCGTCATGCCGTCCGGGCGCTGATTAGTCTTGTCTGACAATCCGGATGGCTCCATCTGGCAAGGAAAGCCCGCGGTTTCCCAGACACGTTTCGTTTCGCTATTCAGCTCGAGATGCCGAGACCATCGTCCTTTGCTGCTTGAACATGACAGCCCATGGTGGCCATTAGTTTCCACGTGACTGGCACAATTCACACAGTTGTGCTCCTCAACAACATGAAGGCCGAACCGTAGTGCGACGCCGATTCTAACTTCATCGTCACGTAAGAATGTATGGAGACTTGGCGCAGGGAGAGCATTAAGCCAAGCGCCAGAGTCCCGGTTTAAGGCAGCCAGCAGCACTGCTTTATCCGTTTCGGTGGTTGCGGCTAGTCGCAGTGTTGATACCACGTGATCGATCGCCGGACGATTCCATGCGGTCTGAAACTTCCTGGCGTTGTCAGTCGGAGGCTCACTTCTGGTCTGCGTCGCCCACTGCTGCACGGCAGATGCTAGATGCGCTTCGTTCGTTGACGGGTAGATGGAGGACACCAGGCTGGCCACTGAATTCTTGTATTTAAACAATACTTGTATTTAATGCTCTAGCTGCTTTTTCGGCACATCGCTCCTGCGGTTGGCCAGTGTTTTGCTGTACAGCGCAGCAACCGCCCCGTGATGACGGTCACCTATTAAACCCATGGTACCTGTTGATATTTGTTGGGATCGCATTTTTCGATTGTTTTGATTTTTGAACTTAAAATTTTTAGTTTTAGACTTTCTGTAAGCGGAAAGCAGTGCTGTTTATTAATCGCTGTTGATGAAATAATAAATTTTTTATCCAGTTTTGTCTTGTTAAATTTTTTATCCAGTTTTGATCCATCCAGTTAAATTTTTTATCCAGTTTTGACTCGCCTGATCTGGTGTGATCGATATCACGCGTTAACCATTTTTTTTTCGCATGGATGCTATACTACTCAGTATTAGTAACTCCAGTTTTATTTCATAAATACGGGTACATTACATATCGAAAATAGTTAGTCACGAATTCACAGCAACAGAATCTCATTTAATGCTGCCATTGTTCCAAGTACACAAGTGGCGTTGCCTCGCTGAATTTCCAACGATATTCGCTGGCGCAGGAACTCATGGGAACGAGGTTCACCTGTTTGGAGCTGGAGTCGTTTCCCAATTTCTTTAATTAGAGCGATGGCCGACTTTCCCCACGGTCCGAGAGTTTCGAAGGCTAAAGGCGCGAAGATGTATCTTCCCAACAGATACATGTACAGTCGCACTTTTTTATCTTCGGCCTGTGCTGCGGCGGATCCAGCAGAAGCTGACGTGGATTTTAAGTGAGACAAGGCGACGGTATCGACACAGGTGACGTCCCACGCCAAGCACATACCGCGTTTCCAGGCGAAGGTCGTGCACCCATCCGGGCGACGATCCGACGTGTGGGATGTTCCGCGCGTATTAGTACAGTATTAGTACTTTTTGGCTGCGTTGAGCACAGTTTGCTGCAGCGTGATCTGCTCGTGAATCTTCTGTCATTTTGACGAGCGTAATCCCTAATCAGTGCTTGCGAACCTGACAACAAATACCACTAGCTTTTCCGATTTCTGGGCGCGTTACTGTCCGATTTCTGGGCGAGCTGTAACGCCGTTACAGCTCGGAAAACTGCGCTGCTGTGGCCGCATAACTGCATTGCACGGATGTCTGACGACGCGTGTCGCCACAGCGCCCGCCCCGAGGAACGCCAGACTGACTATTTAAACGGCCGCTTCCCGGCGCTCCCCGCGGACGTCCTGCGCCCGTGGACGTCCCACGAGATTGTTTCCGTGGTGGGGCAAGGAGCGGGGGGCTGCGTCGTGCGCATCCGCCCTACGGACGGCATTCGCGTGGGTGCCTGTGCGTGGAAACAGTGCAGCCCCCGCAAATACAGCAACGACGCACAGTCACGCGCCCGTCGGCTTTTGGAGACGCTGGCGGAGGTGCAGCGCGCCTCCGCTGACTGCGCCGATCTTCTCCGCGTTTTTCACTGGGAGTGGGTAATTCGTCAGGAACATCTGTACATTTCCCTCTACACGGAATACTGCGACGGTGCGTTCCCTTTGTTATCCTGTATTTCCATTTTTTAACAGATTTATTTTTGATTCAGCTGGTTTCTAGCTGGACTTTTAGAATTACTACGTTATATTTTTTTCAGTTTTCTATTCAGTAAAAATCGAAATCATCCCGAAAATACTCAATTATTATTATAAAAAAAAAACAGAAATCTAAAAAGTTTATTTATGTGTTCGTTTTCTTGATTAATAGTCAATAAAATTTTAATTAATTAAGCCAAAAAGTTAATAATTTAAAATAAATCGCAGTTTTAAATTGTAATAAGTTAAAAATTTAAATCCAACAAAATTTAGACTGGCAGAATGAATGTTTATTAGCATGTAGCCAACACATAAGATTTCAATCGGTATTAATTTAAATTTATTTAGCGTTTTCCTAGTCCATAATTTTAAATTAATAACTGAATAAAATTCCAATTAAATTCCAATTAATTTAAAATCAATTCCAGGTCGATAAATTGAGTAAATTTAATCGTTATTAGGCGGCAACCTGGCGGCGATGGCCAGCGAGGGTCGCATGACCCCCTTCCGCCTATACGCCTACGCGCGGCAGATCCTAGGCGCACTCTCCCACCTCCACGCCCGCGGCATCCTCCACCGCGACCTCAAGGGCGAGAACGTCTTCCTCACCCACCACCACGGCCACGAACAAACCAAACTCGGCGACTTCGACTTCTCCACCCTCCTGCGTGACCAAACCTCCTCCCCCGACACCTCCGCGGTCGGCACCCCGCTGTTCATGGCCCCGGAGGTCCTCCAGGCGGAAGCGGGGGTCACCGGCATCGGTCCGCCGTCGGACATGTGGAGCTTCGGGTGTCTGCTGCTGCAGCTAGCCAATCGCGGGCGCATTACCCTCCTGGAGACGGCGGAGGAGGGCAACGTGTTCGAGGAGGAGCTCCTGTGGACGTCGGAAGTGGCGCCGACGACGGCCGCCTTCGCGCTGGCCACCGGCGCCACGCCCAAGTTCCTGGCGGATAACCTCCTGGATAATGCGCAGCCGTTGTTCAGTGTGGCACGGGAGTGCTGGCTGGATTGGGAGCGACGTCCCACCGCTTCCGGTCTGCTGCGGCGGGCTTTATTCGACGATACGCTATTGCTGCAGCCCATTTATTCCAACAGCGCGATAATTCATCCGGTGCCGGAGGGATGCGAGATTATTATGCTGGAGCCGGCTGTGTACGAAGAATGTCAGTCTAGCATTCTAAAAAAATCTAAAATAAAATAAAACTCTAAAACATAATTTAAGCATTAAAAAAATGAAACAATATTCCTGAAATAAATTGGATCAGACTAAATTAATATAAGTTCTCTGCAAAAAAAGTTTGTAAAATAAGAAGTAAATTCAAGGAAACGAGAAACCGCGAAATAACTATGAAAGGTCACGTACATGCAGATGTTAACGGCGAGTTTGCGCTGCGCTTGGACGTGGCCGCCTACCGGGCGGCGGTGGCTTTTGTGGAGGCGCTTCTGCACGCCGGTGAGCAGTGCCGGCATCCCGGGATGCTGTATCCGCAACGGATGCTGGACGCCGACGATCCGGACTCGGTGGAGCGCCACTCGGTGTGGCGCTGTCGCAGCGTCGCGTGGACCAAGCCGTTTGCTAACAGTAAATGAGGCAACAGTTTTTGGTAACTCTAGTGTATATAATTTAATTTGAAGCGAATTCAGTGCAGTGTTTTTTGCGCAGGTTTGCGAGTGTCCACCGGCTGGGACGACCTGCAGCACCTCATCACACGTAAACTGCATTGGCCGTTTCGGCACCTTCCACTATCGAATAATAATCGTCAAGCTTTGATTTTCAATAACAACGGTTTTCCTGATTATTGGATTGGCTTAATGTACAGAATGATATTCATATAATATAATTAATGCTCGTATTATTTAGTTTTTTTGGTTTAGTTTTTCTGGTAAAAAATAATTTGGTTATTTGTATTTTTTAAAATATATTTCCTTATACCGAGTCAGTATTTTGATCATGATTATAGGACTGGCCGCGGTGAAGGCTCGTGTCCCCGAGCGGCTGCTGTTCAACTGGACGGACACCCTCAGCCGGCAACTGGATGACATTTGCAGTTATATCGCCGCTCTGGATTCCTGTGTGACGGGCATCTCCGCCCTGATTTCAGAGTGCTTTGTGCAGTTGCCTTCGGGACTGACGATAGCCAAGGATGGTGTTATGCTGCAGATTCGCCTGCTGCCGTATCCGCTGCAGCGCCGTCGCCAGTAAGCATCTGTCGCACTATGAGTTCTCTTGTCAGCGTCTCTTGTGTGCTACCTGTGCAGGTCGACGATGACCTTTATGTGTACCTATGTAATTAGGCAACGCACCCGTATGTCTGTGCGATGACCTTTATGTGTACGGTGTACCTATGTAATTAGGCAACGCACAACGCACCCGTATGTCTGTGACCTTTAATCAACATATATCACGATGCCCACTATAGCAATGCTGATGCTAAGCTAGCTATGCCAGGGGAGGCTCGCAATCGCACTGCCGCTGGCCGGCGTCGGCTTCATCTCCACCGCCGGCTGTCTTGTGTCCTCTTATGTTTTCTTCTTGCAGAGAACCGCTGATTGGCCGCGACGCCGTGATTGGTCAGCTGCGGTTTATGGAGAGGATTGTGCGCGTGGTTCTGGCGTCGGAAGCGGAAGCGTGTCAGGGCGAGGTGTACGCCTTGTGCGCCGATTATCAGGAGGAGCTGCGTTGGCGGCAACGCAGTCCGGTGGCGCGCTTGTTGCTTGCTGACGGCTGCGGCGATGCCCAACCGGAAACGGCAGCGGACAGTCTTCTTGACGCGGGTGCGGATCCCGTGGCTGACGACGCTGATCCCTTTGGGGAAGGTAGTCCGTTCCATCTGGCACCGGATCAGTGTGCACCGCCCCCCGACACACCCTTTCTAAGACGCCTGCGCCGGCTGTGCGCATAAAATCTTTACACAGCCGCTCCCAATGATGCTCAATTTGTCCATCTTTGTTATATCATATTTTGGTTATTCTGTTTCTAACTTAAAACTAAAAGTGGATTAATTACAACAACAGAATTTCTCTTAAATTATCCGATTCATCCATGGTGTAGAATTTATTGTTAAATTCTATTTTGGCCACGCCCATGGACCATGACAGATGGAATCACGGAATAATTTTTTTAAACATATTGTACTACGGTAGTATACAAAAAGGATTAATTTATTAACTTATTCAAAATCGTCGCATGATAAGAAACATTAACAATAACAGAACCATTACTCCCGTTTAGCTAGCTGAAAGCAAAAAAACACTCCACGTTGTCGACCATCGGACCATGTCATTAAACGTTGCGAGAACAGAGACAGCGTTTCCCCGTTGTATCTCAATACTGATTTTCTGGCGCAAAATCGGGATGGATTATCATTATGGATTTTAAAAAACTGGGCATCTATGCAGAGATAGAGACATTGCGTAAATATCTATAAAAGTACTTCTATGGTTAAAATATCTATACTTTAAATATTTAAAAAATCTATGGTTCAAAATACTTCTATGGTTAGCGCCTTAGCGGTATAGTCAATAAACAGCTTCGTATTTCACACTGCTTCTTCTGGTTACACCGGAATACGCGCAAACAACTTGGCATGAAACGGTGCATGGGTGCTGATGAACGGCCTAGGAAGCCGCACAGCGGGATGACACGGTGGGATCGGTTACGCGGCTCAGAATCAGCGGAACATTGGCCACCTCGTCCCAGATAATCAGCAGGAAGGGCCGATTGGCCACAAAGTCTGGATCACTATCCACCATGCTGTACTCCACGTGGACCCACTCGAACGGCGGAGTGCTCATACCGTATTCGCTCATATCTACAAAAGAGTACACAGTAAGCGATTCGCGTCGTTACCGGTTTTCAACTTTCGTATCTGGTGGCCAGGAGTCAACAGTACTAAGTACAATGGAAATTTATGGAATGATTCCGAAAGTAAAAAAATTTCGCTACCCGTTCAATTAGCACTCTAGGTAGCAAGTATCGGCGCTTTGTTATACACATTATTTACGTAACGGCTAGTATTTATACGCTTTCGTTGTATCTCCGATGTTTTTAAGCACGAAATCGCTATTCTCACCACCCTGCAGGCTGCAAGTGCCACGCTGGTCCACCTTGGCTATTCAAACGTTTTACCACTAGCTGGCTGCTCGCACCTCTTTTTTAAAATATTTTTGCTCCACCATTGAGTCAATGGTGGAGCAAAACGGTCACCGTCAATTTTAGTATTTATTGTCACCATCATCACCTAACCTTCTTGTGTACTTAAGGGAAGTGGCCCGGTACATGGTACCAAATTCGTGTACACATTTTCAAATTTTGCACGTAAATGCACATAACCACCAAAAACGTTTTTACACCGATCCACTGTTCTAGCATGTTTTTTTTTCAAAAAATTTAATGAATGAATTTAAAAAAAATAGAATGAATTTCAAAAAATTTAAAATTCATTTTAAAATTTGGAAAAAATTATGGAAGTCTGGATCGGTGTAAAAATACGAGTACATGTACTCGTATTTTTTCTCCAAGTGTACACTTTTTTTCTCTTGCACGTGCAAGAGAAAAAAAGTGTTCAAACCGTAAAAAATGAAAGAAGGGTCTGTTAAGAAAGAATAGTGAAATTAATAATAATTTACTATTCTTTCCTAGAATTTCCAGCAAATCTCGAAGGAAGATGTGCGCCGCCTTCGGGTTTCGCGCGAAATTATTCCAATTCTCGCGATTTTTGCAGTAACGACGCTCTCTGGCTTCGCCCTTTGAGATCGAGCGAAAGTAGACATTCACTTTATTTTCGATTTTCGAACACTTCGTTCGTGTAATACATCCGGATTCCGGATACACCCTCAAGGGGCTTCCAGGGAAGTATGTAGTGACAGAATAAAGTTACTGTATTTCAGATTGATAGTCAGGGAATGGGCGATGGTCGCTCACTCTGGCCATCGTGTATTAATGTTTCCGCAAAGTTTTCACCCCAGTTTCTTCTTTGCCCGGTTCCTAAGCAACTCCGGCTTCTTACCTAAGGGAATATGCTGCAGTATTTCATCAGCGTGCATACAACCACTGGGATCAACATCGGGTGCAGACGCGAACAATCCACCCAGTCCCCTCGATAGCAAACACGGCTGCAGATCAACGGTGCAGCTGATGCGGAATTTCGGCAGGACGATGCGCACTGATTGGTCTTTGCTCTTCTGGCGCCACGCCAGCAGCTTTTCCAGCGTCAGACCGGCCTCCAGCGTCGCTGTCCCGCCGGAACGAGCCGTCGGCAGCAGGATCATCACGCTGAACAGCCGGCGGTCGATGTTGAGGATGACCATGTGCGGGTCGCCGTCCTCGATAACGTCGCAATAGTGCTGATGCAAGTTGTAGACGCGCAGGCAGGTGTACTTGTGATCCATCATGTCCACCGTCTTCTCCTCACCGTCCGCGCAGTAGAACGTTGCGGGCGTGGTGTAGCGGCTGAAGGGGTGCTCCCAGACGCCGTTGAAGCGGCAGAACTGCACGATGATCAACGAGCGGTCGGCCGCTGTGAATATCGGTTCGCCGCTGCCCGCCAACTGACTGATGATGCGCAGGGCTTTCGGCGGGTCGGCGCGGAACGGCACACGGACATACTGAAGCGTATCCAGCCTCCTTTGCTCAGGAAGACTGGCGTTGTCGTCGATGAACGCGACGGCCGACAGCGTGGCCGACGTGTTGTAGGTGACGCGGCGCAATGCTGGCACCGTTGCCCAGGTGTCGTCGCGCTCCCCGCCCTCGGGGCTCGTCTGTAACTGGATTGGCCTCCACGACGACGGGGAAGATGGTGGTGCGCCGCTCGCTGGCAACATCGCGGCCAGGAGGACGTGCACTGCACGCGGGCACACGGACACGTTTGTATCAGGCGCACACGAAGCATCGAGCAGCGAGTGGAATAGGCTGACGGCGAAACGGCTGTGTGGGTTGGCAGTGTAATCCGTGGTGTAGGGGCGCAGGCGTGTACGCGGCTTCTCCTCACTGTCATTCGCTTTCACACATGCCTTAAATGAGTGAATAAATCTGTCCATAGCTGTCAGCTGGCAAAGTAAATTAATATTATCACTATTTATAATCAGTGCTGGCACTGCTGTGTGTAACTGTACTGTATAACTATGCTAGCAATGCTCATACACTCCACAGTGACAGTGCAGACTTTATTGGGCAATGGCCAGCCAGATATGTAACAAAAACCGGCCACCACGAGGACATTACACTAAGAAAACGTAAAGAAAATAATATTCCAACTGTAAACCCTGAAAAAACAATCAAAATCAGCACAAGGTTCGGTTAAAAAGCGAAGTTAAAAACAAGCTAGTTGAAGTTACGTAACAAGATACCAAACAAGCCTAGTGCCTGCACCTTCATACAGCGTTCATCCTGGCAGCTGCGCTACGAGAGGCGGAGTTACCTATTAGCAGCTAAAACATTGACCCGTTTCTCATAACGCTCGTCGGCGTCGTCGCTCTTCCAGATTCTGTTGATGTCGCAGTTGATGCCTTCCTTTACTAACCGGATATAGAAAAATATGTAGAGAAATAAGTTCTATACATCTGCTACTCTGTATACCCATTAAAACATTCCTTGGGAATAGTCTGCATGTAATTCATTTCCTGTCAAACAATGTCATATTGTCATCTGAGCATCTCGCATGGAGGCTGAATAAAGCCCATAAACCGTTGGATAAATGTACCGTGCTGGTAGTGATGTTCTTAACTTACGTTCTCTGTCGTGTTTTAAAGCCGAAGAAAAAAATTATACTGTCGTTTACAGTTACTGTATTTATGTAAATCGAATTACAGTAACACTGATAAAACAAAATTCAATTAAATTAAATTATACGTTCGATGAAGCAAAATTTAAAACATGGATTAAGTTCAAGTTAATGAAGAAGAAAAGAAATAAATACGAAAGGTCACGCAATTCCCGATGCCGTAGGCGGCTTATCAGGAGGAGCTGCGTTGGCGGCAACGCAAGATCCGCTGCTGCGTCTATTGGAAACCGAGCCGGAAAAAGTACGTGAAACGGCAGAAAAGAGCCCCGGTTGCCGATTCAGATGCGGATGGATCCCTTTAACGAAGCTAGTCCGTTCCATTCGGCGACAGATGACCTTTCGCCCGTGGCGGTAACACCCTTTCTAGATTCTTCGGTTGTGTGCTTGAAACGTTTGACCGATGCTCTGGCTGATGGTCATTTTTTTGTATTTTTCCCTCTGATTCTAACGTTTCTTTTACAATTTAAATTATCATTTTTCGTGACGAAAATCATACAGGAAAATAACTGGAATTTTTCACAGAATAAAAAAAATATTTTTTCCAATACTTCTATTTTATTGACTGTGATAGTGACGAGAACGACGAATCCGGTGTTTATTTGCCGAAAAAAGTTGATGCTAAAAAGTTATGACAAAATTAATGTCATCCAAATGTCCGAATTTTTCAGATGTATTCAATGCACCAACAAACAACAGCCGCGACGATATACCTAACCGGCGATTATCGCCGTCCGTAACGAAAACTTTAACCATTGGAAGACCGATACAAAAGCAGGTAAGAAAAGTAAAAGATAAGAGCGCAACATTATAACGTAAAAATGGAATAATAATTGTGTGAATTAATACGAGTAAGCGCAGACTGCTCCACACGGTATCTGTACGTACACTCCCCATTACCGAACCAAATTTCGATTCTAACCAGCCCAGAAAACAACACAACATCGCAGCTGCCCCGCTCCCTCCGTCAGTCCTTTTCAGGCCTTCTCGCCCTCCTTGTAGAGACTGTCGATCAGCGGCTTGTACTTCTTGCGCACCGCCTCGCGTTTGGCCTTCAGCGTCGGCGTCAATAAGCCGTTGGCCACCGAGAACGGATCGTTCAGCAGCGCCACCGCCTGCGGGATCTGCACCACACCCACAACCATTAATTACACACATTTACTAATCAATTTACCAATTATTATTTATTGAAGAAAAATTTCAACTGCCAAAATATTTAGGAATTTTGAAATAATTTCCTTATTACTCGTCATTTATTTTTTAACGATCAGCTAGCTATTGAATAATCTGAAAATTTAAACTGAAAGGTAATTTCGAAAGCTTCCAACGAAGAAAGATACTAATAAATGTTTGCCATTTAAATTCCATCGCTTCAATAATTTTCGCTAGAGTTCTAATTCCCATAAATAGACTGATCAAAATTATTAAATTCAAAAATAATTCAAAAAACTGATGATAATAATAAAGATAAATCTGCCAAATTATTGCTGTATAAAAAAAGTTTGACATAATAAACTGAATGATCCAAGTTGTAAAAACAAAACTGCAACCACAGGAAGAAGTTCCATACAACTAATTAAAATTCTCTATTAAATCAGTTAAATACTTTCCTTCCGAATATCCCTTCATATCGATTAATCAAATAAAAAGGTTATTAAAATAATTAAAAAATTAACGACAAAAACAGCTGATTACAACATTTTCAACGGATTTAATCCACGCACCTCGAAGGACTTGATGCCGTCCTTCTTGGCGATGCGCTTGAACTCGTCGAGGATGTACTGCTTGGCCTCCTTGCTCTTCAGCAGCTCCTCATATCCCGCTGATTGGCCGTGCTCCCCCGCCCACTTGGTCAAGTGGTCCTTCTCGGGGATGACGATGGCCACGGGGAAGGAGTGCAGACTGTTCCCGTCCACGAACACCTGGTGGAAGATCTTGCTCTTCCCGAACGACTGCTCCAGCTTCTCCGGCGCAATGTACTCGCCCTGCGACAGCTTAAACAGATTCTTCTTCCGGTCCACGACTTTCAAGCACCCATTCTACGACGCAAGATAAATTAACACAAATATTTGCAATTTATCTGCATTATTTTATTATCATTTGCTATTATTGCCATTTACTTTTTGCCATTCTTCTCTATATTTTTTACAATTTATTATTCTAATTGTTTTACTGATTCTTGATTTGTATCATTCGGCATTTATTCACTATGACAGCCATTATTTCTAACATACATTTTAGCCAAGAAAATATTGAGTAAGTATAAAAACGTGCAAAGTAAATGACAGGATAAATATTTTCAAGAATCCTTTTTTTTATTTATTAGGAAAAATAACAGCATAATTATTTGTCACGATAATTATTTTTTCTTGTTTATTTAACGCGGAATTCGCCTGCATTTACCGCGATTTTATTTACTTACTATTTCCGTCATTATTCTTTTATACCAGTTTATGGCGGTATAGTATTTATAATTCTTTTCTACATTTTTTGTATTAGTTACTTTTGGAATTTGTCAACTATATTTAGCTTGGAAATGTGTGAATAGTTACCGGCGTCCAGGTGCCGACGTCGCCGGTGTGGAGCCAGTTGTCCTGGTCGAGCGTCTCGTCGGTCTTGTCCTGCAGCTTGTAGTAGCCCTTCATGTTGATCTTGCTGCGGATGCAGATCTCGCCCTGGCCGTCTGCGGCGTAATACTCCATGTCCGGCACGTCCACCAGCTTCACCTCCACGCCCGGCATCGGCGGTCCCACGTGGTCCGTCGTGTTGTCCCCGATCACGCTCAGCGTCGCGCCCGCCGTGCACTCCGTCTGCCCGTAACCCTCCAGGATCTTCAAACACCCCACATATGTATTATTCAATCCATTCCGTCATTTACAATTTATTTCATTTAAAAATTCCGTAATTAAAACTGACTGCAATTTGGAATCAATCTGAAAAAACTTCGTAATTCTAAAAGAACGACGTGATGGAAGTGCCCGAATACTTTATATAAATATTTGGCTAATTAATAACTGTTTAGAATCTCATGATCATTCAAGACAAAATAGCATATTTCACGTTTCAAAGCAAAATAAAACTGAAACCCGTCAACTCAAATAATCAAAATTAAATTCCGCCATTTTTATTTCCATTAATTTTCAGTTAGAAATTAATTTTAAAATTTTAATACGTTTTAAATGCGTTTTAAATTCGGACTGTTTAATCATAGCATATAATTTAAAACAATTGTATGCGGAATTCAAAAATCAAATTTAAAACTAATTTCACAAGATAATAAATTAAATTGTGAATTTAATCTCTCAATATGTATACAACGAGCTTCGCTCAATGATACTCGTACCAATCAAATGAAGAATTTGTCCCAATTAACATGAGAAGGGAATTAAATTAAATTAATTTCATAACTGAATGGTGCATTTAATGGGCAACAGCCAATCCACATATCGGTATGCTTCCACAGGTTTACACTAATTAAAATGATTAAATTTTAAACATTGAAAAAACACCCATAATCATTATTGTCATTCAAAATCTTATGATGTGCACTCAAGGTACCCAAAACATAACTGAATGAAAATAAATTTCGCAGTTCAAAAATAATTTTAAGCTATTAAATAAATTTCGTAACTTAAAACTACGTAAGTAAAAGAAATTCTTTAGTGTAAAATAGTTTTAATGATGTTCATATTAAAATAAAAATTCGGTAAATCAAACCAGGAAATTGCCAATTAATTTTAATCTCCAAATTGTATTAAAAATGTGACCGGCCAGGAATCACGTTATGACGCTTACGGGGATGCCGAGGGCGACGCGGAGGAAGGTGAGCACCTCGCCCTCGATGGGCGCCGAGCCGGTCATCATGATCTTGACACGGCCGCCCATCTGCTTGCGGACGTTGTGGAAGACCACCTTGTCCCAGAAGGAGTCGGTGCGGACGCTGCCAAAGTACAGCAACTCGAATTTCTTCATGCGGTAGGCCACGTGCAGGATGATGCGGCTGATCCAGTTCTCGCGGGCCTTCTTCCACACGCCCGCGTAGATGCGGCCCAACACCCGCGGCACGGCCGGCACCAGCGTGGGACGCAGCTCCTTGATGTCGTCCGTCAGACGGCGCACGTCGCCCGTGAAGAAGCCCACGCGCGCCCCGTGCATCATGCTACGATTTAACAATTATTATATTACAAATAAATTTCAGAAAAATCAAAATTACATGAAATTAAATTCCAAATTTCAGCGGAAATAAGCTGAACTAAAAATCAAAAATATAAATGAAACGGATTCAAATAAAAGAAAACCTAAAAAATTCGAATTACAACTACAGATAAGAACACAAATTTATTACTTCAATCGAAAATCAAATGTAAAATTATTGAGAAAAAAATAAAATAAATCAGGACAAACTAAAATATATTTCTAAAATATCACAATGAACTAAATAATAATCAAATATAAAATGAACCGAAACGAATTCCGCCGAAAATCAAAATATAAAACAACGCAAACCGAATTAAATTATCAAGGGCAAATAAATCGAATTAAATCAAGAAATAAATATGAGGGGGAGGAAATGAATCTAAAAAATCAAAATAAATGGGAATAAAAATCAAATATAAATGCCAATAAATGAAATTAACGACGCTGCACGTCAGCGGCGACTTACATGACCATCTCGACGACGCGCTCGTAGAGATGCGCCAGCGGCAGGTAGGAAATGACCACCTGCTCGTTGTCCACTTGGAACGGCTGCAAATACACGACACGCTCATCATCACACACTTCTTCGCTGCGGACAATTCAACTGACCAGTAGCGCTTCGCGGACATACAGCGCCTCGGCCATCATGTTCTCGTGGGTTAGCATGACGCCCTTCGGGTCGCCGGTGGTGCCGCTGGTGCAGCAGATGGTCGCCAGATCGCTCGGCTTCGGCGGCACCGGCGCGTGCGTCTTATCTTGCCCCAGTTTCTATAAATTAACCATTTAACACAGCATTTAATTACCAATTAAATACAATTTAAATTCAATTTAATCAGCAGTTAAATTACCAATTAAATTCAGTTTAAGTCTGCAGCAATTTAAATTAATTTAATCAACAGTTGTAATTAACAATAAATTCAATTTAATTGGCAGTAAAATAAAATTTAAATTAAACCAGTCATTAAATTAACAATTCCACTGAATTAAATCGGAGTTAAATAAATTTTCAATTAATTTAATCAGCAGGTAAATTCACAAATATTTTCAAATTAATTCACAGTAAAATTCAGTTTTAAAACTGACGATTTTTACAGTATAATATTTCAGAAAACGGACCTCGACGTCGCTGAAGAGCAGGAGCTCGATGCCGGCGGCCTCCGCCTGCTGGCGCAGATCGTCGCTGAAGGGCGTGACGCTGATCAGGCGTTTCAGGGGCTTCAGTTTGCCCAGATTCTCCATGATCTTCTGCAGGCGCTCCTGCGTGTCCACGACCACCACCGCAATGTCCACTACAAGTGCCAAAAACTCGTTAAAATTATTTTTATTTATGAAAATTTTTTTATTATTAATTTACTTTACATTAGAAACTATAATTATTCTTAAAATTAATATCGAGTCAATGGAGGATGCGTGGACGTACTGAAATTGATGATGTAGTTGCAGGCTTCCACACCCTGCAATTTAACCACACCCCGCCGTTACAATCAACCGGAAGTCGGGGGAAGAACGATTTTCATACCAGCGTGTCGTAGAGCGGCACGATGACCATGGAGTACATGTTGACGGCCTGCTCGGTGACCACCCACTCCACACTGTTGGCCGCCTGGATGCCCACGAAGGTCTTGTTGTCGGCTGGATGACCTTTAGCGATCAGGCCCGAGCCCAGGCGCTTGGCGCGGTCCAGCACCTGCGCCGCAAAACACTGTTATTTTCCCGCTGTTGGAAAAAGTATTTTAACGCGACTGACCTCCTGGTAGGTCACCCATTTGTACGGCGCCGTCGTCGACGGGCGGTAGCCCAGGCAGGGGCCGTTATCTGCCAGAAGAAAGCACCATAATTAACAATTTATCGTAGAAATAAAAACAGAAATAATTCTACTGAATATGGAAAATATTTAAAAAAAAATAAAAGCAACAATTCAAATTAATCTAAAAAGACCAGTCAAAATAAAATAATACCGAATAAATGGCAAATATTGCTAAAACAAAATAATAAAACCTTAATAATAAACAGCAATGAAAAGCTGGATAAAGATCGCACAAATACTAGTAATTCAAAATTAAATAAACAAAAAATTAAATTTTAATGATTAATCACCGATTAAATTAACAGACTTATTTTTCTTTAGTTTAAAGCTGTTATGTCGCAAACAGCAGCGGCCTTTCCGTCGCTATGACAGGGCTGGCAACACACCCATGTGATGGCCGCGAGATTGAGCACAAAACTGTTTTCCTTAGATGACTATCAGTATCGACGCCGGATTGCGCCGTTCAACGGCTAATGTATGCGCGCGGATTTACGTCTGCTGACGTGATTATGTAACGGCTCCACTACGCTATCGTTTGCCAAAAGCGCCGACAAACCGGTTGCCGGCAAGTTGATTTCTTGTACAGTACAGTTTAGACAGTGTTTGACTTACTGGAGGCTTTGACGCCGTTGAGGAAGTTCTCGTACAGCGTCTTGCCCGGCTGACTGCCGCCCTCCTCCGGGGGTCCGGCGAAATGCCGCCGCCGTATACCGCTGTCGTCCTGCAATCACGCACAACCGCCTCAGGGATCGGTGAACAATTATACTCTGAACAAACGCATTCTGCATCACGGTAAATACAAAAATTATTTCCCTCTTTCCGAATTATTTCCCGTTTGTACGGTTTTTGGTTTCTTAAATCCTGTACAAGTTTCACGTTTATACCAGTATGTTCAACACTGCAAAAGCAAGAACACACACATTCTTTTAGCATTTTATTTAGCAGATCATTAATTTGCTTTTCCAACGAAAAGCCGCATTGATTCGCCTAATGGCCACGCAATAATTTAATTTATTTTTGAAAATAATTTCCAATTTTACAGTTGTCTTCTACGTAAGAAATAATTACAGCCTTTTTATTCTATTAATTATTCAGTCAATTATCAGACAGACATCGATAATTATTCCGTTTTCCGGCGAAAGTCGTACTTATTAGTGGCCAGTAAATAATTTAATTTCCATACGAGTATTTTTAAACAACTTCCTGTTCTACAATTTTTTTTCTAACGAAAAATTTAAAATTTTTATTCGTTGACTGTCAATCATTAACAGATAGTAGATGAATTGTTTTCCCAATAAAGTCGAATTTGTTAATAGCCAGTACATAATTGACTATTCATTGCACGGCCGGGATATTCCCGCAGCGTACAGCATCACTCGCGCGCCCTACTCATTGAGCGCAGCGGAATATTCCACGCCTGCTTAACCTTAACACGGGGCGGATCGATGGCAGATAGGCCAATGCACTCAGCGAGCGACACGGCAGGCTAATCTGTCCACCGGAAATGCTGGTTTTTCTCACGAAGAAATCGACTCCTACTTATCAGTCAGTTTTAATGAAGAATTGTACCTCCTCGGTCTGCTGGTCGTAGTCGAAGTTCTTGGCGCGCTTCTTCTGCGGTCGCGTGGCGAAGTCGTAGGCGAAGATGCCGAGGAGCGGGACGAGCAGCGCCGCTACCACCGAGACCACGATGGTCAGCACCGTCCCGATGAACGTCTAGCGCAACACAACGCTCAACGTCAACCAACAGAAAAGGGACGCGTAATTAATCAACGAATGCTCACCATCGTATCGGCTCAGAATAATTCTCCAACAGATGCCCGCCACAGGCCTCTTTCGATCCTGCAAAAAGACAGATATTTTGATTGAGACAACAAACGGCATCCGTGTTTTTCTCGCACTTCTGTCTTCTTCTAATAACCCGCAAATTTCCGCCAACAAATACAGCTTCAAACGACTAAAATAAAAACGGTAAAAAATAAAAAAGCACCCACAAAAATATAAAAATAATCCAATAAATGTTTTGACAAAAAAAAATTATTTCCAGCGCAGTACAGGAATACGTTCTACAGTATTAAAAATAGGTATAGTATGCCAGCTGTCAGGCAAGCAAAACACGAAAAACTGCGTAAACAGTCAACACTTAACAGCTGACTGAGCGCCTCGGCTCGCTCCGCTCTGCTTTTAACAAGCACCTGGATGCAGCAGTCATCATGAATGATGCAAATCTCTCATATAAATACTGCCATTATTTTTGATAATTAATCACCGCAAAACTCACTACCGCAGTATGCTGCAAACTGTGCAGGCCACATTCGGGCGAAATGATCAAGTTTATCCAGTTACGAAAAAATGTGATTCGGAGACTGCCTAATTCTGCCTTCCACCCCCACTCAAACTCAAACCAAAAGGCAAAAGCTACTAAAAAAAGTATATTTAAAAACTACAAACCAGAGTAATTTCGTGCCCTGAGAACTTTCGGAAAAATCACTAACTGCTGCGAACTGCAGGGATCACGAGTGCAAAGAACATGCATACCTTCTGCCGATGAAAATCCTTTCCGATTCCCTGATCCCAACGATTCAACGGGCCATTTTCAGAACAAATGATAAATAAAGCAACACTCAGGATATGAACTCTGCCTTATCAACAAACAAAAAGAGAAAAGAGCAAACAACAACTGTTTACTAGAGGAGCATTTTTTGCATGCAGGAAAAAGCATCAGCTTACACAGCTCACAATCCACGTTAGTTTTTTTCCCGTACTTCTCGATACGTTGGAACACGGCCTGCTTTTTGGCTCTTTCTTACCGCTGGAATCCAGCCAGGGCCAATCACAGCCTGCCAGGAGAATTAGGGGAACGTCCGCAACAGCTGCACCACTTAATCGCGGCGCATAGTGAACGATTTCTGTATGCGCTCTGGTTGTTGTCCATTATCAAACAGGGAAATCATCGCGAACTGTGAACAATTGTAGTATAGAACGAGCGTAAGCTGCAGGGATGCTCCTGATCCGCTGCCCGTTGCAGGAATAATTCTCTATCCGTGTCATCTTATATTGAATTAAAAAACTGTGTCAATTTTCAATGAAATTTTTTTTATTCCTGTGATAAATTTGACGGCAAAGTGGACTGAATAGGAGAGCATGACCAGCTGATGTGAGGGGCAGCTCGCAGCTTGACTCGCTACGCCGCTACCAGATGTTTTCTCTGCACAGCGCCGAGAATTTTGATGTCTTTTTAATCTTTGGGTTCATAGGTTGTCACTTTTTTCGCCAAACCATTCGAAAATTTTGTGGAATTTTAACGCATAGACTCATTCTTTTCGATTTCTGCTATAACTTTCGCGTTTTTAATCGTGCAATATTCCGTGGAAATTGTACTGGCATCTGTTGTGAGGGGAAGTGTGGGGCTCGGCTCACTACGCCACTACAACGCGATGAAACGTGAATTTGAAAATTTTCATTTTTTCCTCGTTTACGGTTTATTTTCCAATAATCCAATTGAATCCTTTGTGCTATCTGGTTGCTGTTGTGTTTTTCCGCATAAAATGGATTTTATCACGGACAACTACAGTCCCCCCACCTCGAAGATCTCCGAGTTCCCGTGCGAGGAGTGCACGGAGAGCGTCGGCAAGTACCGCTGCCCGCGCTGTAACCGCGTCACCTGCTCGTTACCCTGCTGCCAGGCGCACAAACAGCGCCACGGCTGCTCCGGCCGGCGGGATCGCGCGGCCTACATCAAGCGCACCGACTACGACCTCCCGCAGCTCTCCTCCGACATCGCCCTGCTGGAGGATGTGGCGCGCGTGACGAGCGGCGCGTACAAACGCATGCGCAGCGTGGACCCCATGGCGCACAAGGAGGTCCTCGTCCTCGAAGCCAACCGCCGCGGCGTCGATCTCCGGCTGCTGGCTGAGTGGTTCCCCAAGCGGAAGGAGAACCAGACGTACTACCACGGGAAGAAGATGTTCTGGACGGTGAGGTGGCTGGTGGAGCTGGATCAGAACGGGACGCAAATCGGTAAGCCGGAGTTGATTTTTCTTTGGTTTTTTAGTTTAAATTTTATTTCTTCCGTTTGAGAGTTTTTGCTCGGTTTCCTCCAATGCACATATTTTCCTGTTTAGTTTATTTATCGTTTATGGACTGGTTTTCTAATTTATCGCACATTATGAAGCCAGTGAAGGAAAGAAAATGTTTTGGTGAATTTTTTTAATTTTTGATCTTTTTTAGGTTTTTTTGTATGCATAATGCGCATTAAGGCGAACCGTGTACAATATTATTGTAAAACAAAATTAAAGATATTAAAATTAATACTCTTTTAATTGTTGTTACAACGTTTATACTACGTACTTATTCCGTTGCCAAATTTTCTTTCTTATTGCGGATGAATGCTTATGTTTTAAAAACTGAAATTGTGCAGCCGTATTTTTTTGTGAAGCAAAAATGCAAAATTGTAATAAAAATCAAATATGATTTTAATCTGGAACAGCCGTTTTTATTTTAATCATATTAAACATGATTGGAACCTGCAACATTAGATTTTCTTGTTATTCTCAATTTCTAAGCGTTCATGCGTGTGTAGAAATCCTTAAACACCGCTCCGCGGATTTCAACCCGCTGGTGGATTTACTAAAATCCCTTCCCAATGCCAAATCGCTGTCGGAAGAGCAGCGCTCCCAGTTGGTGTCCCTGCTGAACGATCCCGCGCTGCAGCCCCGCTTCGTCCTGCAGCTGGACCCGGCCTACACACGCCCCCAGCATCTGTCCTGTCCGCTGGACGGACAGCGCCGGTTGCGCCAGTGTTTAGGCGGCAAGATCATCGTCGAGTATCCCACGTTCCACGTCTCCTTTGCGCCCAAACAACCACCAGAAAACACCGCAATCACAGAAGCAAATTAAACCTATCTCGCGGAATTTTTGCGCAGTTTTTTTCAATGGATTTGTTGAACGTGTCTGCCGATTTCCGGGAAAGTTACCACTTACCAGTATTTGCAATACAATTTTCGCGTTTATTATTCTCATGTTATTTTGAGAAAAAAATACATTTAATTAATTGTAAAAAGTCTGTTCGGTGTTGCCGGTTGCGTGAATGATAAGAGATTACGACATTTTTTCTGGTAATAAATAAAGAAAGCAATTGAAAAATGACAGTTTTATTTATCGTAGCTTTTTTTTCACCAAATCGCCATTTACATTTGCAGTCTTCCATCGAAAAAATCATCTAAAATTCTAAATAACTATTTCCACAAATTCAGAAGTTTTTATTTCAAACTGTTGCGATTTGCCAATGCTGAAACTGGTTTGGTTATATTTTGTAAAATGATTTGAATTAAAGCTGGAAATGCTAACTAAATAAATAAATTGTAATTTCAGTCGTAATAAAACGTGAAATGTGACTACCAATTCCACTGCCACTTGCGCTTCCAGAATCCCGGAAAGTGGGAGCACGGGATGATTCACCCTCCCGTGCCATCTGTTCTCCCAAATCGATACTCGTCGGTAACTACGCAGTATTTTTCAAGGCTACTCAAAGCCTATCTGTCATCGGGGAACAATATTTACTTATTTTGCACTGATTTCGCGGAACGCCCGTTAATTCTCACAGCATATGGCGCTACCAGATTACATAAGCCGACTGCCATCAGGTTTTTCGTGGTTGGCGATTTTTTGTGCCCGGAAGTAATATAGAACTGGATTAGTCACTGGCGTCACAGAGGGTGTCATGCAAATGCTGCTGTTTGGATAACTGAGCGCCTGACGAAACACATGTTTCCGCCGAAATCGGGTATCTACGTCAGTTCCGATCTGGGTTGCTGGTTCACGTGACCGCTCCCTTTTTGGTTGTTTTTGTTTGGTTTGGGCTGTGAAACGTCCGAAGAGATTATCAGACTAATTCATCAAAATGGAACGGCAAGGACTCAGTGAACGACAGGGTAAGTTACAACGCGGAAATTAGCTTGTACACTTGCGTAAATCATGTGACTGCTCCGAGTGGCTCTTCCGAGACACGCTGCTAATTTTTGCACCGTGTTTAAACATCATTTCGCACCTTTGTTTGCTCGGAGATTCTGTGATATGAGCGAGTAAACATGTTTTCAAAATTTAATCCCATTTTCCTGCATTGATTCAGGCAGACGGTAGTTAATATTTGCGCAACCTGTTGTTTCCATGTACCACCTGTACAAGGCTAATTAAGTGAGATACAGGGAAGCGAGGTATAGGTTGCCGGTGCGTTGCATTGTTTAGCGCTGTAGCCGGCTTTTCGCCGTTTAACCTCACTTGAACTGTAACCAGACAACAGGATTGTCCTCAGATGCGCCTTAATCAGCGGCTGTCTCTGCAGTGGTGCATGGAGGGTTTTAAAGAGTAAAGTGCGGTTCAAAGTTTCTCTGAGATTTCGGCTGCCCGTCTCACGCAAGAAAGATGCGCAAATTAAAAATGGAAAAAACTTGCGAAATTGCATCAGGATCCCTAGTAAGAGATAAATTCAGCACCGTGGAACAAAAAGCGGGAGCGCTGATGAAATTGGCGATAAAGCGGGAAACAGCCCGCGCGAAATGCGATCAACCGCTGCACTGCTGTAGTACGCGTTGTGTCTCGTACAGACGGCGCACAACGGCGCATGACTGGGCCGGAGAGATGACGTCAGCCCGCCGTAGTCTGAGATTGGCCCATTCATTGAGAATTCAGCCAGACAGGCAGGTTTTAACGGTTTCATTCGTCGAGTGCGCTGATGTTGCAATGATATGCTACCCAACGGAAAGCGCGTATCAGCATGTTGAAACTGCATAGACCGTCTACGAGAACGTTGAGTTGTGGTTTAGTTCAGTGGTTCTTGTCGCGAGTGCCTTTCATACCGCTCCACAAATTGGGGTCGCCGTCGTGTGGCTGGCGAGTGGCTATCCCGGGTTCTGGTTGCTCAGTGAATTCAGCAGGTATTGGTGGGGGGGATCAGCCAGTGTGTGACGGTGATTAAACCGGGGGATTATTGCTGATTGCAGCGTTGGAGCGAGCGCACTATTCGCGTTCCTTCTCCTGCTCGGCCTGCGCTCCGGCCGCTGAATCGGATCCCATCGCGATCCGTCCCCGCCGCGACAGCAGTCTGTCCGCCTCGGCGTCCAACTTCTCCTGGCCGTCGCTGTCGTCGATGGCCTTGATGAACGGCCTGCACCTGGACGAGAGCCAAGCCGACGACATGCCGGTGGCGCTGCACCACGTGCTGCCCCCCAGCCCCGCGCCGCAGCACGCCACGCCACCCGTCAACGGCGTTGCCAACGGCCACGCGCATCACAACGGGCAGAGCAGTGTGCTGGAGAACGGGGATGTCCGCAGCGGCGCCCCGGCGCAGCGGGCCTGGAAACCCTTCCTGATCGGTGTCGCCGGCGGGACGGCCTCGGGCAAGGTAAGCGAGGGTCAGTTCAGGACGCGGAAGTCGGCTGCTGACGAGGCCGTTGAACGTGTCAGCGTGCTGCTGGCTAAACTGTGCGCATTCGGTCGTTTACCGTTCCCCTAGTGTAGCATTTAGTCAGCGTTGTACAGGTTGCGATCGTATCCGCTTGATTTCAGAATAATTTTTTAATAAAATCGGCGCAAGGTAGGAAGATTCTGTTGTGCGTGTAAGAAGCTGCGGGCTAAGAACGAAGAAGTTCCGTCATACGCTGTAATTAATTTCAGCAGCGATGAAATTTCAGTGTTTTGATTTGTAACCTTGAGAAATGAAAACAATACGGTCGTAGCGCGAGTTTTCTCGAGTGGCTTTTGGTGGGAAATGATGTGTGATAGCCGTGTGTAATTGTTGTAGACGTCGGTCTGCCGCAAAATTATGCAGAAGATGGACGCGGACCATTTGGAGCACGGACGCGTGATAACCATCAGTGCAGACAGCTTCTACCGTGTCCTCTCCAAGGAGGAACGCGAGCAGGCCCGCATCGGCGAATTTAATTTTGATCATCCAGGTATCGCGCGCAATTTTTCTAAATATTTTTGTAAATAATCGTAGACCAATTCAGGCAATAGCTGATTTAACTGATAATTAATAAGAAAATAATTGTAAAAACTTCAGAAAAATAATTCGTTAATTAGGAATTAAATCGGAAATTATTATAAAAAATTATGAGAAAATTTTTGAATGATGCGAGGATTGTTTTGGCGTAATTTTGACATTAAGGCAATAATTTTCGGCCAAAGTGAGATCAAGCGGATACTGATTGTTTCCTGTATAAGCTGTAAAATAGAATAAAAAATGGTGTTTAATGCGTTTAAATTGGAGAATAAATGGGTGTGTTTGCGGATGCAGATGCGCTGGACTACCCGCTAATTCTGCAGACGATGCGGACGATTCTGTCGAACCAGGTGGCGGAGATCCCCGTGTACGACTTCGTGACGCACTCGCGGCGGCCCGGCGAGTGCGTGCGCGTCTGCCCGGCCGACGTGCTGCTCTTCGAGGGCATCCTCGTCTTCTACTTCCCCGAACTCCGCAACATGTTCCAGCTCAAGCTCTTCGTCGACATCGACGCCGACACGCGTCTGGCACGCCGCGGTACGTCATCAGAATTTAACAAAACAATATTATCAAAAATGATGATTAAAAAGCAAATAATTCTGCGGAAATTCTGAAAATAATCTTGTAATTTAAAACTGAAAGAAAATGCAAAAATATGGAAAATCTGTTAATTAATAATTAAAAGCGATATTGAATTGTAAACGCAGTGAAAATTGCTGTTGGTAATTTAAGAACAAAAAAATTGATGATTAAATTTGAATTTGAAAGCAATTTTGAAAAAAATTTTAAAAAATGAAGTGGATCATCAAAATATGATTTAAATGGAAAATAAAATGATTAACTTATTCATGAAAGCAATCGTTTAACTGCAGTTGAATTGAGGCAGTAGCTTTTCATTTGGTAGTTTAACGGGAAACAAATTTATAAAAAAATTGCGGAAAATAATCCCTAATTTGAAGGCAATAATTACAAAATAGTTCAGGAAAATAATCTTCATAATTAAAGGGAGAAAATTTGATGACTGCTAAAGGAACAAACAGCAAACTGCAGAAATGACTGTTGAACTGATAATTTAAAAATAGAATCAGAAAAAAATTAAAATAATCCCTTAATTAAGGAAAAAATTGAGAAAATAATTCGTAAGTTGAGATTTAAATTTGGGAAAAATTCCGAATAATTGTTGGATGATGTGGTGATGGTTGCGCAGTGGTGCGGGATATCGCCGAGCGCGGCCGGGACCTGCCCTCGGTGATCCACCAGTACACGCTCTTCGTCAAGCCGGCCTTCGAGGAGTTCTGCCAACCCACGAAGAAGTACGCCGACGTGATCATTCCGCGCGGCGCCGAGAACGAGGTGGCCATCAATCTCATCGTGCAGCACATCCGCGAGCACCTCCTCCCGCTGGCCGCCTCGGAGAACGGCAGTCCGCGCCGGGCGTCGGAGGAGGCCGAGCCGCCGCTCACGCCGGAGACGGCGCTGCCCAACGGATTGGCCGAGAAGACGCGCATCCTGCAGCTGCAGCAGGACAACGGCCAGGAGCAGGCCTACGCGAAAAAGGCCGCCGGACGCGTCTAAAAACATCGGCCTGTGCATGGAGAAATTGCCCGTTTATGTGCAGTTTTTTTTTTGGCTTTCGAGAATCTTCCGGCTCATGTTGTTTTTTTTACTAAACGACAATCCTTTTCCCCCGAATCAGAATTTAACCAGCCGTTTTTTTTACTGGTATTAACCCGTGTTTTTAACGCCAGCCGGAAGTTGATGGTTTTTTTTGCATGCGGAAGATTTAGCGGCGGAGAAGCGGAGACTTAAGTTATTCCTTGGGGGTGGGCGTGGTCGGGAAGGTGGGGTTGTTGCATTTGTTGGCGGAGATGTGAGTACGTGTGGAGAAGCGCGATGTGATGTGATCGAGGGCGAAGCGAGTCGGGAACGGCGCCGGCGAGGCCGGTTGCAACTGTGGACGAATCACTTGTTTTCTTTACTTACCTTGTAATATAAAATCATGCAATTTTATTATTAATACTACTGTAATATCTGTGTCAGTGTAATACGCGAATAAACGTGGAATTCATCCAATAATACGAAGTATTGCTTCCGGTCGTCGCATTAATAATTACAATATCTGATACGTCATCGCCGAAAGGTCAGTTTGCTGGTTTGAAGATCAAACTCGTAAAAAAACAATTTTTTTCGACGCATTATACACGGTAGAAATCATGCCGCACTGATCATTATTTCTATTAGGATTACAATGAGAGAATGGAGTTTTTTGTGGATATTTATTAATAAAAAAAGAAAATAATTGTTTTTCTTTGGCAGATTAATTTCAGAATTTTAGAGTAGTAACTTCAGTTTCTTTTAGTACAGAAAATAATAATTTTGGTAAAGAAAATAACCTAATTCCTGTAATTGTTTTCTTTTAATAGGCTGTAATCGGCAAAATTACACTTGACACCTACTTCGTCATTTATAAAATCTATTCTAATTAATTACTGAATTTATTATTAATTAAATTAGTTAAAAATTAACCGCTTACCATGAATTACAGTTTAGTTAATTACAAATTAACTAGATTGAAATTATTGTAATTAATTAGTGAAATGCGAAACTGCTTAAGAAACCAACGAGGAGATTTGCTGAGAAATGCGGAAAACCGGAAAATTACTGATTTATGACCGATTTGGTGAAGCATGTGATTTAATTCAGATTAATGTGTATGACAGATGCGCAACAAACAGCGCTAGCAGCGCAACAGACAGCATTCAGCAATAATTGGGCTCTGTTCGGCAAAAAAAAGCAACAAGGAATGTCTATGTATTCGGCGAACACAAATCTGATTGACAGGAAATTAGAGAAGAAATTATTTCTGACACGTGACAGAGAAAAAAACGCGTGGAGTACTGACGAATTACCCGAAGGACAACACTGGCCATTAGCGTAATACTTTTCCAGCCGGTCCGCAGACGATTCCGGGTTGCGCCCGGCAGCGACGAAACGTTGACAGGGAACCGTACAAAAACACAGCCAAACATGCAGCAGCGAACAATCAGTGCGGAACGCCGAGTGTCTTCGTTTTCCCTTCACCACGATTTGCAGCAGGCGTTCGTTTTGCGAGCCTGTGCGGAGTAAAACAGCAGCTTAATTAAATTACCGGTATCATTTAAAAAATATAATCATTTTACACTGTATAAGATAACGATTCAAATTGACCGTATTGTTTACAAAAATATATTTTTTTATTTTAAATTATATAAATAACGATTTAAACTGACCGTATTATTTAAAAAATATTTTTTTTATTTTAAATTATATAAAAAACGATTTAAACTGACCGTATTATTTAAAAAACAAATTTTTTTATTCTAAATTATATAAATAACGATTTAAACTGACCGTATATAGACAATTCTTATTAAATCACAATTATATAAACAACTGTTGAAATTAGCTGTATTAATAAAAAATAGGATTCTTGCACAGCAGTTCCTTACTACATGTATTGGTCGAATTAATAAAAAGAAAACAATTACTGCACCACAAATTCTGATACCGGTAACTCGTAGAAATCGGGCGAATTAATAGAAAATTATTACAATAACATTTATTACATAATTGCACAATGTTAATGTTATGCGTACCGTGGTGTAGAAGGCCTTGGAGCTCATGCTGAGCTCCTCCGACTTGGCCACGAGATCGTCCAGCTTCTCGCCGCGCTGCAGCACCGCTTCGATCGTGTTGTGCTGCACAAATAAAGTTCTTATGTATGCCGCATATGCGTCAAGCAAAATAAAAATAAAAACTAAAAACTAAAAATAAAAAAACAATTTCAAAATTTCCTGCTGTAAATCAAAAGACAAATCAAAAATATTGTTTCTAAATTACAGTCTTATTTATTTCAATAATTGCAAAAACTTGCTCAAATTAGTTAGAAATTATTAGAAACTAATCACACTACGGTACTATAAAAATTATAAAATGATTCCGAAATACATTTCCCGGCTTACAAACCGCAACATACAAATTAGTCTGAAAATTAACAAGAATATTTTCAAAGCAATGAAAGTCCGTTTTGAAAGTTTAAAAAAATGGCCCGCAAATTAGGAAATTCATCGATAAATCGGAGAGCTAAGTGCGGGAATTGATGGACAATTTGGTGAGTGACTGTGACTGACCAGGATGACTTTGGTGTCGTCGAGATCGGCCTGGATCTTGGTGAGGGCGTCGGCCTCCTTGGGGTTCTGGTACTTGGCCAGCGCCTCGTCCAACCCGCCGAAGTTGATCGATCTAACAAGAAACCGGTTAATCACAGCGTCGGCAATGCACGCCGCACGGGAGGCACCTACGCGGGACTGCCCGAGGGCCAGCTGGACGAGGGCACGCTGCTGGAGAAATCATCCAGCACCTGACACACAACAACACCCACATCATTTCATTTCGAAAATAACTGCACTTTACTAATCATAAATCTCCATTTAAAAGGTCAGAAAACTGGAATACAAGACAAGTTTACAACATATATTATATAAAAGAAAAAAAGCGGGAAACAACACGAAACATAAATACGCATGGAAAGTTGGAAACTGGAAACAAAATGCTCAATATTTCAATATTTTTAAAAAAGTTAAAACCTAATAAAAACGCTCAATATTTCTGAAAAAAAATGCTCGGTATTTCAATATTTTTAAAAATTTAAAGCCTAATAAAAACTGAATATCAACGATAATATAAACACCATAAAACGTAATAATATAAACAACAAAAAGTCAGTAAAGAGAATGATAGACTGCACAAGAGGAAGGCTAGAAATGCGCAGAAAATACAGCGGAAAAAAAAACCCGCAGAAAAAATAAGCATGCATGCAAATCAAGACAAAATTTTAAATTATTCGGCATGTCATTTTTAACAGTAAACTCGGTAATAAAAAGTCTGTAAAGGAAAGGAAAAATGGTAAAAGAGCAAAATAAAAGTCGCAAAATAAGGAGAGGAGCGCTTCGACGGTAGTCGCAAGGAAACTGAGCGTGAAATGAGTGAGGAAGGAATGTGACTTGCCTTGTGGAGGAGCGTGAAGCCGACGCGGTCGGGATACTCCTGGTCGGAGATGAGCACGCCGGCCAGACTGTCCGACCGGATGTAGATGGTGCAGATGTATTCTGCCGGGATAAATGCATACCATACCACTGTACAGACGTTCAAGCAGTAATCAAAGAAAGCTTCGCCTTTAAGATTTACCTTCCTGTTTGACGCGCGCCTTGGAGCCGACGGGCGTCCGCTCCACCAGCAGCTCCGAGGTGAACGTCATGAACTCCTGCACACTGCAATCAACACACGCTCCACCGATTTTTTCTTGGCGCTGATTTCGTAAAAAAATATCTTTGAAATTATTACAAATTAACTTTCCATTTTCTACTCTCCAATTATTTTTCCCTCGCTTCTATTTTTTTATCATTATCTTTTTTGTTACTATTTCACTGGAAAAAAATGTTACAAAATGTTAAAAATTATATTATGATTTTTTTATGTTTTTCGGTAATAAAATACGACTTTATTTACTTATTTTTGACTTTTAATTTAATAAAAAATACTTCCAACATTTTTCAAAAACGAAAATGTCGATGTTTCCCGCTTAAATTAATTTCTCTTCGCTTCTGCTTGATGATTTACACTCGAAAAAAAATGTTAAAAAACGTAAAAAATTATATTTGTATTTTTTTCTGTTAATCTACGTTTTCCCCCAGCAGCGGGACACGAAGACACATACCTTCCACGCTGGAAGTATCCGAAGGACTGCAGATCGTACGCGGCCTTCAGCATGCGCGCCTTGGGACCCTTGTACAGCACGCACAACGAGTACAGCTTCATTCTTCTCCCGTCCTCTTCAAAATACTCCCAGGACCACACACGATTCCCCGTCAACAAATCCCGCTCAAACAGATGGCGAGCGTGATGAACTCAATTCAGCACAGCCGATGCACGTGCCTCATTACGGAAGAATCCACAACACAACACAGGTTACACAGCAGCACTTCCAACGCAGCAGGCAGATTGTATCCGTCTTCAGCTTCTTCGACTATCACTCCAATTTTATCCTATAGAAACACGAACAGAACAGGTTGAGACTGGCAGAAAATAGGTCGAAGGAAGAACTACAAAATGACGCGTAATTTGTTACGTAAAAATTAAAGTTCAAAAATGGGGAAATATTTGCAAACTGCGCCAGTGTGAGTCAGCTTGACTGCTGAGCAAATGAATGAGATGGAAACCCCGCCCACTTCCGCATCAGGCTAATCATTGGCCTGATGGAATTGGAACATTAGCCGCTAATGGAATTGGAACCGACAGCGCTGAACATGTTTCGACATGTTTTGCTGCGTTCGTTGACTTTTAAATTAATTTTATTTTTTGTTCAGTTGTCTTTGCTACATTTATCGCTTTTTAAATTACAGATTTATTGTTAGTAACTGTTGATTTGCATTTTATTGTAGTTAATGTTGCTTTGGTGATTGGCATACGAGATTGCCAGATGGTGCAGCATCCCAAGTGGCAGCATACTGTCGCTGTACTAGTTCCTCGTTTCCCTGTTTAATCGTTAATCGATGAACGTGCAATAATTTTCTCACTCTCCTCCGCATCGCCATTCTGTAGTATTACGCCCGTTGATTCCTGTTTCGATTATGGCGTGTCTGCGCTGCGTGAAGGACATCCCCGACGTCGTGATCGACGAGCAGACCGGCCAGGCCAAGTACGTGCAGATCCGCATCCAGGACCCCAGCGGCCAGTGCAAAGTCATCGTGCGCAGCAGCAAGTGCGCCGAACTCCACAACGACATCTTCGAGCCCATCTACGTGCAGCTGCGGCAACTCGGGTGGGAGTGCGAGTGCCTGGGGGGTGGGCGGATCTTCCGCGACATCGAGAAGAAGAACATGTGCGTGTACGGGTACTCGGTGGCCTTCGGGATGGCCGACCACAAGCGCACGGTGGATATTTTATCGAAAAAGTATCCCCCGCCCACCACCATCCAGTGGAGCAACGACGGATACTGATTGACGCGTCTCCACAAATTCCCGGAATTATTCCCGTTTTCAATGGAATTTTTCCTGATTTTTTCTCTTATTTTCTCGCCATGGAAATTCGTTGTGGTAATTTATTTTTCTTTTTATTTTGGGTTTGTTTACCACGTCGCAGGTTATCTGGGATGATCCTTTTTTGTCGCCATAAGCAGTGATAAAATTAACAGAAAATAAAATCGGAAAACAGGAGACCTGGCACGGTTTTTTAGCGATAATCCATAATCAGATTATGCAATATTATTTAAATCGCTGGAAATTTTTAAATTGATCCATCAATTTATTATTCGGTTTACCGTTTTTCTGGTTACTGAATATTGATGAATAAATCACCTTGTTAATTAATAACTGGGTTTAATATTTTTGTTAATTGTTAAATAAATTGTTTAAATATTAACTGCGAAATTATTGCGATAATTTATTACACGGGTTCTACTTTTTTTAATCGCCTAAATACTTACTGATAAGTTATCGTAATATTTGTCTGCACCGGTTTATTATTACATTTTTAATCGGCTGAGGAAACTAACGGATAATTACAGCGGTTAGACTCATTTTCATAATTCGCAAGACATTACTTCAATTGTTTTTACAGCATAAGACGAATAAAATTCTCTGTAGCTTCAATGAACAACCCGTAATCTGTATAAAGGAGCTGGCCAAAAACCGTTAAAGGGAATGAAAAATACTCGAAATAAAATAGCTCCAGCTCCCGTAGAAATAAAAGCGCAAATCAAAAACAGAAGCAGCCGCCCCCAACCGGAAAACCGCGCCAATCGTCTGCAATTATCACTGTTTTTTCGCGGGTGTTTGTCGATTAATCGCAGGAAATATTCCTTCAGCTCTTGAGATCTTCCAGGCGACGCCGCATACTCTCCACGTCCTCTTCCTCGTCGTTATCGACCGCCCGCACATGATCGGATTTGAGGGGCGGGGCGCGGCTGCCGGAGGCGGGGACGCGGGAGCCGGCGGCGACGGAGGCGGCCGGCAGGCTGTCGTCGACGGCGCGCGGCGCCTCGCCCAACTTGCCCTCGGTGAGCTCCCACAGCACCTTCTCCACCTCCGCGTCCGCCGCCGTCTCGATGTCGTCCTCGTCCAGCACGTCCATCGCGTCCTCCATCATCTCCTCGATGATGCCCGCCTATAAGGATTTTCGAAGTATCAACTCCCGAATTTTTATCCGATTTTCTTGTAAGTATTTTATTTCATTTTTTTTTGATAATTTCGTAGTATAAAACCGTTGATAATTTCGTAGTATAAATTTCGTAGTTTTTTTTTGATAATTTCGTAGTCGTAACCCCGAATTTTCACTCAATTTTCTTGCCGGTATTTTATTTTATTTCTTTGATAATTTTCGTAGTACAAAACCCCAAATTTTTATTTATTTTTCTTACAAGTATTTTATTCAGTTTTTCCAGATAATTTTCGTTGTACAGACTCTGGATTATAATTTATTTTCGTCCACGCCTAAATTATTATTTTATTATTATTGTTTATTGTACGGCAGGCAGGTAACCCATTAAAAGGCTAGGATCGAGTTCTAGCCTGGGAATTTAAACCTGGCTAAATAACAGGAATCATGAAATTAGAGCAAAAGCCACAAAACAAGAGAAGTACTAAGAAAAGAAAGGCATCAATTAATAGTAACATGCTTCAGTGCATTACGAAAAACAGCAAGCGAACTGCTCTTAAGAATGTCGCTTCCGGCCTCGGTTAGCTGGCTCATAACGTTGTTCAGCCTCCACGCCAACGTGGACTTCCCCGTCCTTGTCCTTCCCTGTCCTTCGATGAAGGTCCTGTTTCCGCTTCGAAGGCTGTACGGTTTGGAATCGTGTTTTACGACGATCATTTCGGTGAGGTAACGGGGCACTTGGAACTTCTCCGGGTGCAGAATTTTGTAAAGCCAAGTTGCTTCCTGGTGTTTCCATCGCTTAAACAGTGGCGTTATCTCGTATTGCTTCATCAGGTCGGTGGTGGACACTTCGGCATAGTTGGCAATAGCTCGAATGGCTTTTTCTTTGCGCGACAGCCAGCGGCTCCAGCGTGGACACAGGCGCACCGCTCCACACAGTGGAGCAACGGTCCAGATGAGACTGGACAAATGCGTGATAAAGTCCAACGCGTTGGGGCACCGGCAGCCCGCTCTTCACACTGTTTATGAGGGCGACTCCATGATAAGCACTTTTTTGAACCTTTTTAATTTGGTCGGTCCATTTTAAATGCTCGTCAATTATCACTCCCAAGTGCTTCACTGATTTTTCCGGTTCAAGCTTATGCCCATTCAAATCAACCGACACGATGCTTTTGTCCCGACTGTACGCTGAAGTGATCATGAGCAGCTTAGACTTCTTTTCATTGACAACCAAGCGGTTCAGTTCAAACCACTCACAAATTATTGGAAGCACAGCGGTTATTTTGTCTGCTGCACCTGACTTCGTGTCTGCTATCGCATAGCAGATCGTGTCATCAGCGAAACTTTCTAACCGGACATCAGGACAACGTAAATTTATTTTCAACAATTCGTTCAGGTAAATGATAAAAAGTAATGGACCGAGAATGGAACCCTGTGGCACACCTGCGTACACACGTTCCCATGAAGACATCCGCTCACCAATTCGCACCCGTTGCATTCTGCCAATGAGATACGAGTGTAACCATTCAAGTGCATCACTGTTGAAACCAAGATCGCGCAGTTTTATTAATAACAAATCATGACACACTGAAGGAAAAGCACTTTTTAGATCAAGGAAAACACAAGCCACCGCCTTTTTGTTGTCAACAGCCTTTTTCCATGTTTCCGTCACTTTAAGAAGCAACGTTTCACACGAATGACCGTTTCGAAACCCAGACTGGCATTCAGATAGAATGTCGTGACTTTTCAAAAATTTAACAATTTGCGACTGTGCAACTTTTTCAAACACTTTCGACAGATTACACAATAAGGATATCGGCCGCACTTGATCTACCGATTTTGGCTGACCGCACTTCGGCAGGGCGATTACTTCAGCTTTTTTGAAAATGTCTGGAAATATTTTTTTGATAAAACACTGATTGATCAGGTGAGTCATAGGCTCCACCAGCAGTGGATAAATCTCCTGCAAGAGTTTATGCGGGATACCGTTAGGCCCGGCGCATTTGTTCTTGCTGAGAATGTTCGTAAACGCTTCCGCAACTGTCACAGCAGTTACCTGTTCAAACGCAAACAACGGAGACTCGCTGGCAGCTGGTACCGCCGCCGGCGGGTGGGGGCTTCCGTGTTCTCCCATCTGGGCGAAGTGTTTATTCAATTCATTAGGTTCAAAGTCCACAACAACATTCGGTTTACTTCGATTCAGCATCCGGTTTAATTCCCGCCAAACTGCAGCACCGTTTTTGGAGTTCTGCTCAAAGTAACGTCTTTTGGCTTCTTTGATTTTAAGAGTTACTTCGCGCTTTAAATGTTTAAATTGTCGATTATTACTTTCGTAATCGGAAGTATTTTTCGACAGTTTTTTACGTTTATACGCGAGATCTTTTTCTTTTAGAAGCCTTTTGATGTCACCTGTTACCCAAGGAGCAGTTTTCTGAGAAACGCGTTTAGAACGTAATGGAAAACACGAATCAACAATTTCAAACAAACCACACACAAAATTCGTTACTTCAGAATCCACGTCGCTGTAGTCGACGTAATTGACGTATTTCTTGGTAAATTCAAAAACCTTGCCCTTAAACTGATCGATTTGCGTCGCTTTCCAGTCTCGAAAACTCTCAGTGCGATGTTGCGGTTTCTTACATGGAAAAGCTGCAATAGTTTTACATACGCGGTGGTCGGAAATATCAGTGTCTGCTGGAAGGCACGGCAAATATGAGCTGGCTGGTCTGCATAGAATGTGGTCAATCTTCGACTGGGATACGTTCAGGATATTATCGGGTTTCTTCAAGTACTGCGCTACTCGAGTGTACCCGATTACATTATCTGCGAGCGAAAAATCTTCAATAAAATCGACAGATAGTTTGTAAAAAGAACTTTTAGAATTAGGAGAAATATCGATATTAAAATCGCCCATAACCACATGATCGTAATCGGGATACTTCAGCAGGACCTCTCGCAAATGATCAAACAGCATTTGGGTCTCCGACGTATTACTATCCGGCTGACGATACACAATACCCAAAATGATTTTTCTACCAGAAATACGCAATTTTAACCACAAACACTCGAAGCCCTTAACCTGAAAGTTTACTTCTATACGAACGGCGCTAATGAAGTAGGGAACATAACAGATAATTCCTCCACCGCGCTGCTTCCCGTGAATTTCAGATCGGTCGGTGCGAAACAAACAGTAGTCCGGGATACAATAAATCTGGTCTGGATCAAGCGATGAAAGATGAGTTTCCGTAAGAGCAAAAACTTTAGATACATTATCATCAAAGCCAAGATAGCGGGTTACAACATCTAGTTTATCGTAAGAGAAACCTTGAATGTTCAGATGGTAAAACTCAAGTGCTGGCTTTTTGAGCGTAGACATCTCACACATTGGACTTAGCAGGCTATACTATAGATCATTCGATAGAGAAAAAGCTCTTTTACTTGCCAGAACTAAAAGTAAGAAGAGAAAGTTTGTACAAAATGAATTATTTAAAGAAAACTACGCTGGCTGCGCGGATTAAAATTTATCCGCCAGCCAGCCAGCCAGCATTAAATTTTGTTTTAATTTTTGCGATGATTTTATTAGTATAAATTTTTTTCTATTTATTTAGTATGGATTTATTCATTATTCTTATTCTTCAAATAACAATTAATTTGGCATTAATTTAAACAAGTATTTTGGCACGCACCTTGGTCATCTCGCGGGCCATGTCCTGCATGATGCGGTTGAACTCGGGCATCTTCACCAGCGACTGCATCGCCTGCATCACCTCCGTGCTTTTCGCCAGCGATCCCGACACCTTCAGCGTCGCTGCGCAAACAAACAAATCACATTTAAATTCAATTATTTAAATTTAGATTAAATGACTTAAGTAATTAATGCCAACCGTTCCGAACTACTTATTATCATTTACCGCAAAGGATTATGGACTAGAAAACTGAAAAGACAAACCAAATTGCACTAAAATGAATAAAAATCAGGAAATGAATCGCAACGAAAAATCTGAAGAAGAAAAATGTAGAATCTAACAAAAACTGTGAAAATAAATTGAAAAGAAAAATCATGAAAATTAAATCACACTAAAGTTCAACTGAAAATTCGAGGAAGAACGTCAACAAAGTGAAGTGAGGAAAAATCAAGAAAAACCCTGAGAAAGATTTGTGTACAACTCAAGTTGTGCTTCTCGGCTATAAGTTATGACGCTCATTGTAGGAAGAAAGCAAGAGGCTCTTACAGAGTTGGTGGCGCATCTGCAGCACGAGGGAGTTGATCTGCACTTTGGAGAGGTGGATCTTGTTGGTGGTGTTGCGGGAGCGGACGATCTCCTTGGCCAGAATCCGGCACACGTCCTTGTCGCCCTTCTTGGCCGCGTCCTTCAGCGACCGCTTGGCCCGCTCCTCCTCGCGCTGGATGTCTGCAAACGGAAGTAAAACCAAGCTTAATCTTTGTACTAACTCCACCACTACACTGTACGACGCATCGCTCGCAGTTCACTCAAATTTTCATCTGCTGAACAGCTGCTGAAAATCAACTGTGTATTCGATACAGGAAAACAATGTAAGCATGTAATCAGTGAAATCCCTGTACTGCCTCACGCAGAGTGCATGCTGTCATACAGGGATCTCGTCGCCTACGCACTTCGGATCTGACGGTCCATGTCGCGCGCAGACTGACGCAGCGTCTTCGTCCACGCGTCCACTTGCTCCTTGGGATCCACCGTGGTTTTCCCGAATAAACCCATCCTCAGATTGTCAAGCAATCAACCAATGGAAGACTCAAAGGAACAGAAGCGTCCAAATAAATGCTAGTACAGAGAATATCAAACTAGCTGGTTGCAGGCTTGTCAGTTTTCAGCTGGTAAACGATTTCTCAACACAGTTACGGTTTCACAGTGTCACAGATCCCAACAAAATAAGGCAACCACACTATCCCAAAACTTTGCTCTTCATGTAAAAATTAAGTCCTGATCACTGTATCATGTATGTTACATGAAACCATAAAATTCAGAAAGTTTTTGCTTGCAGAGTAGCTGTAGAAAAATGGGTAGATAACCAAAACAAACAGCATGGAATACGGATGAATCACTGGCCGTTCGAAAGAAACGTCCATACCAAGGCGGTTGGGCCTACTGACTACATATTTGCGTCATTTCCGCCGATTTTCCCGTTTGAAATCTTATCCTGAACTGTCGGCAGATTTATGCGTTTTACTGAATCCATCATGATTGTAAACAATTGTGGTTTGACTGGATTTTGATCAGAACTAAAATTTCACAAACTAGGTGCGCAATTTGGCGAATCAACCTCTAGCGAATTTCGGCTAGTCAGCACAACGTAATAAAGGCGGCGTGGATTAATTAGGCCATAATGTGCTGCCGGGCCAAATTGCAAGACTATAAATCCCTTCTGCTCGCGCCACTGCACAAGTAAACCCTCCTTACGTGTTAGCAGCAGTTCTAATAACCGCAACCATGCACAAGATAACGGTTGTCCTCGTCTGTGCCAGTGTTCTGCTACTGACCAGCGTCTCAGCCAACGCCAGCCCCGGTGAATGCTACAAGTTCATGAAGACGGAATTCTTTCGCAGCTTCATCACCGGCAACATCCGCAACGCCACCTTCGTCAAGTGCGACGGATCCGTCGCCCGCAAGGACTGCCGCTTCGAAGAGTGTGCCACGGACTTTGCCACCACGTGTCCGCTGCCGGGACGCCCAGATGTCAGCATCAACTCCGCCATGAGCTGCGCGGAAGTCAATCGCAAAGCCAAGACGCTGCAAGCGCAGTACGACAAGACGCCCCGATGCTTTTAACGCCGAGGACGTGCTTCCCTGTTTCCTGGGCGCATGGCGCTCCACAGGCTATTAAGCATCACTACTGATCCCTGTTCGTTGAAAGTCAGTCGGAACCACTGCTAAACTGTTCTGTACAGATACGCATGCGAGTTTTATTTGTGGCTCGTTATTGTCGAGTCCCGTCCGTCCGTCAGCGAGCCTGGCGAAACTGAACGACTTTTATTTCCATGTTTCGGTAAATGGCACCTACGTAAAGCTGTATTTATTCACTAAGAGTTTCATTTGCAAATGAAAGATGCATCGCTCATAAAAATACGTTCAATTGAACGTATTTTTATGAGCGATGCATCTCTCTGTACATATTGCGAATAAATAAATTAATTAATACACACTACAGTGACTCCACAGCATAGTTGCTTCATAAAGGTCAGCACGCTGCAATCGCTGCTGCTCGTCTGCTGGACTCAATGATGCAAAAAGCCTTACCTAGTCCGCGCCGGAACACACACCAATGATAAACGTTGGTAACCGGAGCTACAAATGCGTGCGTTGCGATTGTCCCTGTAAATTATCGATCCCCTTGCCGCAGAAAGTATATATTACAAGTACGTATGCGGCAATCGGCACTCTGTATGTGCAGATGATTTCACTGCTGCTCAACATTGTCGCGCGCGCGTTGCTCGCGGCGAAAAATTAGATTAGAACTGGATAGGTTCAGTAAGCGGTTAGCAGAAACGGCAGTTAAATGGATGATAGAGTAAACCCGGTAGATTGCGCTTCTCTATATTGGGCTACCTACCTTTTGCGCCTCTAGAATAAAAACGCTGTCTGGCGGGAGTTGCTGTATAATACTGTATATATATGTAAAGCGTTTGTTTCAACGTTTAAGTTTGGAGATTATGCGTGGTAATGCTATGAGCTGTATTATACACGGTCCTTTCTCATGTTAATTGGGACAAACTCTTCATTTGATCATATTTGTTGAGCGAAGCTCGCCTTGTACATATTGAGAAATAAAATAAATCTGTAAAGCGTCATCGTTCTGCTACTCTAGGGTAGCCAAAATGGTCCCCGCATACCGTCCCTGACGGCGGAAATTACAGCTTATGGAGCGGCTGCACCGCTGGATCTCCCTTTTCCCGCCACCACGCCGCGTCGATTCCACACAGGAACGCTTGATGGACCTCGTCGCTTCTTCTGACCTTCCCACATACGGACATCTTCTCGAGGACGACGGCGGTCGGCAGACGGGGGACCCGCTGATCCTGGAGGTGGTCGCCGGACAGGAGGTCCGTGTTGTGTGCGACGTGGATTGGTCGGGCGGTCGCGTCGTGTTGGAGGTTGCCTCTTCAGCCCGCCCGCCTCTGGGCGGCGGCAGACGGGATCAACACCCGGCACGCTCCCGGGACGCCCTCCCCACCGGGACGCACAGTTCCGCCGTTCCCTGCGCCGATAGCGGCCCTTCCGGTCGGCCGAACAGGGATCCCGAGACCGGACACGCTCCCGCCACTCGGCGCCGTTGCATCCCGGTGGTACGACCGCATGTTCGCAATACAACACAACCCCACGATCCATTTTCGGAGAGTCGTATCCGTTATCGGCATATCCACACGGATGCCATGCGTCTGGATCCCGGCTGGTTTCCCGCCTGTTTTGATCCGCACCACTGTGAACCTGGAAGCCAAGGAGCGTCGCTGCGCCGGCTGCCGTACGGGTTGCTGCCGTACGGGTTGCTGCACAGTATCCTCGATATCCACAGCGTGGGAAGCGCTCAACGGTAAAGTGATATCTACAGTATATACGAGTATGTTTGAGTTAAGTTTGCCTTACTACACGGATGCGCCTCGCGCTTATATAAGTCCGTGAGTTGTAGTACTTTTGAACATCAGTGTGTTTAGCCTTCTGAGTTTTGGCAGTGTCGGAGTTTTTCTATTAAATTTGTCGTTGGAGATGCAGCTTCTCGTTCGCGTAGATTTGTAGACGTAGCTATGCCACATTGAGATTATCAGCTCATACTCTGCCGTTGAGTAGGTAGGTAGGATAGATTATTACGGTAATTATTCCTATCGTACTGATCCCTCCGTTAATAGCGTGCGTTGCTGCACAATTGCAATGCCTTGCGCTTAAAGGTCACTGTGCGCGTTTGGTTGTAGCGTATGTCCAGCGTGATACCACGCGTTAAACGACCACCGGCACGTGGTCATCGACTTGCGGAAGATCGCGGCGCCGGCTAGTAATAGCTACGGGACCAAGTACCGACTGCCGCACTTGGTGGAGGTCCTGGAGCACACCGTCGGCCGGTGGACGCTGTCCCTGACGTTGATGGACGGCGTCGTCACTCCGGGATTGGAAGCAGCCGCTCACCGCTGCCTATTCCGGAAGGGCATCCGGCTGCCGATGATCATCCTGCGAAAGGTCACGTGTCAACACCCACTGACCGCCAATTACCCGCAGCAACACCTGGACTGGGCCAAACTCGGATACTTCGTGAAGATATGCCGGACGTTGCACTTGCAAAAGGTCACGGTCATGTCCCTCTTCGAGCCCATCGCCCGGTTGTGGTGCTCGTAGCCGCGCGTCACCGGCGACCTGCATGTCCTCTTGAAGAAGGCCTCCATCAACTGTACACTGAAAACGGAAGCGAGCCAAGTGCGGGAGTTTCTCAGCGCGGTCAACCGCAGCTGCCGCGCATTGACGGCCGCTGAATGGGGCAACATCAGTCGGGTTTGCGACGAACTAGCCGGTGACGAACTAACCGTTGACGCCGGCGGTCACTGGTTTCATGTGGCGTTAATGCTGAAACTGTACGAGTGTACGGCGATCAGGCGATGCAGTGGGCGTTTCCGGTAAATAATGTTGTATTTGCAGGTTGAACGAGCGGCCGCAGTCACCGCTGTCCCGCCTGGCCGCCTACGCTTTCCTGTCCGCTAAAACAGGCCCCCCGTCGCCAACCCGTTCCGCCAGCGAGGTCACCGGTCCGCTGTCCGACGCAAGCCTGGCCTCCCTGTTCCCACAGTCACGTCGAGACCACCAGGCGCACCCACAGCCACGCCCTGTCCCGCTCCCTGCGCACCAAATGGCGCGGGCCCACCGACCACCCCGAAGGCGTGTGGAACACCCCCGGCTTCACGGTCCCATGTCCCTCCCTTTATTTCTTCCCCCTGCTGCGAAGTTAATCGCTACATATTCCGGCATCGTCTGCTTCGGCTTTCTATACTGTCAGTCTGTTACCATATATACATGCATATACGGTATCTTTTATTGGAAAGCATGTGCAACTGTGCAAGCGATACTGTTTACCTGAAGTGTGCACATCCTTTTTTTGCCAAAACTCCCATTTCATCGTTCAAGCCAGTCAAAATATATAATTATATATACATGTATGCATGCCTATACTGTATGTACATGCGCATATGGGTGTACTCTGTACATGAATATTATATTTTTAGAAAATATAGACGTATACAGAACATAATAATTTATACAGAACTTCCTTGCATCTGTGTTTATTTACGTTCGTACATGCGCACATGATACATCTATGGATTGTACTGGCGTATTTACTAGGCGCGTCAAAATTAATTGCAAACAACGCTACTGACACTAATAATATTGCCTGTTTTTATTGATTAAATTTGGAATGTATTACGGATATTAGTCGTGCACTTAGGTATTCCAGTATAACGGTGTCTGCGTCGGAAATGCCGAAAATGGCACGAACTGGCTGATACTGAGCGCCGAGGGCATTTTCATTTGCGGCGCTAACGATAAGCTGTAAGGATAAATTTCTGTGAAGCAAATCCCTTGATGGATCGTTTCCTATTACGAGCGATAGAAAAGCTTAGTGTGGGCGGAAGTTAACAGGAAGAGCTCCTATTACGCGTATCTTAGCCGTGCATGTTATGGCCTGTGTTAGCGGACCAACGGCCGGCACTCCAACGGGATTTGCCGGCAATCGGCCGTATTGCACGCCGACTCAACAGGCGGGTAAATCGCATCCATTCGCAAGGCTCATCGACTCTTTGCCGAGAAAGAGCGGCTAAGTAATTTATCTGTTCATTGTAGAGGCGAGCCAAGGCCCGAACGCAGTTGTACTACACACCACCCATATGCCCAGCATGCGGCAGACTGCTATTAATTTTGGAACTTTATTCACAATATTCCCATCAGCGAGCACCAACCGGGCGCCGAGTTTTAATCCATACTGTACCCTAAAAAAATTACCGGTCCGGAGACCGAGCACGGAACAGTTATGGCCCTTAGCGTTGCTTACAAATTCGTAAAGCAGTACCTGGATTTGTTACTACGAGACACTTTGGGATGTCCGACAGGTAAGCAGGCATACCGTTATTAAGCGGTTCGTCAATCATCACTGAACGACAAACAAATGTTCTGACTCCTCCCTTCCCTTCGAAGAGCTGATTAAAATAAACCGAAGTAACTTCCAACGTAGAAAATATTGTTTTTTCCGGGACAGGGTGAGGTTTATCAAAAGAATGCCCCACAGAACTTTAATCATTTGAGCTAATCCATAGCTTCATGCTTGAATAAAATTTTTCAAAAATCTTGCTTCAGTTGTTATTTCTTCCGCATATTAATATTAACGGCCTTCAATTAGCAATTTTCACTTTAAAATAACTCGATCGAGTTCAGACTTTCAGCACAGGTAGTGAAAATATCATTGTGCTACGTCAAATGCACAGTGTTGATGCAGCACAAGCGCACGCATTGTGCCAGCGAGAATAGTCAAAAGAGGTCGAAATCGATGTGATTCTTCTTAAGCCGCAAGTTCGAACTGGTACTAAGTAAAGCATGAAGAATCACGATCTCATTCCTGAGCTTGTTTATTATCATTCCGTCGCATTGCGGCCATACTAGACAGTTGTTAACATTTACCAGCAAGTGCCCGGCAAACGGGCTGCCGTAGTGACGTTCCGTTCTAAACAAAGCTACGCCTTATAAAACTGCGGGGTCAGTCCCTGCAGAAATGCCGTGGTCAACGTGGTCAGCTGGGTGACGTCCAGTTGGGCCAGCGTGGACGCCGTCCACGCGCGATGGCGGTAGCGCGTGGCAGGCCGGGGATCCGCGCTCTGGTAAGCCTGGAGGCCCTGCAGGAAGCAATGAAGCGGTCACTGCGCGCTGAGCCCTCATCCGGCATACTTCGCTTACTGGTATATGTTGGTCACTTAAAGTATACAATTTCTTGTTTCGGTCGCTAATCATTCGTCTAACTTCACTTAAAGTAGCTCACAAACGAACTGCCAACCATTTACCTGCACAATGCTTTGATTGCCCCACCGGCGCGGATGCCCTACGCAATCGGCGATCCACTGCGCGACCGCCGGCCGATCCAGCGGTTCCTCCAGAACCCGATGGCGCTCGAACAGATCCCACAACTGCACCGTCAGCGGCTCCAGCGACAAATCGCGGAAGGCATACCGCGGGACCAACGCCGTCAGGGAGGCATCGGACAGACGACACTGCTGCCACAGCATTCTCTCGCATCCACACTCAACGGCCAACTGCGCCGTGGACGCGATCACATCCCGGGCGCGCTTCATGAGTGGGAGCGGTCCACTGAGATTGCAGTTATGCAACACCAGCAGCGGCAGACGGCGCCCCGGGAGAGCGTGGTGGATGGGGGCCATCAGTTGGCGGCACTCGAACAAATCCATCCGGCTCAGCCCCAGCATCTTGGTGTGGCTGCTCAGGCATTTCAGCACGCACTCCACCACCCAGTACATGCCGTCCTCGGAGAAGTACACCGCTGGATAGTCGCCATCGGCGCAATTGCCGGACACGCGGACGTCGGGGAAGTAGGCGTCCGTGGTGAGAAGTGTGTTCCACAGGGCGCAGACACGTCGACAACGAACCTGGCCGATGGAGTCCAGCGACTGGAAGAGTTCCACCAGCAATTCAACGGGCAATCGCATACCCTCGTCATCACTGCCGAAATTCTTCCGCTTTCTACTGGATCGTGGTCCGTTGTTAAGTGTTATGGGGATAGCTGCCGGCTGTGACGACCTTGTAGGAGGTTTGCGTTTCCTCGCCAGTTCGCAGATAATTTTCTGCAAATGCGAATAGAAAGAGCGATAACAGTTGCAGAATAGGGGTACTAAATAACTTCGGTCTTCTTTGCCTCATAAGCTCAGAAAGCCTAAGAAAACCTAAGAAAATATAAGAGACATAAGAAACCAAAGAAACCTAAGAAAACTAAGAAAACGTAAGGAAACCTGATAATAGCCTCTGAAAACCTAAGAAAACCTAAGACAACTTAAGAAAACTAAGAAAACCTAAGTAAACCTAAGAAAGCATAAGAGACCTAAGAAACCCATGAATAACCTAAGAAAGCCTTACAGAATCTAAGAAACCATGTAGCATCTAAACTCTTCCATTGGCGTATTTTTCTTAGCATATTTCTTTCTCACAGCTGTCTTATTAACCAAGCCAGTGAGTGCAATGAGACTGCCGATGACAGCCAAACGTACCAGTTGTCGCATCTTGAGCGGCTGCGCATCCTGAATCTGGAGATAGGTGAGGGTCTCACCGAGCAGGGAAACGAAGATCGCCATTCCAACTTCGTTCAGCTCCGCTTTGAATTTCTTGACGATCCGCGGTGGCTGGTTCGACAAACCACCGGCGGGCATCTGGCACGAGCGGATCACAAAGTCCCCCCTTCGCACGCGCCCCTCCGCGCAGACCCCCTCCGCGGGGGCTGGGCGCACCTGCGCCAGGGGCAGCAGCTCCTTGACATTCCCCTGGGGCAGCTGCGCTTCCACGTACTCGGCTTTCTTGCACAGAGAGGACTGGATAACGCGTCCCGGGTACCAGATCCAGACGCCGTCGGGATGACGCCGCAGCAGCACCTGCACGGCCACCACATTGGAGCGTCCCGTGTTCGCCGTGTAGTGGAAGACACGCCCGTACTCGACAAACTGCGCGCGCTGTGCGGGGCATTCGAAATCGATGATCAGTCCCTTGTCGGCCAGGTTGATGACGCGGCCGTGCTGCAGTTGGCCGTCGACCAGCGCGTCCACGGCGTTCCACGGCCACGCGGCGTCCTCGTCGTCGCCGAAGATGAGCATCGTGCTGTGCGAGCTGGGTCTTGGATCCGTGGTTAGAAAGTTTGAAACTTCTGAATGTTAAAGAAAACTATCGCTAGTCACTAGTCAGTATGAAGCAAGCAGCAAGCTGGTAATATGGAGTTATATATCTGGCCGCCGCTCTGGGCGGCCGATGCGTATTCGCTTTGATTGAGTAGGCGCTAACGTGAATTATAAACCGTGCCTGACCTGCCTGGATACCGTCGCTGTGTCTCACCGGAAATCTACGTTAGTTACTGCGGGATCCGCCGCCGCACAGACATAGGATAAAAAAGCGGGATTATCCCATATGTATTCGTACCTGCACGGCAGATACATCTTCGCACCGCTGCCTTTTGAAATTCTTTTACCATGAGGACAGTCAGCTAGCCGTTTCGTGACAGAAATCGGCAACTACAGATACAAGCGGCTTCAACAGCATACGGGTGACCTCGCTCCCATGAGTACCTCCGTCAACAATTGTCGCTGGAAATTCAGCGAGGCCACGCTGCTACCGCGTTCGGAACTATGGAGGGAGCGGCAGCATTAAATAAAATTTTGTTGTTTTGAAACTGTGATGTTAGTGATGGCCACATTCCACCATAAACCATCAGTAACTTCTCGCTGTAGACAGTAGACACTATCTTTTCTGGGGTTAAAAGGTCACTCATTTCCTGATTATTCGATTTTATTTACCTGTGGTACAACGTATATGCGATAACTAAAAAGTGAAAACATCACAATTTTTAAATTAAAATCATCACCTGATTATTCAGCCGTAGCATTTTCTTGACCAGCAGCTAAATAAAACCAGGTAAACTAAAAAACTGCTTGAAAAAAGCTGTAGGACACGTTTTTTCAGTTAACTCACGAAATTTCTAGCCTTCATGTGGATACTGTACTGTCGTACTGATATGCTAGCTGACTTTTACAGTGCTTCATGGCATATCACTTGTGACTTGACCCATTTCCATTGCGGCAACGTTTTTACAATACGGGCATTCGTGCCAAACGATTTCGGGTAGGAACAGGCCGCGTTGCCAATTCCGATCCCCTTCAGAGTCTTACGTGATAGTCCACAAGTTTTACTACAAGCACCCGAAAAGCTGTGCTCTGTAGCTGCAAATTCGCGGAGCAGGTTACATCGAAATTCCTCTGCTACCAGACATACTTCAACAGGAATATTCTTGCCTGAATTTGCGGTGCTTCTGCTGCACCAAATCAAAAAGCAAATCGGCTGCGGCTTGCTATGTTCCCAAAGGTCACCGCCGTCTTTCTTCCGGCTTGATGCTGTTCGTGGGCGTTCCTTCTGTCTTCGGTTTACTCTCTCGTGACGGACATGATCGCACAGCAGGATTGACGCGCTCGTTGGTGGGAGTCATCCCTTTCCTTACTTCCAGTGTTTCCCCTTTTGCGAGGTCACGATTAGCTGTCGTTACTGCATCTTGATTGCTCGATGCACTATCTCGCAGTTGGACGGGCTTCTTCAGTTCCTCTGAATGACGGCGGGTGGATTGCGGATGCCGGCAGTGGCGCAGCATCCACAGCGCGCGGGCAAAAAACTGGCGACTGACGCCGCAATAAACCAGGAAGTTAATGGAGTAATTGGCACATTGAAACTGTGTAGAAAGCATTATGGGCACGACACTGTGGTCGTCGGTCACATGGAGCAGGCATCGCTTCTCCGCTTGCACAATCGCCAGCCACGTGACGTAAGGGATGCGGGAGAGAAGGAACATGACGACGGAGGCCGTCAGCAGACGCACGGTCGTGCCTGTCCGCTTGTCGCGGCCATGTGATCGGACTGTCGCGCTCCCCTTCTTCTTCTCGATATTCAATACCCATTGGCGACCGTTGGCCACTCCCATACGCTGATCCGCTGCCGTTGCCGTATGTAGCATGCGTCGCTGAATGAGAATGCCAATGACCGCGGCGTTAATCAGCGGCAGAGCTACGAGGGTGGATAACGGCGCGGCTAATTGAAATCATCAGTGTACTGTATTTGTAATCATTTCTAACTATTTCCTGACTATCGTACTATTATGAACTGCGTTTGATATAAGGTCACTGACGCACCTCAGCGTCCGAATTCTGCAGATGGCGCCAGTTCTTCACCCAGGTGTCGTTGGCCATTCGGGTATCCTCGGTGGCATAATCCACCATATAAAATATGTTGTTGGCGACGGCTAACGGGATGAAACACAGAACGACGATCCGCATTCGGCAGCGCGTTAAACGTGTCGCCATTCCGAAGGGATCGATTACGCTGAGCAAACGTGTTAAGCTGAACGCGACAAGAACCCTGCAAAACAGGCGCATTTTGTATTTGCGTAATGCGTTTGCTGGTTAGAAGGTCCCATACCAGTCGGAGCACTGCATACTAGCAGTCCCTAGGAACACGAGAACAGTAACAACTTGCGTGTCATTCAGTCGAAGTGCAGACACTAAATGCTGATTGCTGATTGCTAACGTACCAATACATAAGCATGTAAAAATAAATCTCCGAACGGATATGGTGTGGATATTGGCTTGTCCTACTTGTGCCTGTCGAAAACATATTTCAGTGATTTTCATGTATAACCACGTGGCATCGATTGTTTTTGCTTTTCTCCCACTACGTTCGCTATTTCAAACTAGGCCGCGACGCTAGTAAACTCACCGCTATGTACCCAGGAAAAAGCGACCACCTGAAAAGAGAGATTCAGCAGTAAGTTGACTTGTCGAGACTCGAGACATCGTTTCATAAACTGTAGCAGAACTGTCTAGCAATAATTCTATCTGCACTCTGAAGTATAGTATTATTGATTCACATGAATATCATATCGAAAACAGCCACTGCCACCAGAAACGTTGCCTGGAATGTTCTGATTTTCCTCAGGAGAAGGATGTTGAGGATGTTGCCGGTTGTGCAGATGAACAGCCACACTGGATGCAGAACCAGATCAGTGTATAGATAGTCAACTCACCGCTATGTACCCAGGAAAAAGCGACCACCTGAAAAGAGAGATTCAGCAGTAAGTTGACTTGTCGAGACTCGAGACATCGTTTCATAAACTGTAGCAGAACTGCTGTGGATGTACCGATGATTCCGCGCCGGCCAGCCACAATGCGTAACGTTGTGGCGCATCGTACAACAGATAAACGATAACAGATAAACGGTACTGTCAGATAAACGATCCTATTGACAATCATAAACTTCGATAGCTGTTCACGTTTGGACAGCAAACGCTTCGGCTAATATGCAGGAAAGCATCCTCTGCTGGTATATCGTACAATATCCCTTTACGACGATAAAAATCATATTAAAAAAAATCAAAGCCCACAAAAAATGGTAAAAAACTGGGACAAGCGTTCGCAGTATTCAGAAACTGAAGACCGTTCCCGGCGTGTTGACGAATGATAATTAACAGATATGCGTGAGCGAACGGTTTATACGCATTATGTTGAATGCATCCGTTTGGAATAAGAAACCACGGCCGGCCGCGAAAAATTGTCAGTGTATTCGCTTAATGCGCTAATAACGTTCTGGCCGCGGGATATGACTGTCTTGATAAACGAAGGAAAATACCAAAAACTGTTCTGCGGTTAATTGTTTCTAGGTATGGTAACTGCTGTTGCTGCCATTCATCTTGCACGTTTCGGCACAACTGGCGCAGGATACCCTTTTCGCGCTGCAGCAAATTAGCAATTACTGGTGACCCTTAGCAGACCTGCCGGCATAAACCGTCTCAGTTCTTAGTTAAAGCTGTAACAAGGTATGCCTTTTGTCACAGCGGTCAGCATCTTGAAGACCAATCGACCTTCCATACGCAGGTCGTAAACGCTGTGGACCTTCGGCTTCATGGCAGTTGTAGCAAAAGCGTTAACCGAATGCTTACGTGGAAATAATTAACCTTACTTTAGAACCATATCTGGGATTTTGCCTTCACTTGTCAGTGCAGACATATCCCGCGGCGAAAACGCGGCTTGTGAAGTAGACGATGAATGTTCATCAGCATGCACACAGTTTGTTCATGCACAGTTAACCGTTTATTACAGTATCTTTGTAAACAAGCCGGGGAAACTTCTGTGGTTTTGCGCTGGATCGATGGCACTTGACCAAGTTTTGCAACAGTTTCTTGTGCGCTCATTAATTCTTATTTTTCTAACGAATTTACAATCCAGCAAAGGCAGATGCTCGTACAGAATTTGTTGACCAGCCGCAGCAATAAATCAGTTTTGCGGTCATGCTGAGGTTTTTGCAGTTTGCAAAACGTGATAATTTTTATCTTTTTAATTTTATCGTTCAGCTACTCGTAATAATGTAGCAATGCAGTCAAACTTGACTCATTGTGGCTGGCCGGAGCGGGACTTGGTTTATATTTTCAGCCAGCCCGGCTTTAAATACACTGATCTGGTTCTGCGTCCAGTTTGGCTGTTTATCTGCACAACCGGCAATATCATCAACATCATTCTCCTGAGGAAAATCAGAACATACCAGGCGACATTTCTGGTTGCAGTGGCCGCTTTCGACATGATATTCATGTATGTAGATCAATCAGGAAAGCTGTTAACCAGGTATTTTTCCTTATTTAAAGAGCATGTTACATGAAGTACATAATACATATTTGCCGTTGAAGTTAAACAAAGATACATCTACACAAAAAGACAGCATCGTTGCTAGCAGCTAAAGTGTCAATATACTTACTAGTATATGCGAAAAATGTACGTATTAAATGTGCCATTAGAGCGTGTTTTCTTCTGTTTTCAGGTGGACATCGCTTGCGCTGTGCATTATTGTAAGTTAAGATGTGTACTGTACGATGTTCACCGACTGACTGAAAAACGTCTGTTTTTACCATATTACACAGGATCAAGAAGACGGAGCCAGCAACACCAAAAATCCATCCATTTGGGCGTTTTCGTTAACGTGCGAGTTTTTCGGTAGGTTATATTAACCAAGCGTCGTTCGGCTTAATACCAGAATGTTATGCATTTTTTTTGTTCTTACAGGGAATGTTGCTGTACGATGCTCCGACTGGTACGACGAATACTACTAATAGAACTTTTGTTTTTACGGTCATTCATGTCGTTTGCAGGGTCCTTATTGCGTTCAGTGTAACACGATTACTGAGCATAACCGATCCGTTCGGCGTGGCGATGAGTTTCACGAAATGCCGAATGCGCATCCTTATTCTGTGCTTTCTCCCGATTGCGACAGCCAGTCACATATTCTCGACAGTGGAATACGCCAGCCAAGATAGCAAAATGGCCAACGGCACCTGGATGAGGAATTGGCGCCACGTTGAAGATACCGACGCTAAGGTATATCAAATGACCTTATGCTGACTAATCTTCTTTAATTAACAAAAGCTGCATTTGCTACTTAGAATGATCCAACTTCTACTTAGAATGTGAAGGCTACTTAGAATGATCCAACTTTAAACCTATCCTTTGCACATGACAGTCTTCTATAATTTAACATGTACAAATTCGTCCGTGCCTACTGCTTATTAGGCAAACGAATCTCTTGACAAACGGTGCTAATTGCAGTTAGCCGCACCGCTGTCAGTGTTAGTCGCTCTGCCGCTGATTAACGTCATTGTCATCGGAATCCTGATCAAACGACGAATGCTGACAACGTCGGACAGAGGTTAGCGTGTGGGCGCTACAAGTGGCCGTCGCTGGGTGCTGCACATCCAGACGAAGAAAGGTCAGGTGACGGTGCGCTCCCACGGACGCGACAAGCGGACGACGACGGCCGTGCGTCTGTTAACAGCCTCCGTCATCATGTATCTCGTTTCCCGCATCCCCTGGGTCACGTGGCAAGCGGTTGAGCACGCGGAGAAGAACTGCCTGGTCCATTTGACCGATGATCAAAGCGTGATATTCCTGCCGTTTGTCTACCAGTTCTTATACGCCAACTACTCCATTAATAACTTTCTGATTTATTGCGGCGTTAGTCGCAAGTTTTTCGCCCGAACGATCTGGATGCTACGCCACTGCCGATACCCACAGTCAACCCGCCTAAATAAGCATTTCGAAAACGGCACGTCGAAGAAGGCAGAAGGGACGTCTGCGGCGGTGATTGGTGCGCAGCTGGAAAGGGCGGTGCAGGTACAGGCACGGCGGGAATCGGAGCAGCCGATTATTGACGATGATTTACTATCCGTTTCTGATCGCACCACTGAAACGACCGATTCTACCTCCGTCGATCATGAAGAGCAGCCGATAAAGCCCCACGAACCGCGAGGTGGCGCAGTGGGCTATCAGAATGCGAACTGTGATTTCGTCAACGAAGAGCCGACGCAAAAGCAGGAGAGGGATTCAGTCGCTGACCGGAGCGTCGAGGAAAGGGACAGACACTTTCAGCCTGCGGTAAAATCGGTTTATTCAAGAGAAAGTGAAGTGAAGAACGAGATTACTAAGAACAGCATCAATCCGGGGAACCAGCGATGGTGACCTTTGAAAAGATGTATGGACAGTAGCTGGTTAACTGGGCAGATATCTTCCCTGCATCCGCAATCAATCTGGTTGTACATAATTATGTTACCGTAGTTTCGGTAGTTGTAAGTACTTTACGACCGAGCATATTTAAGCAGATGAGTGTTGTCTAAGCGGTTCACCATGGGTCCATGTGTGACTACCAGCGCATCCGTGTAGCATGACTAGACTCATTATCGGAAGCTGCCCACTGTATTTCTAAACCTGGTTTCAGTTTTGTTTCTTCTTGCGTTCGTACGGGACGTACTAATGAAGTTAGGCCTGCGATCTGGCCGCACAGTGAACTGGTGTTCCTCGATCCTGGTAATCGTAATCATAGCTGCTTCGTGGACTTGCAAGCTTTTCCAACCTGTACAGTCGTAAGCTCCCTCAAAGCGCTGAGTAAGCAATTCCAGTTGAGATGCTTTAAGAGCATCGTTTTATTATAAAGCTACGTACAAACGCTTGCTCGGAGTAGGTTGTTGTTGTTGTCTTATCCGCTTAATGTACATTATTCATGAACAGTCGCGCTTCGCGAAGCGGTATGCATTCGCATCTTCTTATTCCACGCAAAAGTTGAAAATTGTAACTGTGTTAATTTATAAAACGGCGGATACTAAGTTTTCTTCTGGTTCTGCCATACATACTGTTGCAAAGCTGAATACGCTTGCATACTGGTAGTGATTTTAATCATTTTTAAAAAAAAAAGATCACTCAGCGCATGCCGCATAGCACTAACAAACACAAAACGCTACAGACGTTGACCGCGGTCAGATAGCATCAGAATTTTCCTCAGGACGCGGGAAGCTCAACCATCGTGGGTCATCTGCTGTCCGCTCATGGTGCGGATTTATGGATTAGCTTCATGCGTTGTTGGCACTGTAGCTATTCTTCGTTCGGTAACTTTTCTAATTTGTAACTTCATCCATTAGTCACTAAGTTGGTAGTTTAATCCGGAATGTTGAACGCGCTCGTTACTTAATTCAAGCTCCAGTCCGAGACTGATTCCTTTACTCGCTTCTGTCTCGGTTGTTCAATAGGATCGACCAAGCCGCATTCCTCTCACAGGAGACGAGTAATCACTCTGTCAACGTGACTGGTCATAGATGCCAGATCGGCTCTTCCGATTCCCGCCGCGTCTGCGTCTTCAACGCCCTTGCCAACTCCGCACTAATGATCGCTGCAGCTAAGGTCATATCCGTATTCTTTGACTTGCAGTCTTGGGAATGTGTACGCGAACCAGATGGCTGCCGGCAGCGGCGTATCACCCGCATCGCTCGAGCGAAGAACTTGCGGCTGACGCCGCAATACACCAGAAAGTTCACGGAATAGTTTGCATAGAGGAGTTGGGAGAAGAACGTCAGGAAGATGACACTCTGCTCATCCGTCAGATGCATCGTGCAGCTGGCTTCCGCGTGCATAAAACCGTACCACGCCACTAAGGGAATTCGGGAAATGAGGAACATGACAACGGAGGCCGTCAGCAAATGCACGGTGGTGGCCGTGCACTGGTCGCGCCCATGCGAGCGCACCGTCACGCAGCCCTTCTTCTTCTCGATGTGCAGCACCCATTTGCGGGAATTGCTCACGCCCACACATTGCCCCGCTGCGGAGGTGTGCAGCATGCGCCGCTTGATGAGGATTCCGACCACAGCGGCGTTAATCAGCGGCAGAGCGATTAATGTTGATAACGGCGCGACTAGCTACGATAAGCAGCATTTTATACTACGAGTAGTATTCATCGTAAACGAATAATTATATTGTACGAGAATGACGACGATCTGCGCTATCCGAACGTTGTAGAAATTTCTATGAACTTTCGTTATACAATGTAGGACGAAATGGTCGCATAGCCCCATACCCAGCATTCTGTACGCAAGCGGTGAAGTGCACTTGTACGAAAAAGATATTTTGAACTCAGTCGTACAGTGCACTGCGCTGCATTCGTTCTGAATGTGGAGATGTTGGGTATGCGACCATTTTGTCCTAAGCTGCACTTCACATAATAAAATGTACTACTTAAGAACAAGTCACGATATTGATTTCGTGCGTGTTAGCATCGTCGTAAGTATAGTAGTTCACAGTATGGTGATTTAGCAAAAGGTCACCGCAATCTGACCCTCGCGTCAGCATTTTGGATGTGGCTCCAGTTTTCTAGCCACGTGTTGTTGTTGGCCATTTGGTTTTGGAGAGTGGCGTATTCCACCATGGCGTACATGTGACTAGCGGCCGCCAGCGGGATTAGACACAAAACCAGAATCCGCATTCGGCATTGCGTAAAACGAGTCGCCACTCCGAAGGGATCGAGCATGCTCAGCAGACGTGTGACGCTGAACGCCAGAAGAACCCTGCAGAACAGCAGGGATTCGCAAACACCAACATTTTACATAGGCATTCCTTATTTTATGTAGTTGTTTTGAACAGGTATTCCTTACTTTGTATGCTTAGGTATATTATTTTTATAGATTTTGCTTACCAGTCGGAGCATTGCACAGCAACATTGCCTACGAACAGCGAAATAGTAGCAGTTGTACGGAATTAAGTCCAGAGCAGAAACGACACGATTTTAATTAAGGTCACATACCGAAAAACTCACACGTGTACAGAAATGCCCAAATGCATGGGTTGTGGATACTGTCGGCTCCAATTTGATCCTTTAGAAAACAGTTAAGTGCTCTTTACATGCATCGCTCTTGGTAAAAAAAATCGGTATCTTTTGTGGCCGCATAGTTTCCAGCGCTGAAATCGCGAACTATCGGTATTTCGACCTACCCTCACGTAATACGAGGCAAAGGACCACCTGAAGAATGTCAAAAAAGATTTGGTATAAGGCGTTGTTATGCGAAAGACACACTTCTCACAGATATGTTTAAAACGAAATGGTTTGCTTAATTATTATCTGATTTTACTTACATGAATATCATATCGAAAACAGCCATTGCCATCAGAAATGTGGCCTGGTATGTGCAGATTTTTCTCAGGAGAATGATGTTGAGGATATTGCCGGTTGTGCAGATAACGAGCCACACTGGACGCAGAACAAGATCGGTGTATTTATAACCAGGATGGCGAAAAATATCAAACGGATCCCGCTCCGGCCAGCCACAACGCGTTAAGTTGTGCTGCATGCCTGTGTACTATTGGAACAGCAATAAAACTGACAAAAGAAGAAATACTTTGAGATCCGTTACCGTAAGCAGTTGGCTGGATTTTACAGAGATAACATAAACTTCTTGACAAGCATTAACGATAAATGCAATTATGCAAGCACCAAGAAAACTTTCTAAAAATTACGACAAGCATTGGGCAGATTAGCTAAAAATAAAAATTTACAAAACATAATGCAGCAACTGTTGCAGTTGAGCGAGATGTTTACCGGTTCGACGGCAACCATAATCTACTACGAGACATTGTTGTCGTTTAATTCACAAATAGCAATTTGGCCGCGGGATGTGTCTGCCAGTAGATGCGTATATAAGGGAAAATACCGCCGATTGCTCTAATGTAAGGTTTATTGTTTCCACGTAAAGTAAATTACCAGTCCCGCCCAAAAACTGCGATAAAGCTTCAACTGCGCCGCGATTCTCACACTACATATGCATTCGCCGTTGTAATTTGCATTTTTCATTTTTACCTTTACCTTTACCGTCGTGGAAACCTATGCCTTTACCTTCACCGGTTCCATTTGCCTGTCAAAAACACCGTTTGAAAAGCCTTGCCGTAATTTTACCGTTAAACGACCAAATTACTGTCGACATATTGCCATTTTTCAATCTTCTTTCTATAGCTTTCTACTTTAAAATACACGCGCGCATGCAAATATGTATAACAAGTAGAGAAACTATAACAAGTGGACCATTACAACGTACAACATATGCATACTTTTATCAAAAAAATGCCAAATGTCAGAAAAACAAAGACAGTCATGTTGATTTCAAAGTAAAAAAAAAATCATATTGGTATTTAAAGTTTGGCTAAATTATACCGTCTGTATAAATATCGCCGCAGTTTTACTCCAACGTCGTATGTGCATGTGTAAAATAATGCTTCCGCCTTGTTACCCGCCTTTGTCAGAAGCTTTTCTGATACAGATTCCGACTCGTAAGTTTGCTAAGCACCGGTAATAGTCCTTACGCTAAATACTTGTCATAATACCCGTTTTGTCACCAAAACCTGTCATGGAAGCATTCTTTTGCCTAGGGACGAAGTGGAGAGTCCGTTGATTATAACAGAGACAAACTGGGATTTCTGGCTCCTGTGGGAATTTTCGCGCTGAACGGAAGCGACAGGAGCATCTCACAACGTCCCAAGACGACAGGACATCTTACCAGGCTAATGAAAATTAATTTCTTTGCTACATTTTGAAAATTTTGTACTTTTTTTGGTTTGATTTTATGAAATAAAAGTTACCCGTTGAGTGTATCTGCGAAGTACAATGTATATGCACATGTACAGCCAGCACGTTTAGCAGGTATACGAGGGGATGACGGTAGCGCATTTCAGCACTCCCTGTACTGGCTGCCGTCAGCCGGCTGGAGTATGACGTTGTGGCTGAACATGGCGCTTTTGTACCGTGCCAGATTTAGCCGTATTGTGTGGTGCCGTAACGTCCCACTCCAGCCGGCTGGCGGCAGCCAGTACAGGGAGTGCTGAAATGCGCTACCGTCATCCCATCGCACTCGAGGGCCTCGCCTGCATCGACGTTGGCTGGTTATCAACGAAAGCTAAACGTTTCTAGCATGTTCCGTGGTATGTTCTACAGATATCACTTTAACGTGAGCTAGGCTAAATACTTAGCACTGCACTGCCGCGTTGAATCTCGAGACTTGAATGTTAAAACAGAAAACAGGCTTTCTCCCGTTCGATTACACAGTTTGTCTGTCGATTGTCTTGAACTGGAACAGATTAGCAGACGCTTTAACAGATTTGTGCCCTTAACTGCGTTCGCCATACATACTCTGTGCTGCATACCACTTTCATTTCTGGCCTTTTCTATGTATACTGAATTTATTTCTCCCTGCAAGCACCGCATAAACGTTCAATTAGGAATTCATTTGTAATTACTAAACAGAATCATTACAATTATTCTGTCTATCCCATTTCGTTTCTATGATATACAAGTCGGTCATGTTTTGCCGTGATGTTTTATAATTTTTCATGCCATATGTAGTTCTCAAAGAAAGATAAATGCCCTCAAAAGCGCTGCAGTTACATATAGGTATTACTATTAACTTCATAAAACACTGTTTCTCAAGGGGTTATAAGATCCAGCGTTTTTTGCTTGCGTAGTGCTTGTTTTCTGGTACACGCACCTGCAAACACAACAATGTCAACAATACAACGAACAAATGTCCCGCAAATGTCCCAAATGTCCAGCAATGTGCCGCATGTTTTGCGGCTACCCTAGCGCTTGAATCGTTTGTATGCTGATCGTCAAGGCAAACTTAAACATTATACGATATCGATACCACCGGCACGAGTGCGTCATTTCGGCTTCACGTACTCCCGCGTACCCATCATACACCTGTGGACGAAATCTGCATAACTTCATGCGGCAAGCGCACTTTACGACCGCCGCTCATTTTGTACGTAAGAAATTGTAGTAATCTGGATGGAATACCATGCCAGATTACACCAAGCGTGCCAGGAAATGTCCTTGGCCGTATGCAATCCTCCATCAGTCTTTTCTGTGGCCGACAATGCAACCGACTCCAGCCATGATCTGACGGCGACACTTACCGCCAGTGTTTCGGATGATCCACCATGGAATTTCGAAAATCCGCCCGGATCCGGATGTTTCTGTGGAATATCTGTAACGTTATTGGCATTAATCAGCCGAAAGCTGGGATTCAGGTACAGTAATTAACAGACCGTCCGTAAAATTGTTTACAGGCGAGTATAAAGCGATGAACAAGCCGGTTCATAACCAGATATTCATTTGCACGGAGCAGGTTCTTGATGTTGGCCACCAGTCTACCGAAAACGAGATTCACTAGCCCAGACGAGATTAATTACAATGGCGCACCGGCTAATTTGTTGCTGGGAAAAGTCAACATGAGTATCTGCCCTCTATCGGTTACACCGGCGCGTGTACGGCATTTTGAGCTGATTAGCGGTGCCACTATTCGCGATTATCAGATCCTCATCCATTGTCGAGATCTTATAGATTCCAGTATCGAAAGCCGGTCCATTATCGAGGGCCTGTTCGTCCAGACCTTGATCGAATATTGGCCAGGACTGGCGCTGTCCGCCGTGAGCGTATTCTGCACTCTCGTTTATATGCACACTGGCCGAACGCCAAATCCAGTCTGTCACGAAGGTGCAGAACGCGGCTAGAACCGTGGATCTGCGTGTATTACAAGAAAGTTACGCGTATCTCCCGTGTTCTCCGTGTCGTTTCGAAGTGCGCTCGATCTCATCAGGTGCTTTTTCAACAAAGGTACAGTAACCTGGATCTACGTGGTGAACAACTTAAGAAAGGCTTCGGCTTGCAGTAAGAACAAATAGTTCAGGCGAAAAAAGTCCCGATATTCTGGTAAAAGTCAATAATATCTAGAACTGGTTTTGCTGGCACGCCGACAGTTTGTTGACACTATATCGCTGATCGACAAAATATTTACCCGGCAATTTGACAAAATGGCGGCCGGTTGCTGAATGACATTTTGCAGACGACGTTCTGGTGATCCAGAAAAACGTAAGAAAACCTAGAAAAACCTAAAAAAAAAACTTATGGAACTTATAAACCAGGCCGATAACAAGCCGGTCGGTTAACGAAATTGTTTCGACAAAGCGTCGAGCAGCCACATTGTGGAAAAGCGAATTGTCGGTTGGCAGGTTATACGAATGGACACCGATAAATGTGGTTACACCGATAGCCGATAACACTATGCATGCATATTAAAACGATGCTCCAACTGGAATTGCATCTCAACTGGAATTGCTTATACAGCGCTTCCAGGGAGCAAACGACTTATCAGGTGGGAAAAGGATGTGAAGTCACGAAGCAGCTATGATTACGATTACCAGAATCGAGAAACACCAGTTCACTGTGCGGCCAGATCGCAGGCCTAATTTATTAGACCGACGTCTCGTAAGAACGGCAGAAGAAACAAAACTAAAATCAAGTTTTTAGAAATACAAGCCCGTCCAACAATTCTTTGACCGCTGTAAGCGGCAATTTAAAGAAACGTGGGCTTGAGCCATTTAATGTGCTTCGACACGTCACGCCACATGAGTCTGCGTATTTCAACGCAAATAAGCAACAAATCTGCCAGAATCTTAACAAATCTATTCCAGTGCGATATGAGGAGGTCTTCCACGCAGGTGGCGCTCGAATTGAGTACTAATATTTCGTTCCATATTTCGTTTCATGAATGGTAGTTCATAAACTGTTCTGTTTCTTTTGTAATTACTGGTAATTTAACTGTGATAATTCTACTGCGATCTGTTTGGTTTTGTTGATTAACCTGGTAATTTTAACTGTGATGAAGGCTTTATCGGTGATTAATTGTGATCTAACATATTATTATTGGTTAAATATTGATAAATACTTATATCTGCCACTACACTACGATGCGTATTTGCATTACTGTGCGCGATTTATATGCGCTGCGCTTACAGCGGTCAAAGAATTGTTGGATGGGCTTGTAGAATGGGCAGCTTCCGATAATGTGTCTACTCATGCTACGCGCATGGTGAGCTGGTCAGAACAGGTAGCCACACATGGTGAACCGCTTAGACAACAGTCATCTGCTTTAAAATTAAGAAATCCGCAGATATATATGACTTTGTAGATGCTATCGACACGTCCCTGCCGCTACCGTTGTACACAATGCGATACGTTGTCTGGCAGTGGCTAATGATTTCCTATTTTGCCATCACCTTGATGTACGTCAACGTCAGCTCCAGTCTGTCTGGTTCCTTTCTGATGCCTCCGTTCCAAACGGCCGCTGGTTTCGTGCGCTCGGGATTTAGTCCGTTATTTTTCGCCAAAACCGGGGCAGTGGAATTCATGGTAAGACCGTCACTACGATCTATGCACTATGACCCGTTTCTGTCTTGTTAGTAACGTTGCCACAATTGTAGAATAGCCCCATCCTTCAGCCATTGCTACCCAGGGCACAAGTCCACGGTGTAAACAGTTGTCAGTGTTTCTCGATTATGCCGCATCGCTGTCCAAACGGGCAAGAATCGCGATTTTCGGCACCGACGAAACACCTGTGTACAAGGGGGCTGGCTTTATCCCGGCTGTTCCCGCTCTGTTCCATAATCAAGTCGCGTTCTACCAGCGGGACGTCGCTACATGCAAGCGTCAATGATCTGTAAGCAGGCTGAGCGTTTTCAAAATGATTGGTTAATGACATTAATTTGGACGCGCTGTTGCTGCAACTAACACACTAGGAACTTAGCTAAAAATCACTTTGGAGCATTAGCGTACTTAATGACCGGTTTTCTCTGGTTCAAGGATAATGTGGCTGGCAAAAACTGGGAATCTAAAGCGCCTCATCCGCTTGCACACGGAAATGCTGTGTGAGGAGAGAAGCGGCTCACGTACAGCGGCAAAATCTTTCAAAGGATTTCAACGTATTGCGCCGTGGTGCAGTGGTACTGCCTACGCGGATCTAACGACGTAGCCGGGGTTCGATTCCCCCATCGGCGCCTTTTTCAGCCGTTTCTCGGTTTCCCTCGGATTGCGCCCTGCTTAGAGCTGTATTCCGCGTACAGGGTTCCTTATAGTCCGACTTTCAAGTCGGGCATGCCCAACCCAAGGCGGCGTCAATCCGAATGCACAGTCTGCTGTCAACCCTTTACCTACTCCTGGCCCTTTTTATCGTGGCATTGACGTTCTTTCTCTTCGAACACAAAGCGGCTAAGCAGACCGTTTTAAGAGACCAGAAATGATTTCGCGGTACAAAGTATATAACCAAAACCTTTTCACGTTACAGCCACGAAACGGTTTATTATGCACCGTTGCTGTTTCTTTGGTGTATAACTACTACTCGTACTGTCGTGAATTACTAGTTTATTGGCGAGCTCGCTATCGCACAGTACTCATCATATCGAACTGACAATACATAACACAATAGTCGTTGCTACGCGCTGCATCTCCCCCAGTGGGTTGCCCACTCATAAAACCATCAATAAAATAAAAAAAAAGAAAATTACATTTCATTTATCAACAGTTTTGGGGCTTTTCCGGCGTTCGTTCTTCCAGTTCTGCGTATTTCCTCAGGTGGCTGTGCAGGTTTCGCAGCTTTCGCTGGTTTCACCTTACCGGATGGTGGAACTGTCGGCTGTACCTTTGGCGGCGCGACTGGTGCCGCCAGCGTCAGTTCCTGTGTAATGGGCGGAAAAGTTGGCTTTACGTCCGGCTGTACTATCACCTCGGGCTGTGGTTTCACCTCCGATTGCGTCTGCGTTGGTGGCGTCGGCGTGCGCGCTCTAGTAGGCGAGACTGTCTTTTCCATTACTTTCGCCGGAGGAAATGCTACCGATGTCTCCACGGCCGTTTGACCTTTTGCCGTATCTGCTTCCGTGTTTTCCGGCGTCTCCAACCAAAAACGAGGGCGTATTTGGTTTGCATGCCGCCTCCACAGCAGATCGCTCACCTGTACCTCCCGGATCAGCCGGCTTTCTCGCTTAATTAGCTTGCCGCTGATCCAATCCACTGCGCGGCTTGGGCGATAGTCTCGCACCAGGACCAAGTCGCCCAACCGAAAGTCTTTCTCCTTTGTGTGCTGGTTGAAATTTCGGCGGTGGCGCTCCCTGTTCTTCTCTGCCGTGGTCAGCAGCACAGGGACTAGCAGATCCAGCGTCGAGCGCATCTTCCGACCCAAAAACAACTCGGCCGGCGTTTTCCCAGTCGTTGCGTGAGGCGCGTTACGATAGCGCCAAAGGAACTCCCTCAGCGCAACCGGCAGGCGCTTCTGGTCGGCCATGAGCTTGGATACGCCGTCCTTCACCGTCTGGACGTAACGTTCCGCTTGGCCATTCGATTGGGGATGGCCCGGTGGCGTTCGCAGGTGCCGGATGCCGTACTGCTGGCAGAATCCGTTAAACTGCTCCGATGTGAACTGTGTCCCGTTATCGGATACAATTTCGGTGCACGGCCTGTAGTGGCTGAACATATCCAGCAGTGCATCAACTACGGCGTCCGTTGTGGCACTTCGCATTGGCACCACTTCCGGCCACTTCGACATACCGTCGACCACGACGAACAACATCGTGCCATGGAACGGCCCGGCAAAGTCTACATGGAGTCGTCTCCATGGTCCGTCGGGCACTGGCCACGGTCTTTGCCGCTCCAAGGTGGCTTTCATGCAGGTACGACAGTATCTGCGCTTGCAGCTTCTTCGGAATCACCGTCCGCGTGCCCCAGCACAGACACCTGTTCACTGTCACCAGTTCACTTTCTAGCCGCTTATACGGTCGCAGCTCTTCCCTTACCACGCTCGGCCATCCAGTCTGGACGTATTCCAGAACGATGCTGAGCTCCGCATCTGCGCGGGTTTCCTTTGCCACGGATTCTACTGACACTGGTAACCGTCCCGCGTTCTCCGTGTGCACAGCACTGACTATGCTGTCCATTCCCAGGTTACCCAACTCGGTCAGCTCCGTGGAATGCAGTGGTAACCTGCTTAACCCGTCCGCCTGGCCGAACTCTTCTGTCCGCCGGTACTCGATGGCAAAACTGTACGCCATCAGCATCAACGCCCAGCGCTGAAGGCGGTTCGCGGTCACCACCGGTATCTCTTTTCGGCCTCCAAACACTCGAGGTTTCGCAGGTGCTCTTCATCCGTGGCGCCGGTGACGATAATATCGTCAAGGTATATGGCCACACCTTCGCAGCCATGGAGAATCTGCTCCATAATTTGCTGGAATATACTGGGCCCACTGGCGACTCCGAACGGCAGTCGATTATACCGAAACAGTCCCTTGTGTGTATTGATAACCACAAGCTGTTTGCTGTCGTCGTCCAGTTCCACTTGGGCATACGCCTCGGCGAGATCCAGCGTACTGAATTTCTCTCCGCCGTTTAACTTGGCGAATAATTCGTCAGGAGTTGGGAGCGGGTACTTCTGAACGTCTAACGAGTCGTTCAGACCAGTGCTTAGATCGGCACACGTTCGCACATCTCCAGCCCTCTTCAGCGTCCCCACAATGGGCGCCGCCCAATCGGCGTGTTCGACTGGAGTGAGTATGCCGCGCTCCACCAAACGCTCCAGGTCCTTCTCGACCGCCTCCCGGAACGCGAATGGCACTGTACGGGGTTTGCAGAACACTGGCCGTGCTCCCGGTTTCAAATGGAGACGCGCCTTATACCGCTTGCAATGACCCAGCTCATCGCGAAACACTTCCTTGTGCCGGTCGAGGTCTTCTTCCAGACTGCTCGCAACGCTATACACTGAACTAGCCTGCAGGTCACGTAGGCTCATGTGGCTCAGATCCAGGGCGCGTATCCAGTCGCGGCCGATCACATCGCCACCACGGCCCACTACCACCACCGGCAACTGCTTCCGTACGCTAGCGCGTTGCACGTCCACGGTGGCGGTCCCGATTACTGTCAGCGCATGGCCAGTGAAGCTCCTCAGCGGCTGCGTATACGGGGACAGTCGCGGCGAATCAATCCTCCTCCACGTCTCTGCCGTGACGATGGTAACGCCTGATCCCGTATCCAGCACTGCTGGCACTGGCGTGCCGTTCAACTTCAGCGGTATGCGTATGGACTGGCTGCCAGCCGCTTCCACTGCCAACACGTCGAATTCTTCTTCGACTAGCATTGTGTGTCGTCCGTCTCCACGCTGCTGGTTCTGCCTGGGCGCAGTGCAAATCTTCGCAATGTGACCTTTCTTGTTACAATTGCGGCAGGTGACATCCTTCGCCCAGCAGTCTGCACGGACGTGGCCTGAATTACCGCAGCCGTAGCAATTCGCACTGCTACCCGCCGCGTTCTGGCTTGCTCCGCCGCCACGCGCTCTCTGTCCCGTACCACGACGATTTCCGCGTTGACGACCTTGACCGCCGCCCCGCCTCGGCCCACCACTGATGCGCGCTACGTCCACACTGCCCGGCGCCTTCTTCGCGCTAGCCTGGGATAGCTCGAACTGTTCCACCAGCTCCAGAGCTTTATCCAGTGTGTCGTAGTCCTTCGACATCAGATGTCGCCTGGTAGCCTTTCCCTGCAGCCCGTTCAAAAAGGTTGCTTTCATGTTGTCCTCCAGAACGTCCGCTGGGAAGCTGCACAGGATGGCCTTTTTGCGGAGTTTGTTTGCGAAATCCAAAAGAGTTTCGCCCGTATCCTGCTTCAATACGAAATACTTGGCCCATTCGGTGGATTTCAGGGTCTTTTTCACGTATGCCCTTTCCAGTTTGGCGAGAACTTCTGCGAGTGTCTTGTCGGCTGGATCGTTCGGCAGGCACATAGCGTGTACCATTTCATAGGCTTCCACACCTAATGAATCCAGCAGAACCCGCTTCTGCTCCTCTTCGTCGGTGACCTTTTGGAGTTTAATAAAGTTCTGGTACCGTGACCTCCAAGACATCCACGCCATCTTGTTGGGCTCGAACTTTAACAGGATAGGAAGCGACGTTTCGTCCGTCATCGTCGTGAATCAGCGCGTGATAGTTTCTTAAAAGAGTTTTTAGTACTACCTTCACGCCAGTTTGTCGTGAATTACTAGTTTATTGGCGAGCTCGCTATCGCACAGTACTCATCATATCGAACTGACAATACATAACACAATAGTCGTTTGCTACGCGCTGCACGTACGGACTGGAGTTTTGGGCACATTTGATGGCACCATGGGCATGTTGAGAGTGTTTTGTTCATGTTCTTTCACATGTTCCTTAACAGCCAGAAGAGGTGCACCGACGATGTTCTGCAAACTGCATATTGTACCAGACAGCCAGGCACAAAAAAAATGGAAACCCCGATATGTGATTCGTCTTGCGCATTAATTTTGTAGAATGCGCAACTATCTCTACACGGCCGGCGTGACCTTTGTTGAACGTCGAATTACGAGATCATGGCGGTATAATCATGGTCAGTTTTTGCTCGTTGTCATCTGTCAGAAAAACGTCATTTATCCTCGCTGAATTCCCACTTGTGATGTCTCCAAGTACGGGCTAATACTTTAATAAGTATTACCGTTTTACGACTAGTACAAGATAACAACTAAATGAGAAGTACAACATCCAAAGACACAGCAACAGGAAATAACGCACAGTTGCTAAGTCATCGTTTGTATCGTGACTTTCACGATATGCCAATAATCTCGTGATATGCAAATATACCACACCACTGATGGATATTTTTGAATTGACGTTTTCTAAGGGCGTCTTACGATGTCGTATTTACATTTAGCGCAAACGAAATGTACAAGGACTATCAAGATTCAGTGCAAAAGCACCGGTTCCCGTGCCGATTTCCCGTGCGCGCAGCCAACACCCGTTCATAACCTCCGTGCAAACTGCACTTGTGTAGGTATTCGTGCCTACAGCTTCGACCTTTGTTCTATTCCCTGCTAAAATTCCGCCACCCAGGTGGCGAAACTCTCTTGCGACCAATACAGTTGTCCCGACTCCGCCGATCGCAGCAGTTGCTTTGCGCTCTTTCACCAACGGCGGAATGGCGCAAACTCACAGCTGCAGTGCAGCCGGAACAGATAATCCTTGATATCAGCGACAATGAATCCCCGTTCCCGTTCCTCAGCCAGCTATCGCTTTCGATAGTCCGAACGGTGGAATTCGTGAACAGCACTATTCGCAATTTCGGGGAAGACTCAAAATCCTCTCTTTTTGCATGCAGACCAGAACATGTGTCAATATGGTACTCTACGAGGTTAGGCAGGGCCATTTCACGCAGTCTCCCTGTTACTCTGGGATCTGTGCATTCGTACAGCTGATACCGAACGATCTACTTTCGTACTTCGCCGAGACTGCTGGACGGGAGTTCAGTGTCGTGGTACGAGTTAACGGCAACAGCGCGCAGACCCGCTTTGTTGACAGCTGTCAGTATGCGTGAGATTTCCGCCTGATTAGAAGAAATAAGTTAATTACCTAATGCATTTCTCTTAGTTTACGATACTTAATTCTTATATCCTTTTTTTCCCGCCACATTTGTACAAGCTATTTGTGGGAGCCCTGTCCGTTCTCATAAACTTGAATTAACTGCCCTTTGCGGGTTTTACCTTATGATTTTCTTTGTACCACACCTGGTGCGACGTAAAGTGGTTAATAAGATTTTCAAGACCGTATATCTGTGGCTTCATCTTTTCTCCAAGTGTGGACTGTTCTTTGGTTCAAAAAATTTGCAGTACACCCTTCCGTGAAATTTCTGAACCGACAGTAATAACTACAGTACTGCGAGTCTGTGAGCCATTTCACGTTTAGCATGTTCTACAGTAAATGCTGTAATTATGACAAATGAAATCAGCACGAAGGGAAGTCAGAGAGGCAGAATCACGCTACAAGACGGTGCAAAGGTTGTTGAAAAACGGTAATCTTACAGCGACTGGGCCACGCATCGACACTGACAGTACCAGTACATGCATTTCCTAAGAAAAAAGACCCAGAAAAATTATAAAAATTAATCATAATGTGAGTTTTACTTTGACTTGCTTGTGCTTGCGCCTTCATTCACAGCCGGTATAGCTTTCGGCTTATCAACTCTCTGTTTTAGCTCGGGATTTTTCCAGTGCCAGTATTTCGTGATATCCTCTTGCGTTGCTCTTGACTCCAGTGCAGCATTTCCCAAGTGTTTAAAACGGCATGCTGTTGACCCCTTATGGCTAGTAAACCTTTTAAAGAAAAGTAAACAGATCTCGCATTGGTGTTTCGGCGTCGCTTCTTGATGCTCGTCGGGATTATGGCGCTGATTGTGCATTTCTAAATGCTTCTTATGGGAAAATTCTCGGCGGTTGTCATCTTTAACGAGACACAAATCTTGAGTGCTGCCCACATTAGTGGATTGTAGGTGGTCAACTCTAGTTGCTCTACAGGTGAACATCCACGAGCCTTTCCCGTGATGAAGCCGCTGATGTGTTTCACGCTCGGCTGCATTATTCAACCATTCGTTGCAGTAGGCTTTTTTGTCCTCGCTACGGAACCCACATCGTATTTGGAACGGATTCTGGCCGAAGCGCCATACGTTCCTTTCGCTTGGCTTAATGCGCCAAGAAATTGGGTGCCCGCTGTCTTGCCCGTTGGCGGGTATCCGTTTTGGGTCCCCGTAGTGGCGCTGTGCTGCTGAAGCGTCATAATAATGCAGACATTCCGAGCAGATCGTTATATAGCCGCCAGTATCCCGATGGCCATTTATGTGCTTTACTAGGTCATCGTTTTCAAATACAAACCCTGTCAAAAGCTTGTCGCATAATTTGTCCGCGCAGCAGGTCAATTTTTTTGGATCTTCCACCGGAAACTGACAAACAACGCGATGATCAGATATTTCGTCTTCAAAGGCATGAAATTTTAGCTCCGGCGTTTTGGCATCAAAATAATGTTCGTGGTCAGACATGCCAAAGTAATCCGGAGCATCCCTGCCTAGAACTTTTGTTGGTGTGAACACCGTGTCTTGCACGCCAGCATCCTTGACCGCGTCGTACACCATCTTGGCTATATCACTTCCGAACGTCTTGTTATCATATTCAAAACAGCCTCGTCTTCGCACATCCGCGGAAACCTTCCGTAAAATGTTGAAGTCCCCGAATATCGCCATATGGTGATCGCTGCTGTAGTAATTGCAAAAGGATTTTAAAAGGTCACAAAACTGTCGCGCTTTGCCATTACTGTAGCCGCTACTTGCACGGTATCCAAAAAAACAGGCCCACTTCTTATCCTTTTCCTTATCCTTCTTATCCTTTTCCTTATCCCTCTTATCCTTTTCCTTATCCTTCTTATCCTTTTTATTCTTTCGATCTGACAAGGTAAAGGCAATATACTGAAAAAGTAGCTCCGTGGTTCGTCCCTCCTCTTCCGCTGACGCTTCTGGTTTATCCTCTTCCTCTGCCTTTTTTTCGATTTTAGCGTCTTTTTTCGATCCCGTATCCTCTTCGGCGGAACTGACCTTTTCGTCCGATTTTTTCACTCTCTTTTTCTTTTTTCCAAATCGCGTTCTTCCAGAACTTGCCTTACTTTCCTCCTTTTCTACCGGGTCTTCATCCGACATGTCTTCTTCGCTTTCTTCTTTGCCTAATGTTGGGTCAAATTTCTTATCGCACATCTTTACTTCGAAGGCCTTATCTACCAGTAGCAGCAATCCGTAATTCGACTTGTACGAAGGTTCGTAAAACATTTGACATTGGCCTTCGATGTCTTTTCTAGCAATGGCAATGAGATCTTTCGTCATTTTGATCTCCGATATGGCAATAACGTAACCTTCTTTCTCCATAAAGCTGCTTCTTCTCAAACAGTCCCAGTGATATTTATCAAAGCCGCCATAGTAGCCGATATTAATAACGGAAAATCTTGGACGAACTGTAATCATTTTTTTCAAGTCGAATAAGACTAATAGCACACGGGTACAGTATCCCCTGCACAATTGTTGGAAAGCTTTTCCTGCAAAGGACAACCATAAGCCTATTCTTGGTGAACAAAGCCGTCATGCGATTTATAACGGACTGGAATATTAGTACGCACCTGTCTTGCGGCAGTATTCCATATGACAGTAAAAGATTGTTGGTGCGTTGCGTTGCGCGTCGATATACTGTACAAACGAACGTCTAAATGATGCTATGAAGCCGGTCGTAGCTGTAATTACATGGACGCTTAAGTCATTCTTTTTATCAGGCGGCTTTCTTTGAATCAATTCATCACAAAAAGCAGGTTTGAAACAGCAAATACGAGATTGCATGACTCATTCTCTTGCTTGCTGCCACCTGAAATTGCAAAATCTGAGAGCATCGAGGCTGCTACACACAGGGCTTTCAGCATTGTTGAAGTGGTGTACTTCAAGATTACGTTGTTGTTGTCGCCGCGTCAGCAGGGTTTTAAATTTTTCTGACTCGCGGTAGCGTACTTCCTTGCCTGTTAAGTAGCACAGCGATGTTTATCACGTTTCTTTTATCTTGTGAATGCTCGTAACTTCGGCGTTCATCAAGTAAATGAATGCAACAGTATCTTCGGAAGAAGATTATTTTGTTACTGTAACTAGTTCGGCCATACGTGTCAGCCCTGAACTACTAAAATTTATGAGAAATTAAAATTGAGAATAGATACTGCAAAGCTTCCCCATAATTTTGGGCCACGCATTCATATTCATCGTTGTACCAAGATAAATTTAAAGCCGGGATAACACTTACGATGGACGTTTCATAAAAATGATTACGCATACCTATCCATGTACACAGCACTCAATCACACAAAGATTTCCAGTAGCGTGCCCGTTTTTAAGAAGGTCAAACGTCAGTCATTATGGTTACTTTTAAACATTTAAGCCTTGGCTCAATTTCGAACCGTATCTCGCTACGGTAAGGTAGCTCCACCGCACGAAGTAGCTGTTTGCATTGGCCACATCTACGGGTACAGTTCTCTAAGCTACCTTCTGTGGTGGAGCCACCGTATCGTAGCGAGATACGGTTCGAATTTGAGGCGATGCCCTAATTTTTCTTTGAATTACCGTAATCTAAACAGGGCGCCATCCGAAGGAAACCTCAGAAAAACGCACCGATGAGGAAATCGAACCATGGACTACTATCCGACAACTGCAGTAGTCTGTTATCTTGTAGGTAATGAGGGGAATACGACATGGCCACTCCGCCGTTCGAGCGACCCAACCTAGAGTACAGCATGGACAGTGATCCAGATTTTGTGTCCGGTCGGCCCTTCCTGGTGGTTTTATGTGACTAGAGGGCCAATGTTTCGCATTTCCTGCGGCATGTAACGGATCCCACGGTGTCATACCGCTTGGTGGCTTTCTCGGCCGTTAGCTAATGCCCTAACCAGTTAGCCAGGCAATTGGACAACACGATACTGGCGCGGGTGAGAAAGCGGCGCGTCAATGCTTACCGACTATAAGGACATTTGGTAATGCCATCATAAAAATGTACAGCACACGTGGAGCAACGGCACAGCGTTTTTGTCGGACGCTGCGGTGATAGACACCAGTGGCCCGGTATTAGCGTGGGCGTTTGCGGTAGTGGATGCAGTAATGTCCAAGGCTCGACCAGCCATCAATTTCCTTCCGCTATCCTGTGCCAAAGCCGGCAACTGGCGCCTTCCTTCGCTGGGTTAGCTGCCTGAAGGATCTGTTTACGGTAGTCAACCATTTTAGCACAAGGCAGTGCTTAATATCTCCAAAGTATAGCGCGCTTGTGCAGTTTGTGATGCGATCGAAAGGTTTTTTAATTTTTAAGCCTTGTTCGATTGATGTCTTCATCTCGGACAAGTTCAGTGTTTTTTTATATTACATATCTTAAATGACCGTATAATTCGTCCTAATGCTCAAATTAAATTAGTTGCAGAATATCGAGTGAAAAAAAGATGTTTACCTTGTTCCGGCATAGTGCATACCGCCTCCTTGGCACTCATTTCTTTTCCGTCTGCATGCCTAGGAAGGACATATGTACAGAAAACCTGCTGCCTGCATTTACGTACTCTAAGCGACCATTACAGAATTTCAGTTCAACCATTACCGGCGTCACACCATTACAGAATTTAATTTAAATCTTCTGCAGAGGTGACAATACCCCCGATGGCACAAGAACGCAACAGCCAAGCTAAACAAATTATCTTCCGATTTCCATTAGTGCGTATGTGCAATGCCCGTTGCGGTCTAGACAACTGACCTCCCATATCGGGGTTCAGCATCGCCTTTGCTCTAACTTTTAATTAATCTTTTTCGTAGCCTCCACCCGTACTTAAGTTTTTCGCGACCGAGATGACTTCTTTGCCGCGCGCGTTGCTGTCTTCGGTCGGTTCTTGGGTATGACAGATGGACGTCGAATCGGCTGGATGGGAAGTGCACCACTTGTCATCATGAACGATCGGGTGCTGCGGTTCGCGTCGCGCCTGTCCCTCCAGCGTCCCTTCTAGATGTCCACTAATGGTCGCTGCCGTTGACAGCTGCGTACTCTTCGATCTGCCGCGCGCGGAATGTGGCGGCTGGCAGCGGCAGTGCCCAATTATCCCCGCTGCTCGGGCGAAAAACTTGCGACTGACACCGCAATAAATCAGGAAGTTAACCGAATAGTTTGCATATAAAAATTGGAAGTAAAAGGCCTGCAGTATCACAGCCTGGTCATCGGTTAAATGGACCAGACAGTGCTGTTCCGCTTTCTCCATCGTGTGCCACGTGGCGAAGGGGATGCGGAAGACGAGGTACATGACGACGGAGGCCGTCAGCAAGCGCACGGCCGTCGACGTCCGCTTGTCGCGTCCGTGGGAGCGCACCGTTACATGACCTTTCTTCGTCTCGATATTCAGTACCCACTGACGGCCATTGGGGACGCTCATACACTGACCGGTTTCCGTTGGCGATCGGCTCAGCAGGCGGCGCTTGATAAGGATGCCAATGACCGCGGCGTTGATCAACGGCAGCGCGATCAACGCCGATAGCGGCGCGGCTATCTGCAAATAGTAACAATGCATCAAATAACTCCTTTTTGACATAGAAAAGTCACTGACGGTAGCATCCGTATTTTGAACGCGGCGCCAGTTCTTCATCCAGGTGGCGTGGGCCATTGGGGTATGCTGCGTGGCGTAATCCACTAGGGTGAACATTTGGCTGGCGGCCGCCACCGGGAGCAGACACAAGATCACGATGCGCATTCGGCATTTTGTGAAGCGCGTCGCCACTCCGAAGGGGTCGATGATGCTCAGCAAGCGTGTTATGCTGAACGCGACCAGAACCCTGCAACACAGCATGGATTACAACCCTAGAACAAGGCCGTTGCGAACGATACGATTCCACATACCAGTCGGAGCACAGTAAAGCAACATTCCCTACGAACATCTAAACAATAACAACGAATACGGAATTTGTTCGAAGAGCAGAAACCACGCCTGTTAAAGTAACTCACCTACAAACCACGATATTCTCAAGAATCCCCGAAAAGATGGGTTAGTAATATGGTCTTCTATGTGATCCTGCACAAAACAGTTCAGTATTTATCCGCCTGGTACAGTACAGTTTCTCTACTGACTACTGGCCTATTGCTGTTAATTATTTTGTTCGTGATGTACAAGAGTGCAGTAGATGTACTGAATAGAAGTTTAATAGAAGTACTGAATAGAAGTTTAATAGAAGACAGATTATTATTAATAGAAGACAGTTTAATAGAAGACAGATTATTATTATATCCAAAACAGAAATTTGGTTACAATCGCAACGATCGGCGATTAGACAAGAATCAGAACTGGGCCTTTTTTATTTTGCCCCTGAATGGCAAATTTCCCGCCGTTCAGTATGGAGGGTGGCTGCGGGACCTGAGTCTGGAAGATTGCGTTCTCCAGAGGCTGTGTGGTGGCAGCTGTCCCGCAGACATCAAGCGACACACCTACGGAGTTCTCGTAAGTCTTATTCCTCCACTGTCTTGCTTTGCGTTGTGCGCCTGCTGCCTGTTCCCCTCTTTTTGGGTTCTACCATGTCTGCGAGCGGGGAACTGCCGTTAAGACGCAAGAAGGACGGGTCGCTCGACATGCGGTTCAAGACCTCCAAAGACCGTATGGCATCGAAGAGTACGGTAAACTTGTTCGCCCAGCAGTCTGTATCCTATCTTGGCAAGATTTTAACAGCCCCACGGATCCACATTTCCGCACGAATCCCCAAAGCAGCGCGCCACCTATGCACACAGGAGTTCCTGAAGCGCGTTCGTCGATGTGTTCAGCTGAACGATACACAATCCTGGTGTGCTGTGTTACTGTTTTGTAGAGAAGCCCTGGCCCTGCCTGAAACGAAAGCGCTCCGCAAAGAATCCTTGAGTGTTACAGTAAAGAGAAACCTTAAGTGTATGGCAGATGCAGACGGAATACAGGAGCCAGAAACGAAGCATGGGCACCATGTTCGAAATGTGTCTTCAAGGAGCCGTAAGGAGAACCCCGACGACATTGCAAAACTCCGTAAGCGCGTAACCCAGATGTTTCAAAACGGAAAGACTCGGGAAATTGTTAAGTTCCTGGCTTCCGAAGAATCACTGGCAGATATTAACGAAGAGACTATTGCCACTTTAAAAGAAAAACACCCACCACGGCCGCCTGGTACGGTTTTCCCTGAACCACCTTCACCCGCTCTTTCTGTCCCCCGCGTAACCCCCGCGGAGCTGCTGGATGCTGTTTTTAATATGCCAGCGGGCTCTGCCGGCGGATTTATGGGAATGAAACCGCAGCATCTCAAAGATATGCTGGAGGGGAGAGATGCCATGGAAGGAGACTTGTGTGTAGCTATGACCAGTTTGTTGGATGTTATTGTCAATGGTAAAGTTCCTGTTGACGTACGTCCCTTTTTGTTTGGTGCAAATTTAGTAGCCCTGAAAACGCCATCTGGTGGAATTCGTCCAATCGCAGTGGGAGAAGTATTGCGCAGGTTAGCATCCAAGATTATCAGTGCAAGATGTCAGTAAGAAATGGGCAGGAAACTTCGACCAGTCCAGTTAGGATATGGTACGAAAGGAGGCGCCGAAGCTACCGTACATGCAGCGCGAAGTTATCTGGAGACGGAACATGCCGAGGCACGCGTCATGGTGAAACTAGATTTCAAGAATGCCTTTAATATGATCAGCAGGACTGCCGTTTTGGAAGCCGTCCGCTCTGATATACCACAATATTACCCCTACTTCCACCAATCATATGCTCCAGTTTCTCATCTGGTATGTGGAGAGGACGTGATCGCTTCCAAATGGGGAGTTCAGCAAGGAGATAATGCTGGCCCACTGGGATATTGCCTGGGGACGTTGCCACTGCTGAACGGGCTTCAGAGCGAACTGAAATTAGGTTTCTTAGATGATGTAACGTTGGCCGGAAAAAGGGAAGCCGTCATGGCAGACATCCATAAGATTGAAGAAGAGGGAAATAAGATCGGTTTGGTTCTAAACCATGAAAACTGCGAAGTGCACTTTTTTGGTGGAACAGAAGAAGAACGTGCAGCGGACAAACATCGCTTCCTATGGCAATGGCCAGATTGGGAAGTTCGCGAGAATGAGAATTTGTATCTCCTGGGCGCACCGGTTACCGTTTTTGCAGTTCCGTCTTTCCTACGCTCCAAGATATCTGAAATCGAAAGGTTGGTGGAAAAGCTAAAATTACTACCATCTCAGCAAGCACTGTATTTATTGCGAAACTGCCTAAGTGCACCGAAACTGCTGTACGTTTTAAGAACAAGCCAAACATATACGTGCCCGGATATTTTACGCGAGTTTGACAGTTTGATGAGGAAAGCTACTACTTCAATCGCCAATGCGGATATTAATGAATCTCAGTGGACACAGATGACTATGCCAGTAGGTCGAGGAGGACTGGGTATACGGCGTACGGAGGAGCTAGCACTGTCAGCGTTCATCGCTTCGGCTACCTCGGTACAGTCTATCTGCTCAGAATTGCTCCCTAACTGTCAGTTGTCGGGTCTCAATGAAGCCATAACATTATGGACTGATACTTACCATTGTGAACTGCCAGTGGATCATGCTCGGAAATCTCAGAAAAGCTGGGACTGGCCGGTGGTGGATTTGTCTTACTCGAGATGGAGATTGAAAACCATGGAAAGCGGACGCGACAAGGAAATGGCACTTTTGCTGGCTGCTTCAGAAAAGGAATCTGCAGCATGGTTGTATGCATTGCCGGCGGCTAGTTTGGGCACCCTACTTTCCGATGATCAAGTAAGAATCGCCATCGGACTGAGGTTTGGCTTACCTGTGGTCGCTAATCACGACTGCCAAGCATGCTCGTTTCCGGTAACCCCGGACGGTCATCATGGTTTGTCTTGTTTGTACAACAAAGGCAGATGGAGCTTACATTCTGAGTTAAACAGCATTCTTCACCGTGGATGTTTTGCGGCCGGTATTCCTAGCGAACTAGAGCCCAAGGGAATGTCGGGAGACAATGGCATGCGGCCGGATGGAGTTACTCTGGTACCCGTCCGTGATGGAAAACAGCTGGCATGGGATGCCACTTGCGCAGATACAATGGCACCGTCGTACCTTAAAGGAACTGCAAAAGCGCCTGGCGCAGCAGCTGGGCAAGCGGAAAGTCGGAAGCGACAAAAGTACCGTTCCCTCGGAGAACAGTATCTGCTCTATCCATTTGCGGTGGAAACGCTTGGCGTGCTTGGAGAAGCCGCGAAAGATATAGTCAGCTTCGTTGGACGCCTAATTCGAGGAAAGACAGGAGAAAGCCGATCTACCGCCTTCTTGAAACAACGCATCAGTCTAGCGATAATGAAGGGAAACGCTGCCGCTATTTTAGGCACTTTGCCGGGCAGAAGTAAATTTGGGGAAGGGAATGATTTTGGTTGTTTCTGGAACTTGTAACCGTAATGTGTAACCATTGTTGTTGAACACAAAGGAAACCAATAAACTTTAAATCAGAGTGCAGTACAGTACTTGTAAATTGTACATAATTGTGCGTATGACACACAGTTGCACACAAATATTCCACACTGCAGTCGCCCGCTTTTCACTTACCGTTATGTATGTCCCTATAAACCATGACCACCTGAAAAGAGACACAGATGCGCCGTTTGGACGGTTTGCCTACATATGTAATTATGTATGCTTACGAAGAAAATTATTATGAATTTGCTAAGCTTGCTTAGGTTAACGTTAACTAGAAGGATAAGTACTGTACACGTTCTAGTAAAAAAACGGCAAATTCACCATTCCAGTACCGAGAAATGAGAATAGTAATACTGTACCCGTATTATAGTACTGCTGATTAATTATACTCTTACATGAATATTATATCGAAAACAGCCACCGCAATCAGAAATATTGCTTGAAATGTGCTGAGTTTCCTCAGAAGAATAATGTTGATCAAATTGCCGGTGGTGCAGATAAAGAGCCAAATTGGACGCAGAACCAGATCCGTGTACTGGAGACCGGGCTGGCTGAATACGTACGGAAAGTTGCGCGCCGGCCAGCCACAATGCGTTACGTTGTGTTGCATTGCTGTTAGATCAGCGATAAAACTGGCATATTAAGGTAAAGTTAAATGTCCATCAACTTCAGCTTAACGGCAGATTTTTAGGCCTAATTTTGTGTTCTTGCATTTGCCACTGATCCTGGCATTAAAGACAATAAAGATCAATGAAAGCACCAGAAACTGCTGGAAATTCACGACAGGTGTTAGTTATTGTCGTTAGTCAAAAATGCAGAAATTCCCCGGCCTATTCATAAACAGGTTGCTTCAGAAAACTGTTTGGCTGCTGAATTGGTCCGTTCGAACGATACCATGGCGCGCTACGAGATAGTAGTAAGATGTTTTTCGAGTTATTGCGTGTTGCAGTTAAATAGCATTTTTGCCGGGAGCATCCGTGCGACTGCAGTCGCTATAACTACCGTATAAGCTCAACGAGGGAAAATACCGAACATTGTTCCAGGGTTTTGATTAGCTTTGCTACTGCAGTTCGTTTAATGCATCGTGCGCAGCTGGCGATGTTGCTTTGACAAAACTGACATTTTTTGTACTAATTATTCTGCCTTTAACATTGGGAGTGAAAGTGATAACAGTTTCCGAAATGATTGTCCCAGAGTAAGACAACTCGGTCCGAATAAGACAACTCGGTCCGAACAAACTATATGGGTACAACCAACTTAACCAAGAATATTTAATTTCGCAGATATGAATTGCACGTGTTGGTTCTTATGCTCAGTCTGATAAAATGTTTACTCCTGAAAACTGGCCTCCTAATATTGGGGTGCGCGAGTGGTTGTTCGCCCCCAAGGATGCTCAGTGATTACTAATCCCTAATTACGCATTTTTCCTACAGTAATTTTTCAGTTCGATTTGACCAATAAAGGAGAGATTTATTAAAAAAAAGAATCACAAAACACCGGCGGTAACACTATTAAGTTGTATTGTACGCGAACGTGGAGTGCTTCTGGTCTGCAGACTGCAGAATTGCGACGGCACTTACCAGTTGAAACCAACATTCCCCATGCATATGCCCACCGGGAGTGATGCAACATTCACTCTGCGTAGAACGCAACTGCTGCAAATGATGCAACAACACTTTGCATCACGAGTAGCTCGACAAGCTCCTTTAATTAACGTCAAATAAATTAACGGTCTCGTGAAACCGAAAACCGGCACTCTTTAATTACAATTCATTGAAATATTACGCTACACTTGGTTTGATGGCAGAAAGAGGTATGATGACTCTTGGGATATCATAACCGCGAAACACTTCTGACGCCTGCATGACCTGATGCAACTACGTGAAGCAAGCTTAGTCAAACGGCAGATTATTGTCGCATTTGTCTGACTTACACGCCAACTTCAGGCCGCAAAAATTGTGTGATATTTTTCTAGCCGGTTTTTAACGCTGCAAAAAAATGTTTGCCTAAGGGAATTTTGCAGAATGGTACTTAAGAGGAAGCAAAGATAGGGCTCTTCCAGCTGACAAAGTCTGGTAAAAATATGATGCTATGCCACGTTGCTAGCAGATTAAATGCAGCCCGCCATGATGCAATGTGGATTATGTACGCTGATTGTGTATGTTGCAGTCTGGACTCAGGTCTCTACGAAAAGAATCCGGAATCTACCGGAAAGTAGGTAAAAGCAGTTGTACGTTTACACTGCACGATAGAATGGCTGGCTCGAATTATTACGTTACCAACAATCTAATACAGTTCGCCATGTCGGTTGTACAGATTGGAGAGACTTCATTGATCCGGAGATTTTGGCCAATAGCGACGACGAATTCACGCGCTATGACAGCGAGTTGCCGGAAGGAGACATTCTCGGTCTGCAGACATTGCAAGTAAACGGAATGAGTTGTTGCAACACGTTTGAAATACGTACTAAATTTTTAAATGCTGTTAGCACGGTTTGACGTTTAAGCGTATTCAGTTGCTTTGCCGATGCGAGCGTATGGCCTTTTGCAGCTGGGACACGAAGCAGCAAACGCCATTAACGAGGCCAGCTCGTTCTGGCCTAACAACACAATTCCTTATGAATTCTCCAAGAAACAAAACGCATTACTGAGTAAGAAACTGTTTTTTGCAGTGCTTCTTGTACATTCTAGAGAAAAGCGTGAACTTAATTGTTTATAGCGCCAAAAGAAATGCAAATTGTTTTGGAATCCATGCGTATAATCAGTCACCTTTCCGGTAATTGCGTCAAATTTGTGGAGCGCGCCAGTGAAGAAGACTACATCAGCTTCCAAAAGGGGCTGCAGTCAGTGATTTACTGCAACAAGTTGACGATATGTTCCATGATTATACAAAACATTCTCCTTTGTAGGTGCATGTCGAATATCGGCCGCATTGGTGGAAAACAAGCGGTGATGTATTCGCCCGCTTGCCTGAAGCAGCACGGCGATGTCCAACACGAACTGATGCACGTCTTGGGATTTTTTCACGAACACTCACGATCTGACCGAGACGAGTATGTTACCATCATCTGGGACAACATCGCCAAAAGTAAGGCTGCGCCAACGCCCATAGTTTTAAGGCTGATGGACACTAGTGCTTAATTCAGGCGATAAGGAGCAGTTTGCCAAGCACGAAGACGGCAACACGTACGGATTGCCGTACGATTACGAATCAGTCATGCACTATAAGCACAACGCCTTCGCCAAGGACAGCGGTATCCCCACTATTCTCCCTACAAACAAAAAAGTCCCGGATTGGACAGAACAAAGACCTGAGTCCGCTGGATGTCGTCAGAATACACCGGAGGTTTCGGTGTGCTATTGCAGACCCAAAAAGCTTTGCAGGTAAATCGAAATTATAGGAAGAGTGTAGACTGTAGACCTCGATGCTAGTAGGGGAATAATGTTTAACAGAATTAAAGTAGTTTTGGTGGTTTGCTTCAATAAAGAGTAAAATCTAATCGCATAAGTTATGCGCCATAACATGTCCTCATATACTCACCAGGGCACATAGGGGTCCTCCAAATTCAGAAAAATCTGAGTTTTTGCAGAAAGGTTGTATACCTACGTAGAGTAATTACAAAAATAATTTCAGCTGCTGTAATTAAGATGGGCGTGGCCAAACGCAAATCAGAAGAGTGCCCATTACCACATACTACTGTTCTATTGTAATACCGTACCAGCACTGGCTTTACGCGTAGCAGTCATTTTACGGTCAAATTGCTTACTTCCAGAACTGCGTTATTACTCGTATAATCGTATTCAAAATGTGTTGTTTATTTTCGCACATCTGCATTGTTTTTGCTAATTAGCAAAGACAAAAAAAATTCAGAAAATTTCTAATTTTGAATATTTAGCAATTTAACAGCGCTGACATAGACCACCGCACCTACTGCAATGCCCACAAAATGAATGCTACGCGTAAAGCCTGTGCTGTTACGGTATTACAATAGAACAGTAGTATGTGGTAATGGGCACTCTTCTAATTTGCGTTTGACCACGCCCATCTTAATTACAGCAGCCGAAATTATTTTTGTAATTACTCTACGTAGGTATACAACCTTTCTGCAAAAACTCAGATTTTTCTGAATTTGGAGGACCCCTATGTGCCCTGGTCAGTAAAACAGTCTCGTTACCATCGCACCCTAATCGTGCCGGGTATGGTCAGAGCACCAGTCGGTTCTCGGATCCAACAAACAGTAAGCTGGGCATGCAGAGCACATTTCTTGCTGTTTTTCTGCATTGTGCCAACAGGTAGCGACAGCAACAGCAACAGCAACAGCAACAGCAACAGCAACAACGGAAAAGCCAAGGACTGCCCCATTGCGCAGGCACAAACAGAACATCAGAGCGACTGCAGCACGGGTAAGTTGGTACTAAATATTATAATAGCGCCAAATAGCCGATGTCCAGGTAAAAATGCTTCCCGAAGCGCTCAAGCAAGCGATTCTTTAGTCATTTCAGCGGATTAAAGCGATGTGGCGATCCGGAAGCTAAAAGTGCCTAAAATAATCAATAATTACAGTTTTGTAGATGATGACGACAACAAGGAGACGGTTACCGGAGTGGAAACCTTCCCGCAGTTTTCCCACGAACCAATGACCGCAGAACAATGTAGGCCCCAGTTCACAGCCAACTGCCACGTCCTCGGCTCTACAGTTGATAACTGCACACACACCCAAGCGCTGACCATCAACTGTAGCAAGCTCGTCACTTCGGCTGAACTTCAGCAAATGGTTACCGGCTTCTCGAAACCACCATTAAGAGCCGTTGGTGTTGATCTGGATGATGGCGATCGACTAATATTCAATAATTTTCAAATGATTCGACAACAGGTGGTGCGTCTTGCCATCAGCAACTGCCTTTCCAGTCGCACCAGCCAAAAGCTGACCACACTCCGATTCTCTAATTTGCTATCCTTCAGGCTGATTTACTGCTATGGAGTGGAGATAAAGAAAACGGACTTCAGCCAATCAAAAAACATCAGAGAAATCGCTATCGCGGATACCACTATTGCGATAATGGAAGAAGGGACATTTACTGATTTGCCATTTTTGCGATTGATGACCCTGGAGGACGATATGCACAAAATGAGTGTTTTCAGGCGGCAGATTCGTGAGTACCTGAAGAAGCTGCACTGCGGTTGTGAGTTCCAGTGGTATCGTGATTGGTGGGAAAACAATCGCCAGCTATTGCGCCGCGAAGTTGAAGAAGGGGAAGTGTTCTTCATTCCGGATTCATGGAGGAACGCCGGTTATAGTAAAAAGGATATTCATCTGCCTATTGACTGTTCAGTAAATCCATTTCCCACTTTGCCAGCCTCCATCGATCACACTCAGTACAGATTTTCCATCAACGTACCGAACTGTAAGTACTGTATGAAAAAACTGTTCTGTTCTGTTCCCAGTACACAAATACAGTTGTACACATACTACAGTATGAAAACTTGCTTAATAACAAAGTTTATTGTCCTTGCAACGGAGCGGTTGCCCCCTCTAGGCTTCAGACAGCTGAACAACAATCGAGAGAATACAAACAGGAAATAACAGTGACATCAGCGGTTGTAACATAAAACATCAAGATTATTACGACGTCATGCAAAAGAAAACAACAAAACAGCCAGCGCTAACTCATGGAACGTGTAGTGTGAGAAGTACTTACTATAGTGCGAGAAGGACTGGTATCTCACTGTTTAACGTCAATATCGATCACCCTAGCTGCCATGGTGACAAATGCGCGTTTTTCACGGTTTTTCAAATTTCTTAGCAGATTTCTCTTGTTCTACTCTAGCTCTCAAAATTTGGGTTTTAATAAATTCAGTATGACACTGATTTACAGAGTCACAGCATTTTTTCGCGATTTTAAAGTGGATTTCAAAATCTTTTTAAAATTAATGGGAAAGTTTTAGCATACTGTATGTATACCGTTTTTGACACCATGTACTGGCCCTACTGGGTAATTTTTCTTAAATTCTATGAATACGCTTTAATTAGCAACAGTAAAGTTAATAATAACTTACTTAAGCGTTAAATTGTTTCTCCAGTCTTTAAAGTATCAACATTTTTATCAGCATATCACGTGCGCAAGCATACCTGTCCCACTTGCTATAGCGACACCAAATTCTTTTGATTTGTTTCAGTTTCGGGTTCCGAAGCCGACAAATCACTGTGTTCCAAGAAACTACCGAACAGCCAAGACACATTTTTTGCCTTTTCTACGGATCCGATGACCGCCGAGGAGTGCGACATGCAGTTCACGGCAAACTGTGAACCACAGTCGTATAACAGGAGCGTATGCCTTCTTCAAAAAGCGGTGCAGATCAGCTGCTATCGAGAAGCAACCGCGGAAGAAATCGCACGCCTATTGACAGCTGTTAACAAAGCGCGTCCGCGCGCTGTATCGATTAACACGGACGACGACACTGAACTCTCGTCCATCAGTCTCGGCGAAGTACGGAAGCAGATCGTTAGGTATGCGCTGCACGCATGCACAGATCCCAGAGTAACAGGGAGACTGCGTGAAATGTCCCTGCCTAACCTCTTCGAGTACCATCTTGACAATTGTTTGGGCCTGCGTGCCAAAAGAGAGGATTTCGAAAATTCCCCGAAATTACGAACGGTAGTTTGTACGAACTGCACGTTTCGGACTATCGAAAGCGATACGTTTTCTCAGTTGCCGGCTCTGCGGATATTGTCACTGGAAAGGGGAATCGGTAAGGCATCCACTTTCAGCGCGGATGTCAAGGATTATCTGTTCCGGCTGCACTGCAGCTGCGAGTTTGCGCCATTCCGCCGATGGCGAAAGAGCGCAAAGCAATTGCTGCGATCGGCGGAATGGGGACAACTGTATTGGTTGCAAGAGAGTTTCACCAGCTGGACGTTCGCCTCAAGCGAAGTTTATGTACCAGTTGATTGTTCAGAAAAACCTTTTCCCTCGGGAGCGGCATTTATTGACTTTGATCAGGTGGAGTTCTCTTTGAATGAGCCTATCTGCTGACCCTGTTGTTGTAGAATTAACAATACGGCTCGGCTCTTACGGAATCTGACAAAACTGCTATCAACACTGTTTACAGAAGTCACCTGAATTTCTCTGCAAATATTTTGCATTAACGGTTGTGGTGAGAACATTCTGCAAGCAATAAAAGGTCAGGTCGTTCAACGCGTTGCTGTTTGCACGGAGAATGTGAACGCGCGCACGGGAAATCGGCACGGGCACCGATGCTCAACTGCTTTTGCACGAAACCTTCATACTGTGGACCTAATTTAGGGTGTACGTACATTCGGTCTGCGACCGACAATTTTATGGCCCAGACGAAATGAACAATAAACAAGAAACACGCAATTGTACGCAGAAAATCGAAGTACCACGGTTTGGTCATCGGCGATCTTCACCGCATGTTTAATGATCATGCAAGGAAGTATATTGCCGTCCCGCAGTGTGCCACGTGTTGCGCCTATAGTCACGCTTCGGTGAAATGCGATAAATCGCCCCACTGTGCTTAGTTTGCTAAAGGTCGTTTGCCTAGAGAATGTGCGAAAAATGATGGTTTTGCATTTGTGTGTCCGCTTTGCAGCGAAAGCAAAGTTTACTCGCATTCGGCGTATGGCATACCATGATGCTCGGCGCGAGACATACCAAAGATGTTTCCCACCTGGAAACATTAAAAAATGCGCGGTTAAGATGCATACTGCATGTAGCATATGCGAAGTTGCGTACTCGTAACCTTTAATCTATTAATTCTACGTTAAATAAAAACTTTTAACGGTTTCCAGGGACCGAAGAGCTATGCTAATTAGCTATAAATTCCTTGTCATCTTACGCAGCAACCGGTTTCCCGCTAGAAAACGGCACCTAGGGATGTTCCAACAGAGAAACAGCTGCACCAGTTTAAAGCGCTTCTACTGTATATCATCAAGACAACAAACGAATAAGCGGCTCTTTTCTTCCTGTTCGGAGCTCACCATCTCTTTTGTTCCGGCTCGGTATCCTTCATTTGCAAAGCTTCTTTTCACACTCTGCTTTTTCGCGGCGGTACTGGTAACCTTTCCGCATGCTCAACGCGCCCATTGCAGCATGCTTCAGCGCTCCGATTGGAGACTTTGTCTTTCTCTCGCTCTTGTCGTTTTTCCATCTCTGTGTCACGATTTTTCGATTGTTGTGACGGCGCATCGCTCGAACTGGAAACGGATATGCTGCCATTAGTCACGAAGTACCGCTGCGATTTCCGTCGCGCCTGGGTCTCTAACGCTTTTTCCAGCTGGATACTAATAACCGCACAAGCAGTCTCATCCGTATTCTCGGACGTGGAATGCTGATTGATCCGGTTTAACTGCGGACGCCGACAGTGGCGTACCATCCACAACGTACGGGCCAGAAACTGCCGACTGACACCGCAATAAACCAGAAAGTTAATGGAATAGTTGGCATAGAGAACCTGTTCGGTGAAGGACAGGAAGATCATACTCTGGCCATCGGTCAGACGGAACACACAATACTTGTCCGCTTGCAGAAACGCCTGCCACATGACGTAGGGAGTTCGGCAGAGGAGGTACATGATGACGGAAGCCGTCAGCAGACGCACGGTCAGCGTCGTCCGCTTATCGCGTCCCTGTGAACGCACTGCCACGAGGCCGTTCTTCTTCCGTATGTTCAGCACCCATTGGCGGCCGTCGGCGACGTTCATCCGCTGACCTGCTGCCGAGGCCCTGTTTAACATGCGGCGCTTGAGGAGAATGCCAATGACCGCGGCGTTGATCAGCGGCAGAGCGATGAAAGTTGATAATGTCGCGGCTATCTGCAAGCAGACGGTACTTACAATGAGCGAAGTCGATCGCGTTGTAAACAACCATACGTAAGTGAAAGGCCTAGAGCTTATCTTCAATTCTGCTTTACTGTTGGCGGACTCAGCAGGTTGAGTGTACAGTTACCTGTACACGTTAACGACGAACAGGCTTGGAGTTTTGCCTGGAATGCTTCGAAATTGGTGCGCGACGTGCCGGATGTTAAGACTTACATGTGCAACTAGGTATATCAGTCGTGTTAGTGACCTTATGTAAGGCTGTAGCGGAACCTTTCGGTCACTTCATTATTCTAAGACCTGAAGCTCCGGGAAATGCTCGTCTTCAAGAAACTACAAAGGTTTAAGGGAATTCTTTTGCGGCGAAGTGTCACACTACCAATTGTCCGGGTGCGGGTTCGGCACAGTTGGTTTAGCTAAGGTTCGGAACATCCCTCCACAAGTAAAAGACTAGCGCACCGCAGTTCATTTTAAAGCGAATAAGTACGACGTCTTGTTGTTCAAAAAAAGCCCGCTCGCAGTTAACCTAAAGCGCCTGGCGCAGTAGTTCCATTGGACAGAGCGTAAGTTTGAAATGCCTACTGGACGCCCCTCTCGTTTCCCTGCCGGTTGTTGATTTGCCTGAATACAAGGGATGTGTTTATCCAGACATTTAATTCCGCTTGCCGGCTGAGTACGGAGTAAACGGCTGATCGATGATCGTGACGAATATGCGGCGCTTATTCACTCCTCCCTATACAGCCCATGGCAGCTGTATTTTCAGGGAACCGATCTACAAACTAACAGTCTGACGTGTAGTTCGATGGAACACGATGACATTTGTTCGTTGAGTAGCATTTTCAACATCGAGAACTAGGTTATTTAGTACAAGGTGACAAGGTCACTGGCGTACCCTGGCGTCACTACTTTGAACGTGGCGCCAGTTCTTCACCCAGGTGGCGTTGGCCGTTCTGGTGCCTTCCGTGGCATAATCCACGATATGGAACATGTTGTTGACCACCGCCAGCAGGATCAAACACAGAACCAGGATCCGCATGCGGCACTGCGTAAAACGCGTCGCCACGCCGAACGGGTCTATGATGCTCAGCAAGCGGGTTACGCTGAACGCCAGAAGAACCCTGCAAAACAGGCCATGGATTCCAGTAGCCGAATTTGTTGCTTAGAAGATGCCATACCAGTCGGAGCACTGTACAGCAACATTCCCTACGAACATTTAAGCACTAGCCATTTGTAGGCATCCAGTTCGAGGAGCAGCAACCGAACGCAACCTACCAACACACTCGACCGATGACACCGATCTCCGACTGTATGAATGCTGTTGATAGGGGATTCCTGCATGTGCCTGCATGAAATGTTTGAATGTTTTCTTATGCTGCTGGTGCAGATTCCAACTACAATGGACGACAAAATTTACTTTACTCCGGACCGTTAGCCGCTGTCGGCTGACAGCGCATACGATGATTGAGCGCCGCATATCCGTCGCTATAGCCGCTTGCTGAGCAGTAAGCGCGCCAACCGTGTTCTCTCTGTTCTCGGTCTAAAGCTAAAGCCGCAAAACCGGTTCCGAGGTAAAGTAAGGCCTTGGCTCAAATTCGAACCGTATCTCGCTACGGTACGGTGGCTCCACCGCACGAGGTGGCTTGAAAAACGGTATCTGTAGGCGTGGCCACTGCAAACAGCTACTTCGTGCGGTGGAGCTACCGTACCGTAGCGAGATACGGTTCGAATTTGAGCCAAGGCCTAAGTTTTGTCGTCCATTCATCCATTGTACTTTCGGTCCTGCAGTAAAACTGCGGCCTATTTCACCGGTGTGGACTTACCAGTATGTATGGCACGAAAAATGTCCACCTGAAAAAAGAGAAATATATGGGCTGCAACGATGCGTATGAAGCATGTTCCAGAGCTATGTGATGGGCAGTTTAGTATGCAGCAATTAGAAATAACTTACAAGCTTTGCTTAAATGTACGTCTTAGTATCACTTGTACATAACATTGTACGAATACATGTGAAGCAAATGTCTGGTATTAAATGCAAAGTAGTGTTTTAATGTTGTAAAATTGTGATGTTTTTTGATTATCTAAGGAATAGTAGTGTTGACTTGCATAAATGTCATGTCGAAAACAGCCATGGCCAGCAGAAAGGTGGCCTGGAAGGTGCGAATCTTTCTCAGCAGAATGATGTTGATGATATTGCCGGTGGTGCAGATGAAGAGCCAAATTGGACGCAGAACCATATCAGGGTATAGGTGTTCGGGATGGTGGATACTATAGTTATAATCGCGCTTGGGCCAGCCACAATGGGTAACGTTGTGGTGCATGGCTGTAGTAGTCATTAGAGAAATAATAGCAGCTTTTGCTTTTGCCGGACTGTATAACCGTTTCGACAATAAAAACTAATGAAAGAGAAAAAACTAAAAAACTACAAGTATCCTTAGTTCAACGCTGCAGCGATTTCCCTAACTTAATTTAACAGACATCGTAATTCGCAGACACCAGACAGTTTACTTGGCAAGCTACATGAGCAAGTTGTGTCAATATGCGGCGATTCATAAACACCGATTTCGCCGCGGGATGTTACGACAGTGTGCACATATAAACGGCGGCAAAACCCCAAAATAATTATTATTATTGTTCTGGGCTTATTGTTTCCGCATTAAATTATGACTTTCTAAATCTGCGGCGAAGCTGACCAAAAACTCTGTACTGTAGCGCTAGATGAAATGGCACCACGTTTAGATCCGGCCGTAGCCTGCCACCTGCCAGATATCGCACACGCTACGTAGAACATCGAGCAGCGTGTGCGTCGTTATCGGTACACCAGACTCTGTGGTGCCATTTCATCTAGCGGCTACAGTAATATTTTACTAGTTTTTACCAGATTTCCAGCAGTTTAAGCTGTATAAACCTGCGTCGGATTCGCGCGAAAATTCAGTTTTTTTTTTAAGTGAGAGCAAAAGACATGTCAGAGGCGTACGACTGCGCCTGGTGCGTACGGTCCACACAGGACGTACTTGCACCATTGCTTGCCGTTACCACCTCTCTCGCTGTACGTACGTGTGCTGCTGCACTGCACTCATCCGCTGAAGCGGATATACGCAGCGCATACACTGAGCCACACTTGCTCTCTCGTTCCTCTTTCGCAGTATGACTCAGCGTTCATACGCTCGCGTTGGATAGAGTCCAGTCTGCGCATCATCACACAGCTGATGGCACACAGCACGTGTTTGCCGGCAGTTGCTTCTTTCACGCCTTGACGGACGCTCAAGAGCTTTCTAGCACACACTTGCTTGGCCATCACGGCTATGTTCTTGCTTTCCTGCTATTACGCAGCATTGCTCCCCTTTATTTGTCAATAAAGCATCACTCGTGATCTCCTCGTGCTTATCTGTTACATGGTAGCAGCATCTTTTCTGGTTTTCCTTCTGACGGAACCTTTGAGGAGACGGTGAAGGCTTCATTTACGGAGAACTCGTGAGGAACCTGAAAGTCACTGTCAG